TGAAATTCAGCGAATATCTTTTATCGTTTACCTCCATTGCGTCCTCTACCATTCGCGATCGTTTCCGCGCGTATTCGCTTCTCCTCACCGGATAATCGCGCATCGCGGATTATCTTGCAGTCTCGCTTGTTCGATCCTGACACACGTTCGTTTCCGTCGCTACCGCCGTCGTTCAATATCTTCAGACAGCTTCTAATACGTCCGCCGCGTTGTCCGCCATATACTTCTAAATTGCGCACGGCGGCTAATAGGAATTTTGATTGACCAAATTAAATAGTTATCGAAGGAGATCCGTGTTTTTATTTGACTTCTTTTTTTTTCTTTCTACCTCGCATCGATTAACTTTATTAGGAGCCCGCTCGTTTGTGGAACATTAAAGGTGGACATGAGAGGAGGACAAAGAGAGAGGAAGAGGGTGGACGAGTCCTCGCGCGGCGTGCGAGCGGATTGCGGGAGGACGATAGTGGAATCGTGGCGAGGGGGAGGAAGAGGGCGGCAAGAGGGCCGGGTGGAGGTTGGGGTGAAAGGAAGTTCACCGAGGCAATTTGTTGTTAAGTCGGAACTCATTTTCTAGAACCCACACCCGACTAATGCCGCGACTGGGCCTGCAGGCCACCTCATTACCAGACCTAGTCAATTTCAATTTAATTTGCCAGTCGGCTGTTTCGCGGAAGGCAGGGTGTACGTACGTGCGCGCGCGCGCGCGCACGTGTGCGTGTGTATGGGAGAGAGGGAGGGACGGAAAGAGTGGCGACCGCATAGCTTTTTAATTAAACTGGAAACCGAGGCCGCGCGATTAATCATTATTATCTAGAAAAATTAAAGCTAGCAGCGAGAGAATGTGTTTCGTCCGTTGTGTATGCATATGCACACCGCGCGCGTAACGTGGCAGATTTTGTGCTGTTCGTGCGGGAAGCTGTCCTGCATCCGCGTGTTTATTATGTCGCACAAAATGTCCCGAGAATAGGTGACAACTTTCAACCTTGCAACTACACGTGTGTGACCTCTCTCGTAAAGAGTAAAAAAAAATCGATAGTTTTTACAATTCCTCTAATACTCGCGTGTGCTTTATTAGCGTCGTTAAATCTGAAATGATGCAGCGGAGATCCTAGCTAGATCGAATAATTGCGAAAACGCGCGGTTCGCCTACGAGAAAGAGGCACGACTTTACCGGTGACGATTGTTAAGGAAGTTTGCGCGCGAGAAGAACGAGATGCAGATGAAATTGAAGGCGCCCACAAAGGCTCGGGGCCCTGGTCCGAAATTTGGATTTTTAATCGCACAAAGCGCTAATGAATCCATTTAGTCTTGTGCAGGAGGAAGGGGGGGGGAGGAGGGGCGGTCCGCTCGACCCTCGCTCGATACAGGGATCTTGGATAAACGGACAAACGAACCAAATAATTACGCTAATTAAAGCCGCCCAATTTGTGCTTTAGACAATTAAAGTGCCGAGGGTAAGGTAGTCTAACTCATTAACAGGCGGGGGTCGCCTACACACACGGGCGCGCGCTCTACGTGTGTGAATACATCGTTTCGGCGTACGCGCACCCGCACGTCCTTGTGTGTTTCTCTCTCTCTCTCTCTCTCTCTCTCTCTCTCTCTCTCTCTCTCTCTCTTATTCCCTCTTGTTAGCGGCAGAGAACGCGGCACTGTGTGCGGCAAAGGGGCACGCATAATGAGCGAGGGTGCCTGGATGAAGAGGGCGATCCGTAGGACGGAGGGCGCACTTGCTCGCGAATCTTTCGAAATCGAGGGGTCATGCTATTTTATAAGTTGTCGCGATATAATCGAGAATCGCGGAGGAAAACTCATACTACTGACAATTCTCGCATTATATATATTATACGATTTTTCGTGTGCTCGTTACGTAGACCGATTCCGAATTATTAGTCCCGAGAGAGATCCCGTCGAGGATTTGGGCCGAATTGCCGCTTCGTTACGAAACGTACACGCGTGACACGCGCCTTTAGAGACGCTTGTTAGAGCGGGCAAGATTGACACGTCGGTCGCAATTAAAACGTAAGGGGGTGAAGGGGGGGTCTCGCGCGCGGGCAAATTGCGTATCAAGTTAGAGGAGTCGGACAAGGAGGGCGAGGCACTCGTATTATCATTGGTGAAATCAACTAATTAGAAATTGCGTAGACCGCTCGTTAAAGATTGCCCCGCCGACCGTAATCGCCAATTACTCTCTTAGTGCGGACTGCAGTGAACTTCGCTCATTAAAATTATTAAACGCCGCGGGCGACGGGGCTCGCCGTTTGACGTTTCTACGGAGTGCGGCGCATTGTGGACTGCCGAATTTTTGCGATCCACCCGGCCGTAGGAGAGAGATTATAAAATATAAATTACAAATCATACTTTTTTTTTTCACAGCGGATTTTTTAACGAGTCCGGTTTTCCTTCGGAGATCGTACATAATAGAACGTATTATAAATTGTGCCGTACGGATAATACGTACAAGTACAGGAAGTAATTAACTATATTCAGAGAGTTAAAATATATTTAGCTGTAAATTTTTGCTACGTTTAAGTATACACGTATATATACGGACCTCGTGCGAGCGAGATAAATCTTGACGCGATCAATGTTTTATCAAAGATATATAGAGATTGTTATTAGTCGGCCGTGCGGCCCGCGATAATATCGCATCACAACAGACTGTGTTCGTTGTCATTCATCACCGGCGTCGAACCGTTATTCGCTAGTTACTTTCGATCAATTACCCCACCAGCAGGGCACGAATGCCTCACTCCGGCCTATTAGGACGGAGCGCTCGATATCTAATTTAATACAGCCGCTCTGATTACCGCGAAGATCTATATACAAACGTCGAAACGACAAAAATTCTACCGCCCCATTTCATTAACCGCTGAGCGGCTATCACGTCGCTGCGATCAATATAGTTGTCAAATACATCTAAACTATTAATGAACCGAGCGAAAGGCTCATTTCAAGTAACGATAATTAAGTAAAATGACGAATAATTTGCGCGCTCTGTTTGACATTTTTTATGACTGTCATAAATAAGGCTCACGGATAATCGAAAATTCTTGCTTGTCATCAGCTTTCCAGAATGGTCACGTAAAACACGCGTGAATAATGATACTGGTAATGGCGTCGGACGATTAAGAGGCCAGAACGAGAGAGAGAGGGAGGGGAGGGAAAGGGGGGAGGAAAGAGGAGGAGAAAGGAGAAGCAGATTTTATGGCTGATCCTCGATCATCAGCTATATAATTCCTTCTATCCGTTCTAGCTGATTGACTTGGCCGTCGGCCTCTAATTAGCAATTATGGAGAAATCGAAAATGCGCGGAGCGATTCGACCGTGCGGGGCGCATGCATTTCTCCGCTCATTAAATTCGCGAAGGATTCGGCCCGGAAGTAGATACACGGCCGAATCGATAAAGGCCGCGGCCGCAATTAAAATCTACCACCTTCGATTCATTTACGAGACGCCTGACACCTGAAACTCGTCGAGGAACTGCCACTTTTGATTAGGATATCGCCCACGTGCGGGATGCGAACCGATGCGTCGTCTGTTTATAACGTCTTACGTAACATCTAACGCGCAAGAGTTTTAATTTAATAGTTAATTGGTTTGTAGGAAATTGAATTAATAAGTACGTGATGGAATTTCGAATAACGTTACAGTTTCTGAACGTCACCGTCTCTCGTTTTTATTCATGTAAAACATAGACGAGAGACGCGCCCTGTGGTCGATCATTGTATTTAATAATGCGTGAAACATCATGTACGCGACACACTTCGCTTTCTCGAACCGCGTCGATTTACGCACGAGAAAGTAACAACACGTTCGAGAGTCTCACGCGATTCAAAATTCGCTCATTACCATTTTCTTACCGCGATAAGTAGGCAAAATCGTCCGTGCCACACTCGTTTGCATCCGCATTTTTCAGCTGAAGAGAACGCGCATTTATAATTGAACCGTTGCGAACGATTGAAGACAAACTGCAAAAAATAAAAATTAAAAAAAAGAGAAAGAAAGAACCAAAAAGCAGGGAAAAATGAAAGAGGGGGAGAGAGAGAGAGAAAATAAAAAGGGAAAGATTGAAACGTCATTCGGGGGAGCAATCATCGAGATACTGGCCGCGCGCGATCAGCTGTGGATCCCGGGCAGATAAATTAGCAATTTAATTATAGAACTGTCAGCCGGTAATTAAATTAATAACGAGAAACCTCAAATCCAATCCGCTCCGTCGTCGTAACAGCCTTATGCGCGCTCTCGGAGTAAAGTCCGACGCAGACATCGATATGTCGGCTACCTATATCGCGCGTTTCAAAAGTCGATTTAATTAAATATTCCATTAGCGTTAATTGCGAAGTTCGATTTTGACAGTAGCATGTATGCCGTGACCTCGGGAGAGAGCGGTTTTATGACTCGAGATAGATCGTTAGACCGTGAGTGAATCTTTACCGATTTCCAATTCGATGCGGAATTTTCAAGTTCCATTCTTGAAGTCACGGTCGAGGAGGATAGTCGAGTGCGTGTGTGCGATGTACCAGTATGTCGGATGTGCATCTCCCTCGCGGATGGAGATCCTTATGCCGGCGGCGCGTTCGAGAGAGAGAGAGAGGAGAGACGTGAGATCGTGGCGCTCACCTCGAATCCCCATCCGACATACCTACGTATCGTTACGTAGCTAATTGCTGCATAAACAGCCGACTTTACGAGCCAACGGGTATACGACTGACAACCGCTTCGCAAACATTAACTGCCATTAACGCAGGATACGAGCGCATCGCGTCGCATCGCGGCGTGGCACGCCGATATTGGAACTCGTGTGCCAGAACCGCGGACTGTTGAAATTGTTGAAAAATAATCGCAGGCTCAACGCCATAATCAGGCATTTGGCGCGGACTGTTCTCGGGGACACTTTCATCCCCCTGGACGTAACGCATTCGGTTCAGGATGTCGCGAGCCATCGGTACCGCGATCTTGAACCGAGTCTTAATCGAACGCTTTCTTTGGTTTTGTTACAGAATGTTCGGCAGCAGCGGCGTCTGCGGGAGTTGTGGCAACGCGATACCCGCGAACGAACTGGTCATGAGGGCTGGCGAATCGGTGTTTCATGTGAAATGCTTCAACTGCAATAAGTGTGGCGGTCCTCTCGTCTCTGGCGACAGGTGAGTTTTTCTCCGCTCGTGAATTTCTCCCCCATTTTACTACCTTCAGACAGATTTCACCAGTCCAGCGAGTAAACCTATACGTGACACGTGACTCTCACGATTTCAGATATTACTTACTGTCGGGCTCGCCAGTTTGCGAATCCGATTGGCACAAAATCGTGAAATCGTCGAGCGTCGCGGCAGCGGCAGCCGCGGCGGGCGGAAACAGCGGCGCGCCCGTTAGGAAAGGTAAGGTCGGCAGGCCTCGAAGGAGCCGCGAATGAGGCGGCAACCCGGTCGGTCGCCCGAAGAAGGTGCAACCCTCTCCGCAGCCGACGCCCCCCATCGTACCTTCGCCTCAGGTAGATGTAGTGGACGTCGCCGTCGGGGTGGATCCCTATTCGCCGCCTCCGCCGGGTCATCAGCATTATCACCAGTATCACCATCATCACCATCACCAGATGGCACTCGTGCATCCGGGTCTAGCGGCTCAGCAATCGCATCTCCAGGCGTCCAGCTATCAGGATTGGTCGTCCTGGGCCCAGGATACCTGCGATTAGACTCGCTGTCCGCCGTAACCAGAACTGGATCCCAAAGGATATCGCGATGAAGAGCCTACCTAATTCACCTAGCGTTGCGAGCCCAGACTTTTCCGGAGAATCGCAAAGTGAGAACAAGGTCAGAGTAGCGTCCCTTGGGAAACCGCCATCGACGACTCTACGAGTGTCTCTGGACTTGGCGCCGTGATATTGAATGTGTGATTTGAACTTGCCGCGGCAGCCGAATGTCTCCTAACATGCGGTGCCGCGATATTGAACGTGTAATTGAACTCGCCGCGGATATACCGAGCGTCTCTGCGTTCTGACGTGTGTTGACGTGTGTCGAGTGCGTCCGTACTTGGCGCGGATGCTGGACATCTCTGAATGTCTTTGAACTTGGATAATTCGCAATCGCAAATACCTCTGGAACTTGAAACGCGAATGTTTCGGTTCTGTAGTGAATGTGCGGGCTTCTTTGATCCAACACTGACAAAGTGACAACTCACACAAAGTGAAAGCTGGAAGAAGAATTTGTCTCGCATTAATGTCGAGACATCGATGTTACGATTATCGAAAGCATCCTTAAATTAATTCGACAATTTGGACACTATTTTGCAAAAGACAGCGTCCAAATTCTCAATTAGAAATGTTGATCGCATCTGCGACAAGTTGAGACGACACTCGACACCACATTGCAGAAGTACTTTCGCCACGAAATCCGCCGGTCTTAATAATAATCTTTGCTCAATTGTAAAGAATCGAAGAAAGTTTAAGATACGACTCATCGTGCATCTACCATCAGCCGCAATAGTGACGTCAGTTCTCTTCTTTAAAAACCCTTTGCCATCATCGTAATGCGATTACTTTGACACGAGATGTGAAATGTAGAATTCGTTGACACTTGTAACTGACGTTTTTAACAACCTGTAACAGGCGTTTTTTCGCGTGTTTGCGAAATATCGATAACATTCTACCCGTCGATATCATTACTCAAAATCATTACCAAATTAGTCTGATATTAACATTTTTTCATGTTATTCTATTTTCATTGTACGATTAAGAAGATTACCTCAAATTCTCGTTACAATTTTGGTCATTTCCAAATTTTGCATTCTATCGATTCTTGGTTGTCGCCACTTCGGAGGCGACACGCGTCCTCGGAACGGCGTTGCGTGCTAAATTCGACACGTGCGATCAACGAGGATCTAATCGCGCGAGAAAGACAGACGGCAATCGGTAGAGAAGGGTAAGAGAGAGGGAGAGAGAGAGAAATAATTCGACGGCGATCGAACGAGAAACGCGAAACGACGGAGGCGCGCAGTTCTGGACCCTTAGAAAATTATTTTTCTTTCAAAATCACCGTTCTCCCGTCGATCCGCCGCCGCCGCGCGCTTCGTAAACTCATTAGGCGGCCCTTGTTCTCGCCATCGTTAATTGAGTGCCGAGGTGAGACGAACGACACGGAATTATCATTCGAATCCTTCTTGTTAGGCATCCGCGTCTCCTCGCCTCACACACTCTCTCTCTCTCTCTCTCTCTCTCTCTCTCTCTCTCTCTCTATCTCCTTTTCACTTACACGCTTTCCACGTTCTCTCTCTTTTTTTCATGGGAATTTATCATTTTCGAAATAGCATAATCAGTTAAGCCTGTCGTATATAAGACGGAAATCTTTTCTTCGCTACAGTAGTGATCAAAAATCGTAAATATTGTCCTCGAAAAAGACAACAGAGGCTCAATTGTCCCGAGAAACTTTATCTATCTGTTTTTTGTTTAACGAAATCTACGTTATACATTGATTGTTAAAGTTGATCGACCGGGTTGTCTACAGACACGCGTTTGCCAGTAATAACGTTACAATAAGTCTTTCGATCGAAAGAGAAAGCGCCGATCCTTCATCGAGATTTAACTTAACGATTCCTTTTTGTCGCAGTTCTTAAATACTCGACGTTCGTCCGTCGGGCATCTTCGACGAGTAATCGTGTGCTACTGGCACGCGGACCGACACCCGTTGCGCGATATACGTTATAGTGACATAACTCGCGGCGAGCAAGAAATGACATTGGCATGCAACGGCGTACTCGAAGCTCAAAGTACAACAGATTTAGAGGCGGAATGAGTTTTTGGCGCGAAATGTGTATGATAAGAGCAAAGTCGCCCTGTTACTCGTTTCATTCGTCAAATACTCTCATTTTCAATGACGATTCCCGAGCGCATCACAACGATCTCCGATTAAGCGTCGCACCTAAAAACAAAAAAAAACGCATTGTCATTGGTGTCGTGATTTGTGCGCGAGCGAAATGCCCTGTAACGGAAAATTGCACGAAAACGACATCTGAGAGTCATGGTGATCCAAAACGGCTCGACAATTAAGGATTCGGAATCTGACGCGCCGAATTGCGGTGCGAATAATCGCTAGTCGATGCCGGCAAGGATCGAAATCGATTTCATGACTCTGCGGGCGACGACGCCGACGGAGACTGGTGAAAAGCGGCACATACAGAAGTGTACATGTAGATTGGGCAAGAGAAGTCGCGCTGAGACGGATTATGTCAAGGATGCACAAACTCTTTCGGCATCGGCTCAGATGGGAGAGTAATGACGCTTGTCACAGATCGTCTTCGATCAGACGCACAAACAGTCTCAAAAATTTATTCGCGCGATATATCTTAATTCTTAGATTTTCATTTTATTACATGTAATAAAATAAACATATAAATTAGCACAAATTTATATAAATTATACCGAGAAATTTATTTTAAAAAATTGGACAATTTGTATATTGAAACGTGTAATCGGGAAACAAATTTATTGAGCCTGTTTCAATTTCTTTTCGTTGGCACGTGCGCGTGTCGGATTGGGGTTTGTGCATCGTTGGATTGTGTAATTTAATCTTGTATATAGGGTACATTTTGTATATTGTTAAAAGTTTGTGTGATATAAATGGTTATGTATTTACTATCGAGCGCGAACGGCGAACGGGGCACCCGCGCGTTTTATCCCACGGGCGATCGGCCGATACGCGACGTGCCATGGTTTTCCGTGGTCCTGCATCGCCGGAGTGCGGCGCGCAGCGGCGTTTTCCCGTCGTAATGTCGTCGACGACAGAAAATGCGCGTTCGTTACTTATAAATTGTCGGTTTCGCGGATCAATCCGAAGTTTTATTCGGCGCCGATCAATTGAATTGTCTCGAATGTACATAACATTAAATTTTGCATTGTTTTTTTTTTTCTTTCATTTCCGCATCTCATTCATTTCGTTCATTTAACGTTTCGTTGTCGCGCGTGATCTCACGAGGTTGCTGCGATTTTTTCGTCGTCAAACGGCGATCCCGCGACCGAGCGATTTGCCTACAAGAGCCGTCGCGCGATTCGCTCCTCCGATACGCGCGACGAGAAGCACGGTCCAAGGACAGTGTCGTCGTGAGGCTCGGCGAGGCGTACGAGCGCGTGATCTCGTCACGGGATCTCGGGCAAAATCGTCGTGAATCGAATTGCGACGCGACGTAGCGCGCGCGCGCGCGCGCGCGCTGCGTACCGCATCCGGCACGCACTTGGCGGGTCCGGAAGTGATCGCGCGAGGAGCACGGAAAGTCCCCCCCGCCCCGCCTCGTCCCCCGCCCGCCCATCCCGCCCGGCCGAATGGCACGCGCGCGGACCGCGACTCCGGTCCCGCGCGCGTCTATAGTTAATTTTGTTATTTCATTAATCTCGGAACTCTTCGTAATCGGGACCCGACATCTGTATGTGGTTTCGCGGCCTCTTGTAAAATACAATTACACCCATGGAACACACACGCGCATACACACAATCGTACGCGAACACGATTTATTAATTAATAAAAATCACAAGTTTTTAGAAAAATGGGGGAAACTCCCACCTTGGTAGTCAGTGTCATTCATTTCCCAGTCGTAATCCCCAGATTCTCTTTCAGGATCGCGTTCAACGACGATGGTGTATCAACGATCGGGCAGACGCCAACGTAAAATTCCTATATTACAATCATGACTACGCCGGGATAAGGAGGAGAGAAGAGGAGGAGAGCACTCCGTTAATTTGGTTAGCCTTTAAGCGACTTCGGCAGGGGAAATCGATCACGAAAACCATTCCTTACCGCCCGGCTCCCAAGTGGCTGAATTAATTCGAATGATTCGAATGTTTCGTTTCGGCGCGCGAGGCCGGAGTTTTCAGCCAACTCCACGGCGATGAGAGAGAACGAGCGGAGCGAACGAGCGAGCGGGCGACCCAACATTCTCCAGTCGGATAGGTATTTAACGGACGTACACGTGTCCGACCATATTGCGTTTGTGTCGTTCGATAAATAGGTGGCTAAGCAACTCCAACGGAAACCCGTGTTAATTAACGTTGAGTTTCAGGACTGATTTACGTGGCGTCTAATTAGCGGGCCTGCCGGCGACGTAGTAGGCATTTTGATTGGCCGCGCCGCGAATAGAACGCGGCCCGATTGGCCTTGCCGGCGTGTCGTATCGATTGTTTTCGTTTCTTCTCCTCTTCCTCCTCCTTCTCCTCGTCCCGTTTCTCTTTTTGTTTCTTCTTAAAAACAAAGGCCGAATAGATGCGCCAAAGCGCGCTTCCGAAACGAGAAATGCTTCTAGCCTGCGATGCAACGACCTACTGATCGCGAAGGGTGAATCTTGTTTTTAATGGGACATTTAAAAAAAAAAATAAGGGAAAAAATGTCACGAGATCACTCGTTTCTCTCAGCGTTTAAAGGTGTCGATTTTTCTCGTTAATCCGGATTGTAATTTTTTTTTTTCATAACCGACAAGAGCATAACCGCAAGATGATTCGTTACGCGAAAGTGAAAGAGAGGGGAAACCTCACCTCGCTAATTAAACCGCTCGCGTCGCGTCCTAATCTTTTATTTGCAGTCTTACAAGCGTATCAATTAAATCCGAGGTCAAACGGGCGCGGCGTGCATCACGTGCGCAGTTGTACACGCGTCTGTTAATTATGAGCGTGTCACTGACGTAATCCGCCGTTGAGGTTCTCTTTCCGCGTTTATTTTTCTTTTCTTCTACAGATTGAGGTACGCGCGATCGCGATTATCGCGAGTACGTTAACGAGACCTTTTGACGCGACGAGAAAATTCCGTAGCCGCTAATTCCGATGCGCGTTGCTGAAAACGCTGAATTGGTAGAGGGAGGGAGGGGGAGGGGGAGAGAGGACGATACAACTTACAATCGCGATCTTGAATACGATCGCGAGCGCGGCGGCGCGATGCATTTTGAAACGTCAAGCGTGTGCAGTTCCTTGAAGTTTTGCGGCAATTAACAGTCGACGGCGAATAACAAACTGAATTTAATTAATTGCATAACTGCGAGCGGAGGCGGTCCCCCCCTCCCCCTCTTTCCTCCGCTACCTCCACCCTCCCAATCCCCACACTTCTAATCGAAGCCGGGGTACATATTGTTGCACCCGTTGCGCTCTGCCCCTCATCAGCCCCACCGGCAATTAATTATAGCATTCCAGGTTAGCCCGGGAATTAATTACGTCCAGAAGTTGGACGCTGGGCGAGGGGATCGTTAGAAATCGTCCTTCGTTAGAGTTAGGCGGGCACGGGTCCAGGTAATTATTGATGGCCTCCTATCAGGTCGCTCATTGTGCCCGATAACGCGCGAGTCGAATTCAGTAGAGGGGACTCGGGGAGAAGAGGAGGATCATCGCGACACTTTGGATTTTCACAGAAACTACAATGAAATACGCGTATGTTGAATACGCGCGAGCGCGCGTGTCCACTGATTACGGAATTAACGCGCGTATATCCTTTCGCGATACTTTTCATCTCGCCGAGATTGAGCTCGTTCGAGACAATTTTCCTAATCTTATCGCGAAACGATGATCGGCGAATAAGGCGCGCGAACAAGACGATTAAAACGGTACTCCTTCGCAGCGAGTATATAAACGTATAAACGAGTAAGCGCAATCTGCGTTTTGTGCCGGACGCCTCGGAACTCCGTTGATGATAACGCGGACCACTTGTTCATCTACTCCTTAATCCCTTCTGCTTGTTAACACCGGGCGCTATACGGCCCGCCGGTGGGACGTTGCCAGGGAGACAAAAAGGGATCGTTAGCGCTCGCGGCCGTGAAACACGGGCGTACGTGTTTCGAGTGTGCAGCGTGGGTCGAGTATTTCGGATTTGAACATCCAACTCTTGATCCGACGTAAAGTTTTCAAAACGCGAGAGATTCGCCGACCGGTCGGGGGTGAGAGATAGGGGACAGTTTCGCGCCGTTAACGCCGCGATTCTGCGATATGCACGTATATGTGTGCCTTTCGAAGCACTTGCGAAATCACCTCGTCGATAATCACCTATTCGCAAGCAACAGGTTTAAAGAATAGATTTATACACCGACGTAAGTGTTAACCTGCAGGCGAGCGATGCGATATCACGTCATTGCACGATGACATTACGCGAATTGTACTAGAGCGTCGAATTTCTTTCTCGCGGTGCATCCGCGTGACGGACGGCGGGGTGGAGAGAAAAAAAAGAAAAGGAAAGAAGGGTGAAAGAGAGAGAGTGAGAGAGAGAGAGAGAGAAGGATCCGGCGAGACAGACGAGGGGTTGCGCGCGAGGGTGGATCGGTTGACACACTGGCGAGGCAATTATTATTGTGAGTGGTTGGCGACGGGACTCCGATGATATTTTATTTAAGAAACAATCGGGTAATAGCTCGCTTCAAGAGGATAGATAACGCCGCGAGCGCGAGGCAGTGCTAGAGAGGCCGACCGGGGAAAAGTTGCGGCGGGATAGAGAGAACGCGCGCGAGCTATACGAGAAAAGGGAATTACGAAGGACGAGCGAGAGGGTGGTCGGACGAAGGCGGGAGGCAGAAAGATGAGGGGAGGTAAAAGGTGAACTTTGAGACGGGCTGGTATCGGGGTAAGCTCTACATTAGCGAATTACCCGCGTGCGCGCGCCCGCCCGCCCGCCCGCCCGCCCGCTGGTCTCTCGCGGCGGTGAACGATAAATATGGTATACCAGGGCAATCCGGAAATATTGTTCGAAGAATTCCGGTAAAAATTCATACAGGAAGATCGCTGAACCGCGGCCGCCTCGTCGACAAGAGAGTTTAATGTAAGACTTGACACGGTCAAGTTCGTACCTGTCGCTGTATATACAACCTCGACTCCTCGACGATCAAGCACCTCGCGGTCGAGACGATCGGTTTTGAATTCTTGAATTGCGTTCAAAAGACGAATGCGAGCCTCAAGAGACATCTCGCGATGTTACGACAATCGTTACAGCTACTTTATTTCATTCTTTCTGTACTCTCGGTACAAATTCGATTACGCGGAGTAAGTATGAGTTTGAAGGGTTCGCGATAAAAATTCGAGAATCGTGCGTAATCGATGCTCGCAGCACTCTCGCCGGAAACGCTGGCGGAACTGATCTCGATGCGCTCAGCGCTCGGCTTGCTCGGCAAGAAAAAGTGAACAGTGGCGTCATCTAATGGCGACGTACAGGTACTCTGTTACCGAATTATGGTACTTGCACACAGGACGCGTACGGCGTAACGGTAGGTAACGTCACGTGATCACCGGCTTGTCCACTGCGTCGACCAATCAGCATTTAATTTTAAATGGAAAAGTTAAATCGTCAACAGCCAAACACGTGGGTCCCAACGGCCGGGTGGGTTTATTCCTTAGTTACGCGTCCTGTGTGTAGGATCCATTACACGCCGCTCCGCGCCAGAGTTCGGGCGAAACGCGGCGACGACGATTTCTTCTCCCGTGCGAAAGACCGAAGATGCGACAGGCTTTTCTTAAGTGAGAAAATATGGAGGACGGCCACTGCATGCACTTCGTCGAGCGCAAGAAGCGGTTCTGCCGCTGCACGGTGCGGGAGGGCCAGCGGTACTGCGGCGAGCATCAGCGGGGAAACGACGCCGGCAAGGAGAGGATGCCGTGTCTGCTGGATCCTACGCAGTAAGTACGCATTAGATTCGGAATCATGCCGCTGCATACCACCGCGATCGAGTTAATCTAACGCGGCGTCATTATTTGTGACTCCTTTGCAGCACGTGCTACCGATCGAAGCTGAAGAGACACTTGCGCGTGTGCAACGCCAAGTGGAGGCTGGAAGCGCGGCCCCCATTCGTGGTCGAGGGAACGAATTTGGACGAGACTATCGCGGCGCCGCCACGCGTGCCGCTGTCGCAGCACAACGGATTCACCGTGGCAACGGTGATAATGAAGATTCATGCCGCCTACGGTACCCTTGCGATTACATATATATATATATATTTTTATTTAAAGAAAAAAAAATGCATTTCTCCTTCATGTCTCTTTGTTGTGTTCCGTTCAGATGAGCTTCCAGAATTTTCTCGAAGGATTCTAAGGCACAAAATACTCGACGACAAATTGAACGATAAGAACTGCGGTAGTAACGTTAGGAAACACTTGCTTCAAAATGCATCTCTGTTGGGACATCTGGAGCAAGCCGGTCTCGTGCGAGACAACACTTGTTTCATCGAATTTGGAGCTGGAAAAGGTATATTTATGTGGTAATAATTCGCTGATTCTTTTGAATCTTTTATTTTGATAAAGAAATTTCGTTTTCTGCTTCTCGAGAAACGATCTATTGCTATTTCACGTGTCACACTGTGACGAGTGAATTAAATGAAATCAAACTTTAAACAGCTCAATTAACGTATTGGTTGGGGCAAATTATTAAGGACAAATCAAACTCTTGCATCCTACCGATCGATCGATCTAGTCACCGGCATAAAAGCGACAATAAGCTTAAGAGGGAGGACAGTCGTCTCACAATAAATAGGATACGCGCCGACATTGCCGATCTGCAGCTGAACCAAATCCCAGAGATCCAGTCGATCAAGTACAAGGTCGGCATAGCGAAGCATCTCTGCGGCACGGCCACTGGTACGCCCGTTTCGTCACTGTGCGTTGACAAAGCTCCACTTTTATATTGCCCTATATAATCGACGATAACGATATGCTTTTCAGACTTGACGATACGTTGTTTGGTAAAGTCGATGAACAGCGAGCCTAAGGTCGACGTGCGCGGTCTAATCGTCGCATTTTGCTGCCATCACAAGTGCGAGTACTCGTCGTACGTGGGCCGGGAGTACTTGAAACAGTGCGGCTTTACCGTGAACGAGTTCCCCATACTCTGCAGCATAGTCAGCTGGGCGACTTGCGGCACGCGTTTAAAGAGCAACGTCAACTCGCCACGCGATTCCGCGACACGTGACGCAACGGCACACGATCCCCTAACGAATGATCCCACGTGGTGTCCCTGGTTGGAGACCCTCGCCCCGAACAAGCCCTGGAAAACGAACGAGCGCGAAACTATCGGGCGCAAGGCTAAGGCACTGCTGAATTGGGGCCGTCTGGTCTTCTTGGAGAACGCGGGATTTCAGGCCGAGCTGCTTTACTACACCTCCGCCGATGTCTCGTTGGAAAACATGTGCATCGTGGCGACGCGAAAATTTTCCTTGTGATTGGAATATGTTGTATTTGTTTAAAATAAATTTTAAAACTAAAAAAAATTATCGTTATCACCGTGTGCGTTGTCTCAAAAATCATTTTCATTTTTGTTATCAATAAATACATTTCTATATGATATATGCTTTATATGTATATGTCAAACGTGTAGTTCTGCACGAGGATGAGTTACCCGTCGATTATCGCTTTGCCGCTCCAGTCGGGACAGACGACTCCGAACTTATCGGCCCTAGGAGACTCGACTTACGTGAATGACACACGGGAAGTAGTACGCAAGTCACAAATAATCTTCCCCCACCGAACGAGATGCCCCGCCCAATACGAGTGATCTAACGCCGTTCAAACATTCCACAGCACGGTGGTCGATGCAGAGTTGCTCCGACGACTTGTGTGTCTCCTCTTGTCGCCCGACTTACGGCGTACCGTTGTATCGCCGAAGGGAAAGTGGCCGTCGACGACGCGAGGAAGGGTGAAAGAAAAAGAAACGCCATTGAGGTGTGTATAAGCCGCATACAGGACGCGCGTGATTACCGTTGAATTCGTGCGTACGCGCGTATACACACGTAACCCTACACCTGCTTTTGACCCATATCGAATGTCTATTTTTATCCGCCCGCGCGTACTTTCGCGTGATCGTAGTGAAGATACAGAGCGATAACGATAGCAGCGATTCATCAATCGATTGTATATACACGGAGTTGTGTACACACATCCCAAGTGGCGCGCCGCGCCACGCCACGCCACGCCACGCCAAGCCACGCCTGATGCTAGCTTGCGACATTCTTACCGCACTAATAGGACCCCCTCTTCCCTTTTTTTTTCTTTCAGACAATAAGCGAGTAACAAGGCTGTTAACGTTGTGACATGTCCATTCTAGACGAGCGCGAAGAATATCTGAAGAATCCGTATTTTAAAGAGCGCGAATACGGCGACTTCACAGCATTCTATGTCACAGTGGCTTTCTGCGCCGTCCTGGGCGGATTTCTGTTTATCCTGAACATCGTGTTCTGCTGGTGCTCGCGACACCGTGAATATTGGCAGAATCGCCACTCCGGTGAGTCAGATATGCCCTCCTGCAGTGTACCTGTAGTATCACATCACGTAGCTTTTTTTTGACGGCCGCGCGCGACTGATACAGTTTCATTTATTTTTTAATAGCGTATTGTCCTATTGGGATTTAGGCAATAGGTGGATCCAGCCCCTATGGACTGTACTGCCGCATAAAACGCCGCCGCTTGACCTCAGCGAGTTGGAGCCCAGTCGCATCAAGTACCCTCAAGTGAGGCACGAGATTATTCAGTACCACGATTCCGAGTCCCAGGGTGCCACGCCGCAGCCGCAGGAGTACATGGAGATGCAAAAGCGCGAGAGTGAGATCTAAAGTAGCTGGCAGCACCAACCTAGCGAGCAGTGGAAAACAGTAGTAGCAACACCCACGCTTAAGGAAACACGTTCAAAGTCAAAGAGTTTAATTGAGCCCAATAGAGTCTAATTAACCCTTTGCACTCATTTAATTGCATTGTGAAGTCTCTGACTTGGCTGCCTCGTACGCTGAAACTTTCACTTCCACCAATATTATTTTCACATTGCCCTGCTTATACGTAAAAATAATTTTTATTTTTTTACCAGACCGTTTGTACAATCAAAAAGAAATTAATTAAGACACTGTAGCGACTTGCTCCGCAAGTTGTGTTTCGATAATTGCACGCAACATTAGTTGCAAATAGACGATAATCTCAGGCAGCATAATAAATTCCTCATTATGGGCTTGCACGTTTTCTGGCCTGCCACGGCCTGCCTGACGCTCTTCGTAGTTTGCATTATAATCGTGATGCTCAAGTACGGCGCACGTCTCTGCAAATTACGGCACGAGCCGTTGCCCTCCGACCAGGACTGGGAGGGCAAAGTGTATTCCAGAAAACTATCTGTCTCCGTGGCGTGAGAACAGATAGCACTGTACCCGAAAATGTACTCAGATTGTGCATTTCTTTTTTCATTTAAATATTTAAAATATGTGTAAATGAAACTGCCAATTTGTACTTTTGCTGACGTAAATCGAACGTAAAATAACTTCCAAAAGTATTTATAACTGCTTTTTCTACGATACACATCTCGTATATAGATATGATATTGCAAAGACACAGTATTGATCATATAATGATCTGACATTCCGTCCATTTACTACGTAATACGTACTAATATATATCTTTTATGAATGTAGAAAACACGTGCACGTGTTTTTTTTTTTTTTTTTTTTTTTCGAAAATTAGTGCAATTTTCTAACAAACTTTTATAAAATGAAATTAATTTACAGCAAGACCATTGAACGAGAATTATTAATTTTATATCCGTCCATCTTTGATATTATTAAATATACCTTTTTTTTGAAATAAATTTTTAGTAATAATATCGATAATTGAGCACTTTTGTAATTTTTGTATCGATACATTTTACGAATAAAACACAATGTCATGAAAATCTCTACCTCCAAATCACTTTTTATGAAATTTTTTGCGATCCCCGGTCGACGCAATTTGAATGGATCACATCACTCTTGTATATATAATATTTTACTTTTATTGACAACATTGGATTTTTGTTACATGTGTAATGGTTACACAATTACTTCAATAAGTAAGTAGATGCATTATACAATTTTTATAGTAATTTTATAGTAAAGAAAATCATCGATTTCATCGAGCTACGATACATCCAAAAATTCAGGAGCTATCCTAAGCTATACGGTCTGAATGAGACGAAACAGTTTCATATAATGTAGCAACCGCGTGATCAGCGATTTATACAAATACTTTTAACAACCATTTATCTAAATCGTTGCGAAGCAGTTATATCGATCGAGTACAACAAATTGACGTGTCTTTGGAAAATGTACAATCGAATTTGTTTAATCTTAACGAAATGCGTAGAAAATTTTTTTTTATCTCTGTTTTACCAATAAAAATGGTTAAAGCAGTCTATTACAATTTCTACAGTTGCACTAACGAGATTAAACCATCAACAAGATCGACGATTATGAAACTCAACGGTCCGTAATAGTAACGGCGCGATTCGTATGCCTCTAATTATTTTAATTCTAACGGATAAAGTTTTTGAACGATTCTCTTATAATATCTGGAATATCTATGCTTTTATTCCGGAGGACGCAGTGCACGCAGATAGCGAAAGCCTGTTCTGGAAGAGATATCGAGAGGGATTTTTCAGAGCAGAACTAATTAGAAGGCGGAAATTAAAATTGTACTGTGTGACCTTTTCTGACAGTCTCGGGAGTCGAAGCGCGGGTATCGATTTGCAGGATTTAATTCACGACTTGTTATAAAAACTTCAAGTCAGAGAGAAATCCGCTTCGAAATTTCTCCAAGGGAACACGGATATTTGCTATCGACGCACGCACGCTCCTCCGAACGCTCCTGTATAGTTTCGTCGAAGGATCTGAAAAATTAGTCTCTAGGTTTACTGATGTATCTTTTCTATCATGCTATGTTACAATGCGATTAAAACATGGAGAGCTTTTCCGCGAGCTCCATATACAGAAAAGTCAAGCACGAGACTCGTTACATCTGTTTTACATTGCCGAGATAATTGCACGGCGCATTCGAATTGTTTCATAATTGCGCAGTCCTGCACGTTAAGATCGTTAAGAGCGCGAGATTCCTACGAAAACTAAAGTAAGAGGCATGCAGCAAATTTCGCGCATTTCGTAAAAAGTGTAGCGTTACTCGGAATGGTCTCGGACGCCGAAGGATCTCTTTCGAGCGGAACATTGCGCGAGTGGATCTCCGCGGATCGCGCATGTAATTAGTGCACGCATTGTAAAATAGACGCAACGTGGGAGACACATTTAATGCTTTTTTAACCGGCACATAAACGAGTCTACTTCCGTGGCGTGTCCCAACTGGTACGAACTGGCCTCGGTGCGGAGCACGCAGCTTCGATCGGAGCCACACCTTGGCAATACGAACGGTGAAGGGAACGACAAATATCCGGTGGAGTTTGAGTTCACCAGTTGGAGGATCAATGGGAGGGGGGGGGGAGGGGGGACAGTAATTAGCGAAGAGTTCATAAAACGGAGATAACGCTATCCTATAGGTTTATCGATAAGATTCCGCTTCATGCGTAATGATGATATGCTGTAATACGGGAGCTAGAACTAGGCGTTTGATGATGACGCGCGCGCGATTCCGCGCGTACGGCGTCCATAGGGTTTTAGATGAACTCCTGGAGGTCCTCGGAATCCGACGCGTGGAAGACAATCGTCGACAATCACCGAGACGTTCTCTTAACGTCCCGCGACCCTTCGTCTGATTGTCGGAGCTGAAGAACCGAGCCACCGTCGCGTATCGGAGATCTCGATGGAGATCAGGAAGAGACACCTTCAAAATATTATTGTTTGCGAAAAATACTCTCTCCCCGGGTCTCATCTACCCCCCTATGCATCCCTGCGAGACACGTCCGCACGTCGCGGGTCGCACTCGCGTGCAAATACCAAACGCGCAAACAGCTTAACTTCCTCTCTCACCGACGAGCCCTCCGGTTTTTACATCTAGACTTAAAAACGAATTACAATCTTGTATGCGGGGAGGGAGGGATTTGATTTTTGTGACGTCGAAAAGATATCCAGTGATCTATCTCTCTTTTTCTCTCTCTTTCCTGCACGCGCGGGCGTGCATGTTTGATGAGACGACGAGTTATTTCAGTTTGATTTTCATGCTCATTGGCGAGTTTCCATATTTGCCAGTTATCACTTGATACATTATTATTATAACGTTAATTGCGAATATTAACATCGGAAGTGACAACGTCCTGCCGAGAGGAGCGCGGAGGATTCCGGAAAAATTCATTAGGCTCGCGCGAACATTCTGTTGCTAAATATGTATAGTATATTTCCGCATTCGTATTTTATAATTCTCTCGACAAATGTTATTTTTGATGTGTTTCTTTTGATCGTTTTATTTTGATTTTGTAATTTTTGATTCGTCGTGACCGTTTTGGATATGCCACACGGGGGACAGATGCCGTTTAACTTCTCGCTCGAGCATCCTCGTTTAAACTTGACGAACCTTCGCGACGGCGTAATAATTGTCGGAATATCTCGCGCATGTTACATGATACAGGACACAGTTACTTTGAACACCGAACATTGTATATTTATGTGACAATTGAATGAAAGCTGTTTAGTATGACAAATATTGTACACGATTTTAAGTGGATCAGCAGCTAAAGCCAAACGGGGGTCGCTGCTGTTTTCTTGTGTGTGATAAACAATAATATTAATAATATTAATAATAATACAATATCGCTGCGGGAAGACGAGAGAAACAACTTTGGCGGATGATCTTATCCTCTGCGAACCTCCGAAATGGCGGCTGCTTCTAATCAGGGAGCTCTGATCTACGATGTGTGCTACGCTCGTTAATCGAACAACCAGTGGTGCAGATTTTGCAAGAACGCGCTGAGAAAGCTAACACTCCTTGCGGATCCTTTAAATACATCCGAATTCGAAAGTCGTGAAAAAAATTTCGCGTCGAGAGAGACGCCGGTGTCGCAAATTTGCGGAAAATTCAATGCAACAAACTGCATCACTACGTGTCTGAACGATCGGCCGTGTTTAGCTTTCGTCATCTCGAACATGTTACGTATCGGTTCCCAATCGATTCTCCGGTTGATTGCGCGGCTTAACCCTCCAAGATCTCGTCAACGTCCATTTTTAGAATACCTTTATACGATCAATAACTCCTCTACGAGGAGGGACTCGTTGCAAATTATGTCAATGGGTTAGATAGAAGAGCCTCTTCGACAGGCGTATGCTTACGAACACGATATTTTCCATACACACTCGGACCTATTATTTAACCAATCTACTGTGTTTACTCGGAAGTCGAAACATTTAAGCTAAAATTCACGCGCAAACGTACACCACTGATATAAACTACTGCGGATAATGGTACGAGGAAACCCTAGAAGGGTTAACAACCGAGTCATTGCCGAGAGAACAGATGTGATCATCGAAACGTATGCACCATTCCATAATTATTAACAGTAATTAATCGACGGCAGCGCACCTTGATAAAACGGTTTGCAGTTGCGCGGCACGCGTCTGCATCCCAAATGCAAATGACTCCTAGGCAGTATACGTGATAAACGCTTCGATCGACGTGCGATCCAAATTTGTGCTCTGCCTCGCAATTAATTGGCGACAGGGAAGGGGATCGAGAGAAGGTACGGGAATCGTAGAGATGAGAGTGCGCTTTCGTTGCCCGATTAGAAGAAATGATTGGAGATCGGCGGATAATTACTGCTTGCCCGATTTCTTGTTCGACCGTTCACCTGGAAACAAAAAAAACAAACAAGGGTTCGCGCTTGCTGTTTAAATTCCCCCCTCTCCGCGGGCAGCAACAGCCCGGCAAATCAATCAAACGAGAGATATTACCTTTGGCAGATTTCTTGGTATTGGTCTCCGGTTTACACCTCTTGGTCAGCCGTCGCGTCTTCTCGCAGGATGTATCGCTGTTTGCTTTCAGATTGTCGATTCTCGTCATTACCTGATTCACGCATCCGCTCCACGTGCCTTTCTCGTATCGGCATGCTGCGTTCAATCGAATTAGAATATGTTCCCGAAAACTAGCCTCTTGCCAAGCGATTTAAATTCAGGACTCACCTTTCTTGCACTTCTTCTGTATAGTCTTGGTCTGCTCGCAGGACTTGTCACCCTTCTTGAGGTTCAGAGTGCGCGACCGCGTGTTGGTAGTCGAGTCGCATTCCGACCATTGACCCTTTACGTATCTGCACGACGAGGAGCTGCCGGATGCTGCGTCAGCAGATGCGAAACGTCAATAGAAACAATTGGACGTAACGTCGATCAAGCGAATAGAGAAAGAGAGAGAGAGAGAGAGGCAGGGAAAGACTTTTAAGGTCGACGGGGAACGACTTGTAATTACGTTTATATACGTGTGTTACATATATAGACGGTCTATATTCGCGACCGCTCGATAAAATAACGTCACGATGAGTGGAAGGGGGTAATGGATTAATTACAGAAAGAAGCACTCACTTCGTTCCTTAGTACCGCGCACTGTCCGCACAAGCACCTCCTTGTCATCCTCCTCCCACAGATCAGCTTCCGCTCGCGCGGTCGTAAGAATCACCAACAGGGCGACGGCCACGAGAGCCAAACTCCAGCACAGCTTCATTCTGTTGGAAAAAAGAAAAGAGAACGCTTCATCAAGCACTCTTAATTGCAGCTTTGATATTTAATTATTATACAAAGCAGATCCACGAGACGGATTGCTGCTGCCAGGTCGGATATTTCTTTATATAAAAAACGATCCAGATTGTGGATCTGATAATTTCGCGATATCAACGATTGCTCGGTATCTTTTCGAGCTTAATCAATAGATTGATTATCGTGGCAAATCAGTGGCGGTAAATTACCGAACCGAGAAATGGATAATCTTCTCACAACGACGCGCTTTGATTTTTTTTTTATATGCATTCGGCTTCGTTCTCGCGAGGCAGTCGGCGAAGCAAAAACTTCTTTATGCTGGATTTCACGCTGACGTTAATTAAAGCCAGCCCGTCAATCTCTATTAAAGCGGCCCGTCATTGCCGATAACTCGCGATCCACGTCACGAGGCACCGACAGGCCGGCACAAAGGAAGAAGAGCGCCGCGACGTCGAATTCGCGGAATTTCAGTTGATAGCGGTTATTAAACTTTTCGGGGCGATGCGCTCCGTTCTCGTTACGATTCGTCGCGATTATCTCGATCTCCCGCGATGACAAGTGGCCCTTAACGAGAACCACAAAGGATAATTAACCTCGGTCGTAGGCATCACTGCGAGAATGGGATCGCTAAAAATAAAATCTTACGTCACCATGAATAATTCGCATTTTAATCCTTAGCGTTGAATGCTTCGTACGTAACCGATTGAACGTCGTTCTCGTTTCGACAATCTCGTCTGCGCTTCCGTGATAGTTGCGCGCGGAAACTCCTCGTCGATAACGATAGTTCTCAAATGTTGCAGCGCATTATAAAATCTATGTGTGTCCACGCAGTTGGATGTCTCGTTGCAGCCTCCAACCATACAAAATAATTATTGACAATTGTCACTCTCGTTTCGCAGCTGTAACGTTAACAAATCCAGGTCGCTCACGACTAAAATCTATTTTTACCCGGTAAATCCGACGAAAAGCGACTGCGGTGTGCACACCAGTTCTGTCCAGTCCAGCGTGCGGAAGCCGAAGATTGATTTATTGGAGGGTGCGCGATGATACGGACGCATAAACGATTGGCTCAAGGTCTCTTCTTAGATCGATGCCATCGTTTCGCACGCGATTAAAAATGACGCGCTTCTGACGAACTATATGAATCGGTCGGCCACCAAGGCCGCGGGACTAATTAATCATCATGGTCGGACGAGTGTGCGTGTGTCGCGCGGGGAGAATTCGACGACCGGCATTTCCACATCAGCGGGCGATGATGGATTATTCTCTGTGTAACGTCGGGGTTCATGAATAAGCAGCGGCATAATCTCAGCTGCTTCGCTCTAAATCTGAGGAGCGTATACAAGATTCAAAGACACGGGGCTCTCCCCGAGCTGCGGAGAGACCATGGACGTCAAAAGCTTCCAAGATCCTAGGGCTCCAACCCGATTTCAAGATCAGGGAGAGGAAAAGAGAGAGAACGTACTGAAAAAGCACGGCGCGCGGCGCTGTGACGTGTCAAATATGGTTCAAAGGTCCTGGGATACACATATATAGAGTAAAATGCAAGTCCGAGAATAGAATATAGGAGGATCCAGAAGAAATCAAAGAATGTATAATCTATATTAACGAACGGATGTGCGAGAGTCCGCAGAAGTTGGACATGACGCATTTCACTCGGTATCGTGCATTTCGCTGCACGCATCCTTACAGTCATTCTCGCCATTAGCCGACATTGAGACAATCAGCACTCGTCAGCAATCTTGCTGGACCACCGCCGGTCGGTCGGTCGGTCGGCCGGCTGGCTCTCCCCACGCGAATCTCCGCTTATATTCAGACAATTCGTAGGGAAAATCGTTCGCGGCGGCGCGCTCGGATTGACGGAATTGACAAAATTATCGTCGCATCAGAAACGGCCGGACGCGAGTGAGACGGCGAACGGAAGTTGCCTTGTTCAAGTTCGTCGTCGAACCTATTATTGTCGGTCCACCAACGCCGTGATGCGGGTGAATAAGAGAAAGGGAGAGAGAGAGAAATGAAAAAAAGAGATGCAGAACGAGAGAGAAAGAAAAAGAGTTATCGAGCAGATAATATGCCGTCGAATATAGACCGGCGGGGACACGCGGTCAACATGTCCCCGAGAGCAAGGGGACGTTGGCCGATGTCCAGATATACGTTCTCTCCGTGCGTCCAACTCGCAAGCACGAGTACACGAACTCTTGCCTTTCCTTTTCGCGCGCGTGGGTGTTTCTAGTCAACCCTACAAAAAAAAAACAAGACCTTTATTTTCTACGGATCAACCGGGGGGGAAGCGCGAGTGACGTGCAGACGCCTGATAAAAATTAAAAAGCCAGCGATATGAGCGTAGAGCGTTCATTTTTTCGCTTGATCATATGTACCTGGTAAACAGGTGTCTAGCTGACCGTGCGCTCGGGCGAGAGAGAAAGAGAAGAAAACAAATCGTCGAGTCGAGGCATCACGTAGTTGATAGAGTATCGCGCGTCGCGAAAAATACGAGAGACCGTTCGGGGAGACGTAAGAATACGCGTTCGGTTTATCAACAAAAATTTATCAATAAAATAAAAGAATAATAACAAGTCCCACAGATAAAGCACGATGTTGTTATGCACGCGATATAAAAGATAAGAGAGGATCGACAGCATGAATGTATAAGCGATACGCTCGAAAAACGCGTGATTCATGTAGCTGTCATACGAGACGTTCTATGCCAAAGTGCGCACAAGGCGGTCTTCCTCTCTCGTGGAACGAAGTCAGTCTCGAACAATCGAATTTTCGTATACCGCAAACAAATTCCTCGCCCTCGAAATTCGAAATTCCGTTGGCGCGAGAACTTTTATTTCTCGGAGTGTGTGTGTGTATGCGTTCCTCGGGATTTCGGAAAACTTCGCTGTGACTACCGCTCCTCGGGATCCTCCTCTTTTTAGAAAGTTTAGAAAACTTTCAGTACCTTAGAACTTCGATTGTTTTCAAACTCGCGCAGGCAGGAGAATGGGAGAGGAGTTTTTAACTCCGATTTCACGGACTTTTGTACACGTCCTGTATACGTCGTGCGCTGGTGCCCCTACATGCACCTACGATTTATCGTTCCGCAAAGCGTTGATCGTTGATCTCCCTGCAATTAGCATCGGGGCAGCAGAACGAAAATCAAAATTATTTATGCGAATTGCGTACAAATAGCTCGCCCTTCGACCTTTCTTTTGTCTCCGTTCTCTGTTACCGGCAGCTCTACAAGCCGGTCAAAAAGCGGTACAGAAATAAATCACCGAGTATATTACTTCTTCGTCCGTCCGTCCGTCGCAGAACTTGATCTGGCCTTTTTTTATTTACCTTCTATATGTATACGGTAAGTAGGACGGACAGTTGACTTGATCTGTTGCACGAGAGAGAGAGAGAGAGAGAGGTGCGCGGAGCGGCTGCAAGATCCTATAAGGCAAGTAACTAGACATCGCGTCGCCTAGAAACAAGCTCTATCTCTCGGCCTCTCGGTATGCCCGCTACTATTGCGCCCGCGCGACACGGCTTATAAATAGCTTGAAAATGAAGGGTTAAAAGGTTACGGCGTGTCTGTCGCAGCCTTAAAAAATCTCGCATCGTTTTACAGACCCACGCGTCGGTCACGCGGCTGTAGGAGAGGTAACGAGAACGAATTGGTCGTCATTTCGCGTCTCGGCCCGCGCCGCTGACTCGTGATTACTGCTGACTGCGATTTTGCCGTTTCATTCCGAAACGCGAAGCCGTGATGCCCGACCTATACGCGAGTTCTTCTTCCACCTGCGCTAAAAAAAAAAATTAATAGTAAGCGGAAACGAAGGGAATTTCTCGGATTTCTGAGCGAGGAATAAGATTTCGCTGTCCCTGTCACTGAAATTTACAACCAGCACAATATCCCTCGACCTTATCAGTCGCCTGTCAGATTTATCAATGCTACAACACGAAGTCTTATCAATTTTTAAATCCGGCTTCTTATCATTTCCGAAATTTATCTTGCGCGTACACTCTTGACCCTTTTTCAGCTATCTTCACAATACTCTACAATACATTCGGTCATTTAATGGATCTGATATAAATCACAAAGATCATAAAAGATTTTGGTGATTGAAATAAAACTTCTGTTACCCTACACTTGACTCTAAAAGCTATGAAAAGTCGGATGGAGGAAGATAAAGGGTTCGACTCCAGAGACCCGGAGAAAGAGCGAAAGCATATGAGGGGCGCAAACGGGTACAGAAAGAGCATCGATCGTCGTTGTGTCGTAGACACGCGCGTACAATGGGAAAAGCCGCTATTAGTTTCTGGTCCCCTCGGTCCTTCTCGGCTCATCCCGGATCAGCCGCGCGCGCTGCAAGAGCTGGACCAGCAACGGAGCGCAAAAAATTGTCGGATCTCCACCGCACCACCGGAGAAGTGCGACGAGAATCAGGGGCGGGTCTCCGCTCCGCTCCGCTCGTTCGCGGAAAATCGATCAGCAACGCCGGGCGGCGGCGGCGGCGGCGGCAACGGCGTCGGTGTTCCGTTCTCTCTCATTCTTTCTCTCCCTCCTCTCCTCTCCTGTCCACTCTCTCACTCTTTCTCTCGCGCGAAAGACTCACCTGCCACAGAGATGTCAAGCAGAGGATCGCGAGCTTAATCGGCTTCCAAACGTATTTCCGGTCGGTTCCGTAATTATCCGCCTACGTAGCCGCGGACACGCTCAACGGGGAGGATGCTGCTGGGTAGGAGATCCGCTCCGTAACGCGGCTGCGTGATGCACCGTGATCAGCGCGTCGGATGAAGAACGGACTTGGATGTTCCGATATGCCTTCTAAGCGTTGCGATGCCTGGACACCGTTGACTGCTACTACTACGTGTTGCTGCCGCCACTGGTACTGCCGCTGCCGCCGCCGACCGGAGTCATCCCCCTCCCCGAGTCAGTCCGGAGTCCGGCATCCCTCAGGCGCCATGCATATCCTCCCCGCTCCGTCCGCCGATCTTTCCCCTTCTTCGTTGCCGTCACCATGGTGATCATCCCTCCTAGAAAAGAGAAAGGCGACTGGATAAATAGAAATAGAACTATGTGGTGAGAATCGTACAGGACGTTTCAAAATGAAATTAAGGCCTAATTACTGAGCCTTTGTCGTCGAAAATTAAAACTTTGGCACACTGAGGACGTTGAGGAATATAAATGGGCACTTAGCTTCCTTTCTCCCTTCTTATGTATAATCTTTAATGTAACTGAAATAAAAGAAAATTATTATAAGAAAAACATTACGATTAAAAAGGAATGACGGGAATCTAGAATTATTTTGGTGATAAGGAAGAAATAATGACAACGTTAGTTAGGATTGCTTTCAAAAATAAACATTTATTTCAAAATTAATGCTTACCATTAATGCTGTATCCTAAAAACTAAGGTCTCTATCCTAGACACCGAGCGTGTTTAGGTGTTGTCTTAAGATTCCTTATAAGTTTACTGCATTGTTAAGTTGTGTACAATTTTGTATAGTACCGTAATGGGCTTTAATCAGCGAATCCAAATCCTCGCTGATTCGCGAAATCACATGATACCCTTCAAAACCCACGCTTCAAACTTCCAAGAGATCAGAGCTCCAAAGATCCAAGGATCCTTCGACACAAGAATTCAGCCGAAGCCAAGATTTACAAAACTTGATATTCAGAGATCCGAGATTGAACTAAATATCATCAAAATGAATGAGAATTCGTATGTCTAAAGATCCTAAGATCCAAACTGGAAAATCCAAAAACCCAAAGATTTAAGGACCCTTTATAAATCCTTAAGACTTAAAGACCCGAAAATTTAACGTCTTACATCCTAAATGCAACGCATTTGTAATGCGTTCGTACCTAATTGAATCGACGAGCAAAAATCATGTATACAAAACTCAGTTGCGCGTTATTTCTTATATCACCAAACAGAATTCGACAGTTCTCACTCTCCAGTATCTCGATAAAGAGTAAAATGATAGTACCGCTAAGTGATGATATCACATTTATGGTTCGGAGTATGCGCTATCGAGGACACATCCTTAAACAGCATCTTTTGTAGATTGTACCAGTTCGCCGAACGACGTTTCCAGACATTGCCGTAGCTCCGCATAACTTACCACTAGAACACTCTGCTCATCTCGAGACATGAGGCATATCTGTAACGATACATAATATTTTAAGATTTACTTTATGTGCACACATGAAAAAAACAGTCAGGAATTATTATTATTACCTTGTCCTGCGAGCCCGAATCGAGTTTATTCAAGCAAGCTACAACGTGCGCAAGATCCAACCAGGGTCTTCCATCAGCTGTCACTTGATGAAATACGTAGTCCCTAAACAATTTGAGCATGTAACGATCGCCTGTCTCTGCCCATGTGGGTTCCATATTAAGTTCCGGCCTTTCGTTGATAGTCGCTAGCTTCACCAGCAATTTAAATAGTCGTCCGTTTTCTAATTCCTTGGCAAGTTCGTTCTCGAAAACATCCAATCGTAACTGGGCGGCATCCAACTGTGTATAAAATCGCGCACCAATCATTGGCATGAGATCCGTGACACTCTTACGGGGTTGATTCGACAGCAAGTACCTGAAAATATGTCATTCTGTTTTAAGCATATCTCTAACTTGCATAACCGCAGATTGGATTACAATAAAATTAGAAATCATACAATTTTTTTGTGCTATCCCTCGAGACTCATCAACATTATTGTATATCATAAAATTTCAGTTACAATAAATAAGATAGATATAAGTTTTACACTTATTAAAATGATTCTTACACATCGAGTGATATTATTAAGAGTTACTAAGGGTCACAGACATACAGGATAAGATTTCGAAGGTCGGTGGAGTAGGAACGTGTGATCAGCTCGATGGAGGCTGACATATTGTCGCGATGGACGGCGATAAGACTTCGACACGCCAGCGCTAAGACCAGCTTGCCAAGTGCTACTAAATCTTCTTGCTGATAATGCGGGATGAGGGTAAGTGGATTCGTGGTGTTTCCATCTAGAGTGACCACATCTGGAATGGCGACACAACTCAAACGAAGTCGTGTCCGTGATGTAAGTAGTACCTTAGTGGGATCTAAGCATCTGTACGCCAAACCTGTAAAACGCAAATCGAATTGATGCAGAATTAAATTAACAAAAGATACAAAACAAAAAGTTTAAAGATCTATAGGTACAAAGTCAAGTGGCGTCTACAATAAGACTTGAGATTTAAGAAAATTGACCAATCACAATCATTATTATTCTTCTCACGCAAGATGAATAATCCACAAATAAACGGTCAATTTTCTTCAATCTTAAGTCTCAAGTCACATTGTGGACGCCGCTTTATATGTACACTATAAAATATTTCTGATTCTTTAAAAGAGACAGGTGTATGAGAACAATATAATAATATATACTGACCAGCGGCATGAATAACACGAAATGCGGCAGTGAGTTGAATGATGTAGCTCCAAATAACACTTTCCGGTAGCATGCTACTATGCTGCTGTCTTAGAATAGTGTTCTTGGTATGACTATAAGGCCGTGGTGCGTTGGGATCCGACGAGAACGGGTCGGTGTAACCGTTAAGCTCAGTCGAGGCGAAATGTTTGTTCAGCAACGTCTCCGAGGCAGGGTGATAATCGTATACAAAAACCATGGCTGGAAAAAGAAAGAACACGATCGGTGAGAGTGCGATACGGTGCATGTATAGATAATGTACGAAATAAATACATCAATACGAACAATGATCACCGAACGCCTTGGTGGTAAAGACTTCTCTCAGCTGAACCAGATTTGTGTGTGACAATCGCTTCCACATATCGACCAGTACCATACACTTCGTATTGGCGAGTCGGAAATCTATGAGAATAGAGTTCGAGCGTTAACTACAAAGTTGGTAATATCCACTAATATCCTTAAGTCAAAGCTTATAAGCTTACCGTGAATACGACGTAAACAATATCGTGTGCCAGTTTTGATACTGGTGGCCTTGTATGTGGAAGTTTGATATCCAAGGACTGTCGAGGCGGGTTTATGAATTGGCTCCAAAGGACATAACTCGTGATAATTGTCGACTTCATTAGGTAAGTCAGGAAATCGCACTACATCGGGCTGTGCCAATATCAACGTGTTCTTCTGCAAGATTTCCGTTCGCAAAGTATCGCTGGCAAAGAAGCTGGGAGCAGCCTGAGGCGGAGGAGTGGAGGGAGCGGAGGAATTATTAGAGGAGGGTGGTTTCGCCGTTTTTACGGGTTGCAGATGCGAGGGTGTGCCCGGATAGACGTAGCCAATCTGCGTCGTTGCCACGGGTCCGATCTAATATTAAAAATAAAAGAATGCAAGAATTTTATTTGTCTTATTTGTCAAGTATCTAATATTAAAGATAAAAGAATGCAAGAATTTTATTTGTCTTATTTGTCGAGTATCTAATATTAAAGATAAAAGAATGCAAGAATTTTATTTGTCTTATTTGTCGAATATCTAATATTAAAGATAAAAAAATGCAAGAATTTTATTTGTCTTATTTGTCGAATATCTAATATTAAAGATAAAAAAATGCAAAAATTTTATTTGTCTTATTTGTCAAATATCTAATATTAAAGATAAAAGAATGCAAGAATTTTATTTATCTTATTTGTTGAGCAAATAAAACAAACAGGAAAGTAGGTAAAAATTTGTGCTTACAGCCTCAGTGCCATCCTCGACTCCGACAGCGTCGCTGCTGGCATTCCCGAAATAGAAATACGTAGTGCCGCCTACGTTTTCTTGCGAATGCGTGTAAGAGTTGTTAAAGAGATTCGGCGAGCTGCTGTTGCTGCCCGTAAGGCCTCTTCCTGGCACAAATTCAGGACTGGCAGTTACCTTCTTTTGTGGGTCCAGAGAAAGGTTGGACAAATGCTTGGTCATTGACGTCGTGCTCAAGCCTATGCCAGGATTCTGATGATTCTGCACAAGACGATACACACAGAATAATTATCCAAGCTGACATCTTGATACTATTTATTACAACAACAACAACAAAAAATGGCGAGTTACCATGTAGGTAGCAAGTTTGGACTCCGATGGAACTCCGTTTGTTTGAGGAGTGTATGTGACGAACATCGATGGGTCCATCGCTTCCTCAGCCACTGCATTTACCACTTTCGTACTTATCTTTTACCCTTACTCTCTATATTGTCCTTAATTAAATTCACCACCCACTTATTTCTCACACTAACTTTTTTTACAAGTGCTCTATCTTGACGTTTCCTTATTCTTGCTTTGCGGATGTAAATCGAGGTTTTAGCTTCCCGAGCCTGCAACATATTCTCAAACATTATGAATAAAAATCCTGGCGCGCGCGCAAAAGTAGATAAGTATAAATTAATAAATGCTTCTAAATGTGTATTAATGTTCATCCAATAGGTTCTTTGTCACAGTCTAGAGTTTCTTTGTTAAGTTCCCCGCATAAAGTACCGCGAACGTTCTCGCACGAAAATGAATTCTCAAAGGAAGGATCAAAGATTCATATTGACTACTTGAATCTGGACAAAACAACGTATCTTGATGTATAAATCGATAATAAATCGTACATAAAGAAAATCTGCGAATTTATCAGCGGTTTCTTCCCGAGGCCACAATAGCGCGAAAGAAAAAAAGAGATCGGAGAAGATTCCGGCGAGCGAGTCGCAAGCGCGGAACGTTCGAGGGAACCAAGAGTGCACGCGATGTCACGACCAAGTCACCGCGACGCGACGGCTCTTATCATTCTCACGGAGAGCGAAAATAGAGGAATAAGAGAAGGAGCGCCAGAGCTCCGTCAGCAATGGCAGCTGATTTTGACAACAGGCAGACGGAAGGCGCGCAACGCACCGCGACGCGACGCTCCGCTCGGCCCACGGCGATCCTCGAGGGGAACGTCCGCCGACGGCTGGCGCGTCCGGGAGGTGCGCGAACGGAAAACGCGGGGACGTCGGACACGGCGAATAATACGGCGACCGTCGACATAACCCATTCGGCGCTGTCACCGCGCGCCGCCTTGAGCCGCGTCGCGTCGCGTCGCGATCGCGCGGCGTCGCGCCGCCGTTTTATTCGGCGACGCAAATCCGGCGCGCGGAAATTCCGCCACGGGCCGCCTCGCCGCCGCCGCGAGTCAAATGAACAGACAGATGGACGCGAACCGTCGCTCTCTTTTCCCCCCTCGGCCACTGTGCCGCGGATGACGCGCGATCCTTACAGCGAAGATCCGAGGAGCGTGGCCGAGCACCGTGTTGTGTTCACAGCATGCCTCCATTCAGCGGACGATAAAGGAGAAAGCGCACAGTCCTCCACTCCATTTGCTCCGGCTGGCCGTGTGTACGTGCGCGAATGCGTGCGTGCGTGCGTGCGTGCCTGCGTGCGTACGTGCATGCGTGTTTACGACGCGAGTCCTCTCCTCATTCTCTCCCCTACCGCGCGCGCGGGCTTCTCTCTTCTCCTCTCCTCAGTCGTACGTGTGTGCGTGCGTCTCACCACCGCCATCCGGATCGCGCGGCCGCCGCGGCCTCCCCCCTCCCCCCTGATCCCCCTACCGTCCTTCGTCACGCCGCCGCCGCCGCGCCATCGGTCGCCCCTCTTTTCGCGAAAGCGCTCCCGCCAGCCATCGCGGCCCCTTCGATCGCAGCTGTTCGCTGCTCCGCGGCGCGGCTCGCGACTTCGGCCGGCGTTGCATGTAGGTATGCTGGTGGACGCGTAGAAGAATGGTGGCCGTACTGTGGCGTGTGGGCTACTACGCTCGTCGCCGAACAAATCTTGCCTTCGTACTGACGAAGTACGAATTATCATTCATCGATATGAATTTGTCGACAGAGAGTTTTCCAGTAAAAAAACACAGAGCCCGTCAAAATAAACAAGGCCTGTTCGCGTTGCTTGCACTTTTTGCACCGAAAGTTTTCGCTCTCTCTCTCTCTCTCTTCAATGCCCGAATATGTTATATATTTATCTCGTTTTAATTGCAAAAAAAATCTGTGAATTTCAAACAACGTCACATTAGCTGTTCGCATTTTAGTTTATCAATATAACGACAGATTGTAACTTATATAATGAATAATATTGTAAACAGGGCGCCAGATAGGTTATCATTTCTTTTTTTAAATAATAACAAAATCTTTTAGGGGGAATGATTAGGTTAAGCCTGGTTTATGCAGCCATTAATTTTTGCCGAAACCGGTAAAGTTTAAAACAATGATTTCAATTCGTGCTGTTTACATAATCATTTAATGGACAAAAACGTTGAAATCATTGCTTTGAACTTTGCATTGCCGATTCCGACAAAGATTAATATAATATATAGTTATACCTGCGTGCATAAACCAGGCTTTACTCGCGAGATCCTTCTTGTTCATCGAATGTTGAACAAGGATCGAACATATGTATACATATATAATTCACGCGGGCACTCGGGCGTTGTTTCCAACGCAGCCATGCATGCATGGGTGTTTGCAGTTTTTCTGAAAATACCTTGTCGGTGTTTCCGGCTTCGAAAGGCATTCGCGCTTTTACTCCGACTTTACTTCGACTGGACGACGGTAAAATAAAAAAAATTTCGCTACAGTTATGAGGTTTGTTTTCCCAACCGAGAACATCACAGACAGAATGACACTCACAACAGTTTTTCGCCACAGTACGGTGGCGCCTCCAATAACGATGCTCCGCGGCGTCATCTGATGTTACCATTTCCAGATGTTTCTCACGCCTCGCCGCATGTGCACGGAATTACGGATCGTCGTCGTAAAAAAGTCGAAATAATAAATAGAACTGCCAGGCGAAATTCATCACGATGATCATTCCTGTGCGGTGCTTCACCTGCGGAAAAGTGATTGGAAACAAATGGGAGGCATATCTGGGACTCCTTCAAGCGGAATACACCGAAGGGTGAGTAGCGTCCAGTTGATATCTAACCTCAAAAACTGAAACATCAACTTTAATGTCCTTTCTTTTAATAGTAATCTCTATCCTTTTATCTCAATGGCATATCTTACGCGAGAGAAATAGATGAAGTACATTGATAGAATTGATTTGTATGTTATAGAGACGCTTTGGACGCGCTAGGTCTGAAAAGATACTGCTGTCGCAGGATGCTGCTTGGGCACGTGGACTTGATCGAGAAGTTACTTAACTACGCGCCGCTAGAGAAATAATAATTTTTATCTGTCATGCCGTCAATTGGCTGGATCTCCCATCGATCGATCGCAAGATACCTGTACATAACTCAATTGTTATACATTGAAACCAAGTGAAGGAACAATCGGAGTTATTCTATTGTATAGTCTTGACATTTTACGTTCTAATATAATGTGTTTGTGTGATAAATCTACCCTAAGTTTCTAAGAAAAAAAAAATAAAAGAATATTTTATTTGTAGAAAGTTCAAAAATTATTTCTCATTCAATTCGTACATGATTCGTGATGATACTAAAACATGATTATGTTATGGCAACAGCATTGATATTTCACGCAAGATGAAAACAATGGAAAATGACTTGAGGAACAAAGCTGTCGTTACAAAATGTAAAATTATATTTTTCGTAACTCCAGCTAGTGCCACAAATTCTTACAAATATTAGTTTCATTTTTATCGATTATATTTTTCTCTGTATGTAAAAAAAAAGGAGGAACAGTGTATGTATATATAAATATATTGTGTCTCCTATGTGTATCAGTTCCAAAAGGTATATTTTGATGTTATTTTTAAATGCAATGCAGGAAGACTGCGTGATACACTTTGCTTGAGCAATTTTTTTTTCCGTACAAATAACACATTCGTTTCGCATGCAAACTGCGATTTTCGTTTCGATTCTTTAAAACCGTCTTTTTCTTAAAAATATATTCACATTTTTTTATACTTTTTGAAATATTAGACAATATAAACTGATGTAGTATATTATACTGCACATTTTGAGCAAATTTAATAAAAGTACGCTCGACGTGCTATTTTATCAAAATACCTTATTGCAAAGTAAGAGTGTGAAAATTATTTCCATAGGTTAATAAATTATCTTCGAATTTCTTTAATTTCTTAAATGCAGAATTTTCATGTGGAATTAAATAATATAACATTCCGATAATATAGAAATTACTTCCTATAGGAACTTCACGCACATTCTTTAGGATACACTCGCACATTACGATCACGATCATTCATTATTTTGCATTTTCTGTTAAATGAATACTGCCGTTGCTCCTAAATCTATATTTGCTTTTTCTGTCCTATAAAATATAGCCGTACGTTATTTTAAAAATTTGATAATTCTTTGTATTTTTTGTTTACACATAAGTGTAGAAACAAAATATACACTAATTCTCCGAAAAAATAAGTCTAAAGAAATTTGAGACTTAGAAGATTCTAGAATTTTCTAAAATCTCAAGAAAATGACATGTCAGAAAATTTGAAGTAATCTATATAATTTACATCAACTTTGTTGAGAAATTCAATAAAATCCGCCTGTGAGCATATGTCATGCTTGATTAATTCTAAAATACCGTTAGCCATATCAGGGACAGATCTCTAAAAACATGAGTAGAAAAATTCGTTGCATATCCAAAAGATTTGTACTAGATAAAAAACGGAAAATGTTCTTTCTATCAAGCGTACAATTTTACTATATCTATTATGGCACTACGCGACCCGAATATTAAAGCCATCAGACCTATCACGCATATAATTACATTCTTCAAGGCTACCCAGTTTCCCGGCCCGAAGCCGACATCCCAGTAAGTTACGGTTTCAATGAAGACTGGAATGAGAAGGCCCAAAATGGAGAAACAGAATGCACCAATTAGGCCGATGAACGGCTCGATCGTCGGCACTGCCACGGCAAGGAGAACTGTAACACGAATGGTTATTCCGTACATCGTCAATTTAAAAAATAAATTTGAAAAATAAAAGAACTTGAATATGTACCACATCCTGTTACTAGCACCGTCCTTACGATATAGTTGGCTAAAAGTGGCTTCTTCTCGAAACGATGTTTTACGCCATTCCACGCGATATCGAGGCACACGTAGAATTGCAAACCGAAGGTGCAGAAGACAGCTAGGGCGATCAGTATTTTTACAACTTGTGCTGCTCTGTGAAGTTAACAATAAAAAAAAAAGACATAAAAAATCGGCTGACATACATGTTATGTAATAAAAGTTATAATTTTGAACCCTTACATTTCTTCTGTTGGTAAATTTAGCGTAATGCTACCCAGCGTCTCGTCCTGGTACTTAGCGTATCCGAGGAATCCGAGGAAGATATATACGAGCGTAACACCGGACATTCCCTTGTTGAGAACACCGCAGATACCCACGAAGTGTTGCGGCGTCTTCATGCTGTTCTCCAGAGGCATCACCACGCCGATCGCCTCCATGGCGAAGATAGTGATGCTGAAAAACTGCGGGAAGTTTTCGATACTAGCTACTAAAGGCACTGAAGACAACGGCGGCAAGTCCCAAACGAGGTAGTAAAACGTTATGCCCAATCCTGTTCCCATAAAGATGTTCGCCACCATCGAAACGGGCGCGAGATACTTCAAGTCGGGTACCCAGCTAAGAAGAATCAGCGGCACTAGCAAGTAAGCGGTAATCAATCGAATGTTATACTCGCCAGCGTCGGCATCCTGATAATGCTCGATGATCTGTTTGATATTGGCTGCCACGATTACTGCGTATACACTGCAGGTGCCGTAATACGTGGTAAACAGACTGATCTGGATGAGATATCTGTAAACGAAAGAGAAATTTATTCGGTAACTGAAAAAGTTGTCCAAGAAAATTAATTATACGTTCGAAGGACGAAGCTAATTATAACCTGGAAGGTTTCGCGAATCTCCTCGCCCATTGAGGCCCGGAACTGAAAGCCGTCTCGGCAATTTCAGCAAATCCCATTTCCGCTCTTCGGGTTTTGTAATAGAGCATGTGAGCACATTTGACCTGGAAACGAAATTATATATGTTCCTCGGTTTTATATCTTACGAAAAATGAAACTAGGCTATCTATGCGGCGATAACTACGCGGCTGTAAATTTTTATCTCTAAAAGCTCACCAGAATGTACGCGCAATGCGTGCACACGAATGCGACGAGTATCGTGGCAAAGATACCCACGAGCAATCCGGCGCTTTTGAAAGCTATGGGCATAGCCAGTATTCCAGTACCGAGAGAAGCTTTTAGTAAGTGCGTCAATGTATCGCAATCCCTGAAAACATCGTAATTCTGTTACACATTAATTATACCTTATACCTTATTAATTCGAATCATTAAAAATTAATGGCTAAAATAAAAATACAAATCTCGTACTGCGTTGCAAGCCGTTGTGTATGACAATTGAATCATATTACTTGAAATTATTTTTTTAAAATGAAATAAGAAAACCAGTTTTATGTTTAATTTATTTTAATCATGTCTACTCTACTTAATTTACATATATCACGAGATAAAATTATTTTAATTGGATATTATTAATGATATATGATTTTTATAATTTACCTATAATTAGTGTAATTACTGTTTGGAATATTTATTCTTCGCGCGTGTATGTTATCAGATTTATAACGACAGAGAACTTATTTTACACATATATCCGAAGAGAATATATAAAAACACAAAGATGAAACAAAATCTATGAGATTATTGTTAAAAGAAAGGCTATTCGTAATTATTATTCTAATAAAAAGAACTGCTAATTCTTACGTTGTCGGATTGTCGACTTTGCGTTCCGCGAAGGGATCGAAACTCTTCTCATCGGTCAACGCGGTTTCAACATCGCGTGGAGCGACTTGCACTTTATATCTGAAATACAAATGAATACACAAAGCTCTTAGCAATTCGTATTCCGCATATCTATAAGTTATACATTTTTTCTGTGCCGTTAATTTATTGTTTTCAAATGAAATCAATCGGAATCTTACTTGGCGGATAGGACGCCGTCCTTAAGATTGGATCCATCTTCAGGCAGGAAGGTGTCCAACTCCGTCGACGGCTTCTCGCTTGCGTCGGTCTATGTTAAAAGTGAGATTACAACACAATGTGTTTATTGTAATGACATGAGATGACATCAGTAGCGTGAATGAGCACGATAATCATGACGCAAATAAAGGCGTGAATAAATTATAAATATACGCAAACAACAGATAAGCTGTGTGTTGAATCGACACTTACCATCGTGGATACTTTTGATGTATTATCTGCGCGTCACCTGGAATACACACAAAGAGGACAATCAATGTTTTGATTACGTCGCTTTGCGAAAATTTCAAACGGATTCAAGTAAATTTATGAGCACATTATCGTAGCGCGTGAATTTTTGTTTGTACAATTTATCTTCTGGCATTGCATTATATTGACGTTATTGCATATCTTTAGAATAAAATTGCGATTTCGGTAAATTGATAAACAGAATTCTTCCCCAATACTTTAATGATTCTGGCCTGTTTAATTACGTAAATCCTTATCTCCCGACGCAAGACCTTCAACTTTGGAACTTCTGTGATGTAAAAACAAGAAACGGCTCACATACATAAGATAACTCCAGGCCTACAATGCGGTATCGTTATTTGTCACTTTTGACAAGTGAATAGATGTGTAAATTTGTTATGCAAAAATTGTTACAAGGTTTCAAGTCTCGCGTTTTCACCGGTTGACATATCAATTCGTCGCGCTACCGTAAGAGACATTGTTGACTCATTTGACCATTATTTTAAAAGTTTTTACTGTTGTCACCATTATTTATTGGCCATTATTTGACCATTGTTTTAAAAATTTTCACTGTTATCATCATCATATTTATTGCCGTGTCTTCGATTTAAAATGAATCGGACAAAAAGGCAAGTTATTGTATGTTACGATAGAAAAGTAATGTTAAACACAAATGTAAAATGCAAGAAAATTTTACGTAACGATTAGATTCCGTAAAAGTGCTTGGCTTTTTCGTTTGCGGAAGATCAGATTACAATGTCAACGCGATTAGATACTTGCGTTCGGATTCGCTGCAATTCAATTATGTTAAACGAGATTGTATTTAGCATGTAGCATGAAAGAGCGTTAACTTTTACCACTTCCGGGTTCATGAACTCGGGCTTCGCTTGGATGAAGTAAACAATCGCGCACATATGTGCAGGCGTAGATAAAGCGCGATAATCTTGACACTTTAATTATTAGAAGAGGCAAAGGGCAGACGCGACGAAGGAATTATATGCTCGGTGTTTTCAAAGCAGAACTCTTTTCTGTGCCTCGTATCTTGAGAAATCCTCCGAATAACAATATTTTCCTGAGAATTAAATTACATGAACATTCTTGAGATTTTTCTACAATAAGCAAGTCATTCCTTTTTTCACTATATACGTACTTCACGTTATATCTACTTATATCTGCCTCTTTGCTATTCTAATCGTTAGAAGGTTGATATATCTCAGGAATATAAAATGAATAGATAACACAATGTAGCACATCAAATCTAAAAGAAAATGCGACGAGAATTCGCAGAGTGCAAATTTTTTATGTGCATTGAAACGAACTATTCACATCTCTCTGCAATACATTCCAAGTCTTGATCAACGACGGTAGAATTGGTGATGCACCATTACGGTTTTAGCAGCTTTTAGTCGTCGGATTAGGGTAAAAATAGTGGCAGGAACGACTCATAACTGTCGGCGAGACCCTCCAAACGCTCTATTTTGAAACCGCAGACGTTGACTTCGCCTATGTGAGCAAAGAGACGGAAGCGTACTAATCGACCTATTTGCTCTAATGATAATTTAAGATCGAGTATATATGCCCGCGTATATAAACTTTAAGAGCACACATTGATGATTGCCGAACGTCGTCATAATTGACAATCTATCCTCGCTGTTTGTTGTCACTTATTATCCGTACATAATTGGCCGTGACAGAGCTCTTACATTAAATGACACTAAAAGCCGCGAGATAATAAGATAAAATAATTTTAGTTTAATGTTCACGAAAAAAGTTTCGACGGATCCTTAGCTCATGACGGAATGGAAAGCTTCAGGTTGTGGCACAAGGTCGGCGATTCTAATCTGCTGCACGCGGCAGGCCGACTCGAGATTAAATAACCAGCCGTTTGTCTTATTTATCTTACAACGATATCGAGAAACCTCATCGTTATGCGGGCGACCTAGTGAAAAAAAAGGTGTATTACGACAGCAGATAAGGTGCAGTCCGATAAACTGTTCAAGTCCGCCGTAATAAGCTTGATTAATTAACGTGTCATTAGTTGATTTCCTTACCCGCCTGACAATTGCTAGGTCGGTCATTAAACCTATAGGGCTTAACTTTCTGCTAATTACGGTTAATCTTATGCCTAAAACGCGATCAGAACTAATTCGACCTCCTTCTGAGGCAATTGAGCAGCGAAAAACGTCGCACATACATTTTCTGTAAAATCGAGTAAATTTAACCGCGTGTAATTAAATTTAACGTGGCAGTAATTTTCTCGTCAAGTTTTAAAAAGAAGATTAATTTTAGATTAATAGCGTAGAAAAGAGGGAGGACTTTTCAGAATTGCAGAATAAAGCTTTTGCTTTCTGTCTTACATATATTCATCGTTCGGTCACAAAAAATATGATAACCGTTTGCGCAAAACTGTAAAAAAAAAATTTGAGGTCGCCTGCACTTAACACTTGATTATTTCCTTTCGCAATACTGGTATTTAAATAAAATAGCGAATGCGTTCAACGGAACAATTATGTTCTAGCTTAAATGAACTTAACGATAGGAATATTTGCATATAAATAATTAAACAGTTCAAAACCAGATATAGACAAAATGGCGTTTCGCGTTTCTACGTAAAAATAAATTTCGCCGCGTGTAAATTTCTACTTGAAAACTGCGTAGAGTGAGCATATGGTATCACGATAAGCACTGGTTGATAATCTAGCGGTACCGCATCAAATTGCAAATAATGTCGTTGGAGAAACGCGCAAGTTGACATAGTAACTATATCTGTTCATTCTTATCAAAAGTTACCGCTCGAAGGGTTGCGTTCTTCACTGAAAGCTTTCGATTTCACTGCGCGTCGGGTCAACGATAAACGGTTCATAAATCGACGAACGACTGAATGAAAAAAACAAGGCGAACGCCAAGAGCTATCTCTGGAATACATACAACACAGCAGGTCAGTATTGAAATTGCGTATACTATATATATATACCGTTCTGACCGTTCTTGTACGAAAGTACAATATTTACAAGTAACGACTAATACAAACCAGCGAGAAGTGACTTATTAATTGATTTTGACGTCAATTTGACATTCGACGTCTAACTGACGTCATTTCTCACTGGCAAGTGTTTCTCACAACGGATATGTATGACGAAATGTTTCACTAAGTTAGCTATGGTTAAAAATTAGCTATGGTTAATTTTATTACATTTATATAAATTCGAGCTCGTAACCATCCCGCAGATCGTTTGAGGAAATAGTGAGAAATATTTCAGGATAAATCAGATCCGAACGACATGAGTTACTTAGGATGCGAAAGATACCTGTACAAAGAGCCGCTAAATATATCTGATATTCGATGAATGCTCGACTTGATGAGCATTTATAGGGACAAAAGACCGTCCACGTGAAAGTATATACGCGAGAGTTTAATGTACCATAGGATCAACTTCTTGAAGAAGAATGGTATCAGGCATACCCTGCGTGTATTTTCGTTATTCTGCAAGAATGTGATATCGGAAATTGCCGTTTCGCATGTTGCACCAAATCAGCAGTTTGTTTTCTTCATGCGTCTTTGAATCAGTCAATATTGCGAATATTGGTCCCAAACGCCGGCGTGATATTTCACACTTTGAAAGAATGTGTTAACGCATTACTAACAACTGCAAAAATATTGGAGTATTTCTGGAATAAATAACTAGAATAAATATTCGAGGAATTCGAGCACACTCCGATATATGGAATGATTTTCAACATTTCAAGAGAATCTAACGATGATAGATATCATCTTTCGTGGAACTGCGAGTTTCGATCTGAGAGAGAACTGCTAAAACTGGTTTACCACCTGCTCCGAAAGTCGCAACCTACGTCAAAAGGCGAGCCTATCTTTTCTTTCCGCCCGCACATCCGGCACGTCTAAGTCTCACACCTGTGTCAGCTTATTACGTATTTGATAAATTTACGCAGAGCGATAACGCCACCTTTTTCACGACGTCCGCGGAAGAGCTACGCGGCGAGCGGCTACCGGCGACCGTCCGAAATATCGGCATGCCGTTACATCATTCGAATGTACTAGCGTAACGATAAAGGCGCCATGACCATACAAGTCGCGACTACTCCATGTGGATTTCTTTCGCGAGCAGCTGCTGCTTTTCAAGAAAATACACGTACGCGTGACTCATTTTGATGACATCGGGAAGTACTTGAAGTGTAAGCGAATCGATAAATATCTTCCATTTATGTGCAACATTATGTAACAGCGATAATATTAAAAATGATTACAACATTGCAGAAATTATGACGACGGCAATAATATATAACACTATGTAATTGCAATATCGCAAAAACTTGCGGGCAAACATACTTGCAGCGCAAGCATAGTAAAAAATATTTATAACTGTCGAGTTTTTATAATCATTAATTTTCATAATTATATTTGTACTTTTTTCAAGTCTAAAAAAGTATTTTAAATATGTGTGTGTGTGTGTGTGTGTGTGTGTGTGTGTGTGTGTGTGTGTGTAAAGAAGTACAAATAGAACAGAAACTAAATATATAATCGGAGCAAGAAAAAGTATATTCATAGATCTGCTATGCTTGAATCTAACTGTAACTTTTTTTATACAGTAACGTGACTTGCTTTTTATCTTTTCGTTCTGAAATCTTACTATACCACGAATTTCTCATACCCGTCGCAATCGGGATCTCGTGGATCTCGTGCGCATGAATGATGATCCGAAAATATCGACGCGGGAAAGACCCGCGAAGGAGAATTACGGTTGGAGTTCTCGTGGCGTTGCCACGAGACGTGAATAGGGAATCAAAGAATCGATCGAGGGAACGGGACTCTCACCTGCCAAGCCGTTCGCCGGTGAATAGTTTCTGTATGTTGAGAACGCCTAAGAATCAAGCCCGTCGCCGGCGGTTACCTCATTCCTAGGTGCAGGCTTGTCCGACGATAGGCGCGAGTTTCGGAGCACGCTGTTCTCATGCGGTGCCCACGCAGATCCACGAACTGTTCGAAAGACCGCGGCCGACTGTCGCCGCGGCTTGGTTACTTGACTACTTTCCACCGCCACACCGCCTCCTTCACCACCGTGTCTTCACCGTCGCCGCCGCCGCCGCCATCTTCCGAGGCTTCGTAGCAGAGGTCGTCACTCGACCGTTATCGATTCCCGTCGATCGTTCGTTTCGAACTCCGGATTGCGAACGGCGCAAATCCGTGGTCTCGTTCAAAATCTCTATTACCTGCAAAATTATAATTTTCATAAGTTTGCGTACTGCAAAGTCATCACAGTGCGCCGTTCTACTTATAGCGAGACTTATAGGATCTTTCTTTGTAAGAAACGTTGCATTCTCTCCGCTTCGTTTTATCGTCAAAAGAGCAAAGTTACCGTCTTTCCATACCTTGAAACGAGACGCGACTTGAAAAAAAATAAAAATAAAAAAAAATGTGAACTTGCAGCTTGTACGTCCGTCCCTCACCTAAATCCGTATCGTGTGACGCGCCAGAAATGGCGGGCGCGCGAGAAGGCGTCTAACAATAAGTCTGGCCTGCACGTGGCCTGCTAACTTCTCGATTTGAATGCGCCCGGCGTATGATGAAATTCGGCGAGCCGATGTCACGATGCTCGTCGCTGTGACGCACTGAGCTATCCGTTACGACGTGTGGCGTGTGCCATGCGTTATTCATTATCGCGCGTGCAACACGAGCGCGCATCGGATACACGATTCTTGCCGTACCGAGAAACACAATAAACGACTGTATATATTTATACAGAAACATACCGGAACGAACGAGCGCATGCTGAATAGAATACAGCTCTCCTTGAAGAAACCAGCTGCTCAGTATTTATACTGTTTTATCTCGATACAAAAAAAAAGTATTCTTAAGTACATATGTTTGATAAAAAATTACTCCGGAAAGTTTGATGAAACGCTTTGTAAATGTAATTGAACTAACTTATCGGAAACTCGTGACCGTAAATTCTAGTTTCGATTAAGGTCAGGGAATAGGCAACTTGGCCAATTACATACTTCTGCTGGACTTCATAGCTGTCTGGAGTGTTAATTGGTCCTCATTTAGTAGGGCGATGGCGGGACCGCAATTTCGTCCAATCGAACATTGATCGTACAAACACAATCGGTCGGGTGGACGGCGTAGACAAGGTCATGAAAAAGACGGTCATTTATGTGTATTAACGATGACGATGACGGTCAAATGGTCCACGGAATTAGCGGTTTCGCGTGAGAACGCCGACTATGTCTGAAATTAAATATCCGGAATATTATACCGGTAATACGATAAGAGTGCATACGACAGTTTCACGTTGCTGTGTCAGAAAAGCCATGTACATACAAATTACAACTCTATTGCTCGTATTCTGTTCCATATTTTCTTTAAAAACGATCTTATTACTTGTAATTACGAACATATACGGATATGTAGTAGCGTTTAAAATTTTATTTTTAATAGCTTTGATTTGAAAATCTAAGAAATTAAGAATCCAAGATTTTTCAAGAACCTAATAGAATCTAAATAGAATCTATATTAAACTAAAAGTAATGATTAAAGTTTCTCGAAATGTAAGCATGAAAGTAACTCGTACGTGCTCTAAAAATATACAAACGTAACCTTAATCTTCAAATTCCAATGATGTTACATTATTTTTCTAAAGCTGCGAATTGCCATCTGCATGCGCAGTAAGCAGTGCTCGATTATTAATTAGATCATTACGTGTGTATTGTAAATTAATATATGCTTATTTTCTTAACCATTCCTCTATCGATCATTCAAACGACACATTTGAAACTTGAACTTTGATAGACGAAACAGTGTCGAGTCATTAGGCAAGCGCAGCTGTCAACACTGCTGACAATCCCTCGGCCACGCTTCCAAATTGTCTCGATCTTTAAAATTTATCTCAAGTGAATTTCCACGTACTCGCATTGCAATATTTAATTTCGCAGATTGTTTAATTACCGGAAAAACTCGTCATGCAGTCAAGTTACAATTAACCAATAAACCATCATCTAACAAAAGTAATTTTTGTCTACATAGTATCATTGAAAAAATTTCGATCAACTATGTTAACTGGGAAGAATAAAACGCTCGTGTATGACGAGCAAGCCCCTTCGCGGGAATGCACCGAGCATTACCTGCTCTTGCTGGAGTTGTACGTGAAACAGGCGTCAGGCGATCGACTGGCCGAGTTGAATCAGATGTTTTTCGTACCTACCAGTATCCATTTTGGTTTCCTCGACTTCGTAAACGAGAATGATCTAGTGGTAACTCCGGTAGATCCCCTTTTCCAACCGCAAGTAGGCGTCATTAATGAAGCTGAAGTCTTCAATGTTGGAAAATCAGTGTTGTTCGCCATCGATTCCGAGGCGGCTATGAACCGCGCTGTAAAAATGATTCTAAAAATCACGGTGAAGAAGCAGATGCCGGACGCCATCAAGCCGGATGTCTTAGTGGGAACTGGCGAGCTGGACTTGTCCGGCCAGTACGCGGCTTTGCGACTGGAGATGATGGAGGGCATGAAAAATTGCGTCACAACGTCCAAGGAGTTTAATGGTCAAGTCCCGTTGATTAACAATGGCAACTTATCGGGCAATTTGGACATCTTTGTAAGAATATCCGGTCTTGGACAGACGATCGTTACGGAATTCGACGCACCGATCGCGCAAGATCCTTCGACGTTCGTTTTCGGTGCCGGAGAGGCCGATCAGATTTTGTACAAGTGTCGCGAAGTGGACTCTCGCACCATCGATGCCTTCGAAGATTCCAGCGAGGATCTTCAAAAGCCAATATCTTGTCCCGTATGTATACCAGAGAAGTATCCTTGTATACCGTGTGGGAAGTTAGGAGCTGTCGAAGAGAGGGATGAGAAAATAAGGAAGAAAGTAGACGATAGGATGGCTGAAAGAAAATTAAAGGAAATAGTACGTACTTGAGAAGGAAATAATTTCTCGATTAGGTATCTAAGCACCGTTCTGATTTTTCAGCTATCAAAGGGCTCCGTTCAATGTAATCGCGATTCGTCTCAGCTTTGCGGCAAACCAGTGGTTCTCAAGGTATCCGGTTTCTTTGACAACGGCAATAGCGGGAAAAAACCTACAGTTACGGTTGCTGCGGAATCCGCCGCAATGAAACCAGGTAATCCATCTGATCCCGACCACGATATTTTTGTCCTGAGAATCGGTAAGAAGGGTCTCGTCGGGGTCGGTGAAAAATCTGACATACAGCTGGAGATGAAAACTCCGAAAGGACCTGAAAGAAGGCCTCCGATTAGATATGAGACCAGAGATGTGCAGACAGAAGAAGCACATCACAAAGATGAAGAACTACCGAAAGAAAAGAAAAAGATTAAGAAGAAAAAGTGACGCGCTGCATATTATTCAAATTAAGGAAATTAAGTTCTGATAATAACATGAATTTATTCCAAGAGATAATATTTTTCTTATATTGTCACTTTTCGATTTTGATACAACTGTTGTGCAATAAACAAGTGTTTATTTAATTGTATTTAAATTCTTTTTACCAATATCGCAATAAGCATAATAAAATTCTTTTATTAAATATCGCAATAAGCATAATAAAAAATATTATAGGGATAAATTATATAAATCGAATAGATAATCGAATCGATTAGATAAATCGAATTCAAATAAATTACTTTTGCCTATTATGTTCTCCTTTGACTATTATATTCCCCTAATATCGAGAACTTAGCTTATGAATTACAAATTCGCGAGAATGCGAATTTGTAATTTACTTCACTACAACTTGTATAATTGTCAACCTAAAAATTTGTGTATCAATGGCAATCAAAATTAATTAGTGTTATAAACAATAATTAAATAAAAATTGCTAGTGTGTTCTATAATTAACGACAAATTTATCGATTTTCCATTAAAAGAGACAAGTAAACATAAAATAAAGATAAAAGAAACAATGTAAAATATATATGATACATTAATCGCAATCTCTTAAATATCTAAATATTAAATATCTGACAGAAAAAGAAACTAAATGGAAGGAGAGTTACTGATTTTGATAGAATTATTAATTGATACAGTCAATATTCCTACAATACGGGCAATCTACGATGAAATATTGCCGGCCAAAACATGCGTCTCGTTTCAAGTAAAAACTCTATACTTATTAATCCGTTTATTAACTTGTTAATATTGTATCTAATAATCATTATAGATATTAAACTTGCCTCCTATCAATATCTATCAAGAAACGCCAACAGAGACTTGCGCCTGTCCCGACAGTGGATCGCAAGTCTTCAAAAAGGGCAAATCCTGCTTGTTTGCTCTTTCAGATAATGTCTTAAAGAAACCATTGTGCAACTTTCCCATAACAATGTCCGTTTATAAAGAACTACCTCCAGGAGTTTTGCCGGACGTAATGCTAATCGGTTTGCAAATTTTTACTTTCATTTTATTACTTTTTTTTTCAACATTACATTCTAATCGGAAGATTGGAATTTTACCAAAAACTGTAAAGATATATTCTTTGATGTAGGAACTCACCAGATCCAACTTCACGGCCTCATGAATTCTCTGCTGAGCATGTATCTCTCTGAGCACAGTAATCCGTGCAAAACAATGAAGAACGCTTTTAAAATTACTACAGCGACAGGACAACATGTGGGCGAAGTCACAGTCTTCATTCGCGCTTCGTGCTTCGGCAAGAAGATCGTCACGCAATTTCAGCTTCCTCGCAACAGGGAACCCTATCTTTTCAAGGGCGTCGACAACGGTCCTATGTATCAATGCAAGAGAGTCACTTCCGCTACGGACAGACAACAGATAAGTTGCATCTGCTCCCCCAAGAAAACTGGCGACGGCAGCGGGGAAGCCGCAATAATTCGCTATTCTGCCGACGAACGCCGGCGAAAAGAACGATTCGAGGATACCAAAAAAGATAAATGTTCACCGTGTTGTCGCGGTGCGCGAGATATCAAGAGTAAGGAAATTGTTAGAAAATGTGGCTGCATCGTTAAAAAAGAATGAACGTGTAATTGCGTCCAGCCAAATATCAAATATTCAACATGAATATTTGACATTTGAGAGAATGAAGCTCAGAATATTGCTAAAAGCCAACGGATGAAAAATTCAGAACTCTAGACGTTCAATAGCGAAGGCTTTCAGCCAATCATCGGTAACCGTCGCATCGTTTCGATCATCCTCCAACATCCACGCGCTCCTGCGTATTTAAATCTTCGTTTATTCCTGTCCAGTGTCGCGGGGGGCGCCGTGATGGCACCAGAGGGATGCGACTACACAGAAGGAAGGGAGGCCCGGTCGACGACACCACCGCTCTCATCCCCGCCTCACCCCTTACCACGCTGCGGGGTGCTAGGCCGATATTGTCGCGTCTGCGCGATGTACAAGACAGTCGGACTGGACGGCTCCGCGGCAGAGAGACGTGCCGTCGCGGCGTCGTGTGGCGTCGGGACGCGTGTTAACTCCTCGCCGATCTTGGTGGAGGCGCCTGACCGTGGTGTTGATGGCACCCCGGCGACAATCCGGATGCTCATCACGGACGTCCTCGCGCGATCATGAACAGCTCGCCGCAGAACACGAGTACCACCGGCACCGGACAACGGCGGACAGCCGGTGTCGATAACAGCGACGAGGAAGAATGGAGCGGCGTCGTTGAATGTGTAATTACCCTCGAGTTGCTTTTGCCTACTCTCACGCCCCGCGCCCCGCGATCACCCAATTAAACCGAGAAGAAAATGAACGAATTGTTATTCGTACTAACGTATCGTCGGCTTAATCCAAACGTTCATTTGATTTTTAATTTGATATCTGTACACCCTTCCCCTTATCTGTCGTCATTTTTAGAGATCGCACGAATTTCGCCTCAATTATCAAGCATGACGACGCTTGCTATAATTTTTTTTTCATTTATCAAATCTGTTACAAGCTGCGTGCGTAAAATAGACTCAAATGCATTATAAAATCTATAATCCTACAGATAAGCATTTCTTTTCTCTTTAGGCTGTTCTTGAAAGAACCAAGTCCGATAGAGTTGCACGCGCTGACGAAGACAGACGTCGCCGGACGATCATTGTCGAGAAGAAGAACGGCACGTACGGTTTCACGTTGCAGGTGATGCTGATTTGTTACTGCAGATATAAGAAACGTGATATCTCGATCCTTCTAACGGAGTCTGCGAACCGCTCGTTCTATTCTAATAAAAATATCCGCGTAATCTGAAGCCCTAAACATACAACGAAAACAAATTAAGCGTATTAAATGTATTTCATTTACAAATATGTCTCGAATGTCTCAGCATACTGATAAATTAGATCTTGATCGATTTGACAGAGCTACGGGATACACTACAAGAGGGAGCAGGAAATAGAGATGGTAACTTACGTGGATTACGTGGAATATGACGGGCCAGCATTCAAAGCTGGTATGCGGGAGGGTGACGTGATACTGTCAATAAACGGCCACGAGATGGACAGGGCCGATCACAAAACCCTGGTGAACTTCATCAAGAACTGCGATACCAGAATGCGAATGGTCGTGTCCTTCGAAGATTGCGTCAGAAAGGTGAGCGAACTCCGGTTGTCGATGACGGTTTTCTTGCAATTTCAACGCGCGATCCTTTCGTGATCTGCACGACATTGTAAAATGAATTTCAGTAGACTAAACGTATAGACGATTCCAGGTCGAATTACACATGCGTTACATCGAATTACAACGCGCTCTTCAATCTCGCCTGAGCGAACTGGAGAGACTGTGCGAAAAAGAGCGGTCTATTCTAATGGGACGATGGAAGACCCATTCACTGCCAGCGCGGAAAAGAACACCTAACAACATCGGCACTAATCCCAGTCAACCATCGCCCTCTTCTAGCTTCAATTCTTCCACAATTCAGTGCTGTCGGCCGGCAACCTCCAGCGAACATCTTCTGCTTTATAACGTGGTAGCCGCTATTTATATTTCTGTAATAAGAATCAAAATATCGGTGCGACACATATAAAGGAAAATTTTCAAACATTTTATAATAATTTTCGTAATCATATTTCATAATTATTTCTGCAATTACATAATTATACGATAATATTTTATAATCGTTTCTACATTAGAGCGATTCAGATCAATTTGAACATTGATATATTTTCCAGTTCGCGGACGGGCGACCGTGTCTTATACCACGCAGCGCCGCTTGCCTCGTGACAGTTGGACCGCCTCGTTCTCGCAGCGATCATCATCACTTCCTCTCCAAGATATCGAGCGAATCTGCGGTGACCTCCTTGCGCCACAGTTATCACCAGGCGAACGGTATGATGGGCACACCTGCAAAGAGTAAATCTCACAAGCAGTCCTGCCAGCAGCAGCAACAGCAATCGTCCGCCGCTGGTGAAGGACCGTCGTTACACTCGACTCCTCAGAATAATCTCTGCGTCGCTTGTATCTCCAGCGCGAATCGTCGCCGAGAGCAATCCGACAGCGTTAGCCTAGATGCTTATGATCTCGCCAGCCCCTGCTGCGACCCGAATTGCGTGCCTAGTCGCCGACGTCGCGAGAAGCAACGACGTGCCCGCAATGAGCAGGCTCTCCATCAACAGCAGCAGCAGCAACAACAGCAGGCCAATCTGCAGCACCATCACGTTCAAGGACGAGACCAACAGTCGCAGCAGCAGCAGCAGCCTAATACTCATAGTTGCCCTCGCACGTCTGGCCATAGTCTTCACTCAATTACCAGTAGCGACGTCTCGACGACAGCCGAGAGCGTCGCTTCTTGCTCCACCAGCCTCAGCACCGATACCCTGTACTGGGACCCGAGTGTGCACCAGCGACCACCGCCGTGCCTTCAGTACGCTAAGCCTAAATCCTGGGATAATCTGACCACCAAAGCCTTCGGAGGTTACGGCTTCGGTTACGGTTATCTCGACACTGTGACCATCAAGACTCACAGCGCGGAACGTCCTGGTAAAGGGTCGCACAGCAGCGGCGGCAGCGGTACCAGCCGATCAAAGACGCCGATCGTTACCGTGCAACGAAAGAACAGCGGTGCCAGCGGCAGCACCGCGTACTCCACAGTGACGAGTTCGACGGTCAGCCGACACTTCCAGCCGACCAAGTCGACGGAGAGCCTGCTAATCCCGCCGGGGCCGTACCAGGGTGACCTCGACCAGGCGAGTCTGAGCTGCGAGTGCCTGGACGGCGGAGGCGGTGGCTCACGATTCGTTCAGTTAGACAAACACAAACGCGCCGACGAGGCAGGATACCTTCCGCCGACTCACGCACAAGTCAGACATCGACGGTCTAGTCATTCCGACGCAAAACTACGGGCTATCAATAACTCCGAAGTTACACGATTGTAATTTTCTTTAAGTATATCTTGAGTCAAGCTACATGTTAATAAAGCGTCAATATATAAATACTACTTGCGTTCTTTTTGTCTAATCGGATGGATAGAAATGGGATCACGAACGAATTGTGAACATTTTCTTCACGTGCCATGGAAACTTTGAAATCTAAGCAATTTATATCTTTAAAACATCGATTATGTTTTGAAATTTTTGTATCTTCAATTATTGAAATTGCAGATATTTTTACCCGCCACCGCTGCTGTGCATTCGTTCTTCACGTTGCTACAGTCCTTGAATTTCGTTTCAGTCGCGCTTTCGATTTGTGCTGAAAAAAAACTCATATTGCCTATTGTTACACGAAAAGAATTTTATTTTAAAATTCACCCTGTTAATCGTAGGATAATATAGCATTTCGACAAATTTTATGTAATTTTCACTATTTTTTTAATATGTGCTACAAAAAATGTACTGCAGTGCACAGTAAAAAACAGAGAAAATCCACATAAAATTTGAGGAAATACTATGTTGTCCCACGATTAACATGATTTTCAGGATAATATTTAAAGGGAAATTCTCTCCGTGTAGTCTAATATGCATATTGATATCTCCAACAAACATTTAAAAAAATTAAATTAAAAATTATTTTTAATATATAATCGTTAATCGCGTTCGTATAATACTTGTTCCATTCCATTCAACAAAATATAAATAATTTCTTTGGCTAAAAGTTATCATCTCAGTATAATAATTCAATTAACTGAAAACAAAAGTTTCGGTTCAATAAATACTGTTATTTCAACATACGTTGTAGTAAAATGTTCTATAACTCAACATATCAGTTTTTTTTTTAACTCAGAATGACCGCTAACAATGCGCGCTGTTTTAACTTTGGCCATTTCGTTCATATACAGAAATTACAAAGTGGATAATCTTTCTTTGACTATACACACATACACATATTTTCTTTCTATATACATACATACGTCTACACGTACACACATGAATGCACTTGCGCGCGCATACATAGACGGTATACACGATCGATTCGCACAATCTCTTTGTCTATTCTTACGCTTGTGTGTGTGTGTGTGTGTTTACATACGTGCCGGTTCATGGTGTGCAACAAGTATGTACACAATTTAGCGTATATGTATATCATCATGTCCCCGTGCATGATCGCATGTCTGTACATGTGCACCGAATATTGCGGTATATCGGATCACCGGTCGAAAAATAAATTATGTCGTTACCTGTTCTCCTTTTCCTCTAAATGCGCGTCCAAGCTCTACGTCGTAGATACACAAAATCCCTTCGAGCTAGCAAGAAGCTTAATGATCGGCTCACTTAACTGTATACTATATATAATATTGTGTACTGTACATCAAAAAGTGCAAGAATCGGTTTTTTTTTCGTAATTTGACACTCGTAGATCTTCAATTGAAAATGTGCCTCACAGGATCCTTGAATCTCCATATTCTAACTTATCTCTCAAATGTACAGTTCCTAAAATAGTTGCTTCTTCAGATCCTTAGGCTTTTCCATTTTCCAAACATTCGATCACAGGATCTTTCGATCTTCAAGTCTCGATATCTTCGACCTCTAGATCGTGAGATCCTCGAATCTTTAAATTCTCGGCATCTAGGATACGTCGCGTATCTTTGGATTTTCACATCCGCGGATTCTAGAACCTTCATAACTAAATTAATTGATGAATTATCAAATCTAAAATCATTTAGAATCCTCGAATCTTAGAATTTTAGGTTCCTACTTAAAATTCTAAGTCGCTAAATTCTCGACTTCTTCTAATTTACGGGATTATAGGAAAGACACGGGCTAGCTGTCTAAATTGCCGCTTACGTGCAACTGCAGCTTCCGCAGACGACAAAAGTTTTGCTTTAAAATCCTCGAAGCATCTTGGATACGTTTCTCATACGGGAGTGGAGCAGATGGGACTAAGGAAAGGCCTGCCTCGATGATCTCTAGAAGAATCATCGGGCTCTAGAAGACACTTTCAAATGGCCTTCTTCGCGCTTTCGTTACTCGCGGCGAATAAATGCCCGTACTCCGTTCGGTTCGACAGTTGCGTCAGAACATCGTCTGCAAGAAATAAATAGACTTGAATAAAAGATTCTCACCTCGCGATATATTAAGACGCCTGTTTTCTCACAGCAACCACATCGGTTTATAATTATGTCAGAAACGACGAATCATGTGATATTTTTTCTTATACTATACGTTACAAATAAATTGGTTTTTTTTCGTACGTCATCACTCGAATTCGCTAATATAAATTGTGAGAAAGTATATGAAAAACTTTTCCTTTCAGTCATGTTAATAAATACGTATAACTTTCTTTTTTAACACTGAATATAGCTGCGATGAAGAAACAGGAACGTCAAACGTTGAGACAAAATAAATATCTCGTGATCAAAAGTGTTTACCAAAGCTCACTGTGCAAGCGTTCATGTCGCTTCTGGCGTGCTGAAAAATCCTGTCGGATTCCTCCGGTTGTATGCGTATCGATAACCTCAAGGCTTTCCTGAGTTCCGATTGGGTCAAACGCGTCGGTGTTTTCGAGCCGCATATCTATGGCACAATGTGATCGTGTAAAAATAAAAAGTTTACATGTATATTCTATGTACATACGATAGACTTATACTTAAACAGTCCGCACTTACGTTGAATGCAATCTCGACCTTGTCTAGTTCGGAAGACGCGTTCGCCATCGCCAACACGGTAAAGATATACTCTTCAAGATCGATCTTTCCTTGTCCGAACTACAAAATGATATATATACGTAAGAATTCTTTTTTTTTTATTATTAAATTAATTCATATATATTACGTACAATATTTAAATTTCATGTTATATATACGGACCTTGTCGTGAATGCGAAACAGTTGTTGAGTGGTTGGATCCTTATCGTCCAATCTAAGGATCTGCGCAAACTCTTGCAGATTCACCTCGCCAAAGTTGTTCCTCTTCTTTTGGACGAGTTCTTCTTCCGTTTTCGATGCCACTAAACTATAATAGATGAATGGAATTATCTAAATTGTAACAAATTAATTATGTAACGTTTATACTATTATTCGTCACTTACCCTAATTTGTACCGAAGTTTATGGCTTTTCACGATATTGGACGCATGCGAAAGATGTAACTGATGGGCCTTTCTAATGATCCGGCAGTCGTCGTACGTGTAATCGGAAACGGGAATTTTCAGTGCCCTGTCAAAATCAAGCAAAAAATATTACCGGAGATCTTATACATTTTCAGGACTTCCGGTCCATTGTGCACAAAAAACTCACTCTGCCATAAGACGTCGTACATTATTCGCATACAGTTTGGGATCCAGTTTCTCCGCCTCGCTCGGATTATAAACGGGAAGAAATTCGATCTCGCAGCTGCTGTTTAACTGCGTTAACGTCAACCACAGTAATTTCAATCTGCAACGGATGTAAAGCAATTGATAAAGCGTGCAGTAACGAAAAACAAATAGTAAAATAAAAAGGAAGACGGAAGACGGCTCTCTTTGCTCTATACTTACGCGCCAGGGCCTTCCCACGTCCACGTTACCGTGTCCAATTTGTTGGGATACCTGATGCACACTGGTTGCACCGGTACACCGGGATAAAAGGCGCCCGATTTGAACGTAATCAAGCATGACCGGTTTGTACAGGTTCCTTCGGGAAATATCATAACCTGCGGAGAATAGTCGCGGGTCAATTGCACCAGTAGACGGCGAAGGTAGCGATTTGCGTCTTGATTGTAAGCTCGCGTGCATCTTGCACCCATGAATTATTGAGAACATCATAAAAGACTGCAACTTCCGCGAACTTTATAAACCTGAGTTCTACAAACTTTATAAACTCCGTATGAGAGTAACATGTCAATACTTCAGGGAACATATCCAAAGCAGGGAAAAAATATCACGAATGCTATTTAAACTTTTTCGAGTTACTAATAAATTTTAAAAAATATTCTCAACTGCTATGTAATATACACGCGAAACATCTTGAGAGAGAGAGAGAGAGAGAGAGAGAGAGAGAGATATCATAATGTTTATTAGTAAACGTCAGACCGGATCATAGCATGCCGCGGCGTGCGCGTTAATTCTATTTATAAATATTCTATGTATATATTTATAAAGTCTCTCCCTCTCTTACTGACGCTTACACATTTTGCATGCATAAACTTCATTAATAATTTAATATTCTGCTTACCTGCGGCCAATCCTCCTTGGAGGTAGTCCTCTCAATAATCTCCTTGATAGTATTCTGCCGAGAATTCGGATCTTCCCTCCACACGTAAACCGGCTGTGTATAGTTGATGAGTTCTGCATACATAAAAGTTGATGAGTTATCCATACGACGCGTGGATCTCACTTGAATTTATTCGAATTGATTGAGCCAATTATCTTTTATAGCTTCGTTGCATAAGAGAACTTATTTCGAAGTGATACGCTTGTAAGAAAACGTTGCGAATGATTTGCCATGATCGGTTATAATTAAAGCCGATCAGTCAATAACTACCTAAGACCGGAAACTCATTGCAACATCCTTGCGGAAACTTGCGACTGATTATTTTGCAAGTTTGCATAAGTAAACGGATCATTGTTTCGTTAAACTGCAATCAGATTGTTAAGTAACAGAATTCTTACAAGTATATCCACTCCAAAATCATTCGTTATACAATGGTGAATGGGATTCATTGATAAATATGAAACACAACGTTATTACTTCTAAAAGGATATCAATAATGTAACATTTTTGACAAATTAATATTCAACTTTCACAAAGTAATGACGATCCACAGTTGAGTGTGTTTAATTGACATTGCTATCTATACGAGACAATACAATTGCTATCTATATGCGGCAATAAAACAATAACGATACAATAATATACCGTATGTACCACATTGGACATAATAATTATCTTTTTCGTTGTGCGGTTTTGAAGTTACGGCGATCGTTAACAATGCCGATAATGCTTAAGGCCCCGAATTTTCGTTTAAAAAGATCTCACGTATTATAGTACAGGTCTCGACGACTTCAACGACTTCTCTTCAGTATGCATACCTTGACATTATTATCATTTTACTCGGCACAAGTCTAATCACGCACAAATATTCAATGTCATAAATATAATATATCTTATAAGTATAATATAACTTGAACATAAATATATCAGTAAATTTACAGAAAATAGAGAAAGCAAAAGAAACAGGAGTGTCATCACCTACTTCCGATAAACGGATTCAATCCCGACTCTCGCCTGACGATGATCGAAGGGAATCCGGTGACGTAAACGATGCCGCCGTCGATAAAGGTCGAGTGCGGCGCAAGGACCAGAATCGGGGCTTCCGTTCGGGAAGCCTGTTTCCCTCGGACCACGATTTTCATTCCGCCGGCCTGGTAAGTGAGTCGGCCCACGAAACATATCCATGGTACTAATTTTCTGCGGGTTTCAACCGACAAAGATACATGCGATGGAATCACTGAGAGTACTGGATACTGAATCTCCAAAGTATTTTAATATCGTAGTACCGACGAAGACGCGTCCACGACTTGACAGTATCGTTACGAGAGGAGAACGCGGGGATATTGCAAGAGCAAAGTGTGTCGACTATATAAACTCAAATCGTACTGCGAAAAAGGGGAAATACGTTTACGAGCGAGTAGCACGTCCGATGAACTTTCTATACGCGATCGAGCGATAGAAAAGGAACAAAAAGACAGTGAAAGCGTTTGATTGGTAATCCAAATTTCGATGATTGTTAGCGCTTCGTAGAATTTAAAATTATACACGAGCATTCCGCGCTTCCTTTTTCGTCTAATACAATACACGCGTGCCGGTATTCAACTTAGTTTCTAGCTTGACCTTTAACTTTTAGATAACATTTTGCACAATGTAAATTTATGGACAAAGATATTCAGTAATGTATCAGAGTTAACAAGTACATGTTATTCAATTAATTTAATAAAATATATTAAATTAATAAAAATTCTCCATTAATGCTCCTGTAACTTTAACCGTGACCTATTAAGTTACCTGTCAAACAAAATAAAACGCACACTGTATAAAAGCCGAGTTAGCGACAATTGTTAAAACTACCGTAGTTAGTTGCTAAAGAATAAATCCCATCCACCACATATATGCATACACAAATGTTATATGTACAATAATTAGAACAGAACATTGCGATTTTATAATACCTAATCAAGCGGAAATCTTTCGTTCCCAAGAAAAGAGGTCGCAAAACTAATTTTAAAATTTTTATTTACATATTGCACTTTGACCTTAAAATCAACAATTTTTTCTCGCAATTTCACTGACATGATCACTAATTTACTTTATTTTAAAATCAGTCTTTCTTTGAGAGAACAAAAAAAACACATTGCGACTTCTCTCTTATTAGTCAGTTTAATTCACCAAAAGACAACAATGCGACCTACTTCCAAAGAAAGGGAGGCGGCTACTCTCCGCTTTGGCAACGATGCTCGGCCCGCCAAGGTATACAACCGGAAGTGCATCGAAGAAGCTGGAATGCGGGGCGAGAGCCAGCACCGGTGCATCCTTAGTCTCCGCCTTCCGGCCCTTGACCTTCAGGTGATGAAATCCACCGCAGAGAAATAATGCCCGCATCATCCAGCAGATCACGACGCGCATGTCTCTGTTTTTAAGTGGTTTAATTTGCAATGCGCATGCACCATCGTCCGATGCAATTCTCTATCTCTACTCTCGTAAGGGAGTCTAAAATGATTAGCGAGGCTCGTATAAGCGTTCCTCGGAAAAATTAGGTTTAGTTAAAAGTTCGAAGATTCGATTTCAATCGAACGATTTGTATTTGTTTTAGCTCGTAGAGATCCTTAAATCTAGACGAGTTTCAGGAATTTGAAAAAATATTTCAACATATTCTGATGTTATTATATCGAGAACTCCTCTAGAAATTCTTTCACTCGTATACGAATTAATTAATAATGCAGCATCAATTTATGTTCTTCAAATGAGAACTGGTTCGACAGTAACACTATAATAACACTATAAATCCAAACAAATATCCGCCTCCTGAATAATTTAAAAACCTGCGATACCACTGCGTGCAATATCCAGTTAAAAGTACTTGAAAAGATTTCTTCCAGCTGAACCCGTCACAGCCTTTCATTATGGTACAAGGTCGTCTTATGGACGTTTCTTGTTGTAAGACCTTGACAGTAACGCATGACTAAATTATGAAAAAGATATAAATAAGCAATAGCACAACTTAACTCTCACCGCGGTTTTCGTTTATGTTTACTAATTTCAACAGAAAAAACAATATGAGACACTTGGACAGTTTCAGTTGCTAATTTAAGACTTAAAATTAATCAATGTTTAAAATCATAAATTGAGGAAATACGTGTTAATTTTATCTATGTCAATAAATTAGAAACACGACTGATTATCCGCAACTACAAGACACTGGTGAATTATTACAAGAGGACGGAGAACGAACCGTTTCATTTAGCACAAACATATTTTAATAGTAATAAAATCACCGACAAGGACTTTGTTAAAGGCGAAAATACAACCTTGTCTCGTACGATACGCATTTTTAATTCGCTCGCTCGCTCTCTCTCTCTCTCTCTCTCTCTCTTTCTATCATGAACAGCCATTGATCGCATTGTTTTAAAATATGATCTTCCGTGCGTTTAATTCGGATCTGCTAACAAGGGAATCTCGTAGTGTTAAATTCTAATTTTATTGTTAATGAAACTTTGTACACTTATAGCTTACGTAAATAGATGAATTTAAAAAATATCAATTGATCCATAATAAAAAAAGGTATGTTAAGTCGATAACTCGCATTTCTCGAATATAGTATACATATTATATAATATATATATATATATATATATATTATATAAGTGTACAAAGTTTCATATCAGAAAAATACAAAATTAGTATTTTTTATCATGCTTTATCTTAAAAGTTCTCTATACTTTTGTAATTTTCATCAATTACAGATAAAAGCACGCGTCTGTAGTGCTAGTGCTCTAAAAAATGGTTTAAAATAACTTACATGTAAAGCAGTTTTCAGTTTTTTTTTGTTATATCTCGAAAACTTCAAGATATCAAAAAATGTTTTATACAAAAATTTTACAGTAAAATTATATCTATTTACGTTAATATTTTAAAAAAATACTATTAACCTAAATAACTAGAGATAACTGTAAATTTTACAAAATACAACATTTTTTTATATCTCAGTTTTCAAAATATAACGAAAGAAACTGAAAACTCCTTTACAAGGGATAATTTCACCCCTTCAAACCGTTTTTATCATCAATTGATATTTTTAAAAATTCATATTATTTAAAATTCTATTCACGTAACCTATAAGTGTACAAAGTTTCATTGAAAACAAAATTTAACACTGCGAGGTTTCCTTGTAAGTACACTGTATAACTACAAGCAATAAACATCTTTGAGAAATAGTAATTCTTAATTTTTGAGAAAAATTTATAAAAGTTCTAGATTCAAGGATCTCTAAAAACGCTAACAGATCGGAGATTTACGTAACGTAGATCTGCTAATAAAGCGAAATGACACCAGCATAGAGATTAAAAAGCGACCCCGAAAGAGACAGTGTTAATATAAATAGCATGGTAGAGATAGAACTCGGAATTAGAAGTGAAAGAATGCGGAAGAGGATCGTTCTTTCTCGCCGCGATTATCCCTCCGCTTGGTTTCCTTCAAACATACCGCCTCCATCCCTTGAGAGGAGCACGTCGAAGATCCTCCTCCGACAATCCGTGTAGACCGAAGCAGGCCAATAGCCACGCCAGGATCATCAAAGTCGTGATTGCGGCTAGTCTGAACGGCAGAAGGGCGATCGTTAGGAATATCGTCTGAAACACGAAAACATCATCCCGTCAGTCGTCTCTTTCTGAAATTGGAAATTCAATTCCTACATCTATAAGCCGACTTTGAATTTGACATCGTTATATTCCGATTGTTTATCGCAAATGTAAAATCGAAGAGTCAGATAAAACAAAGTTTGATTTTTGATCCACGATTCGGAGATCTTTGCTTTGATAATTGATAACTCTATATTTTCGCTTTTATGATACTGAACAGCTGAGCGAACCCGTCAGCGTGAATACTTATTTATATCTTCGTTCCTATTTTTTTCACATTTTCGAGATTAAATTTTCCTAATTGCAGTAGTTGCAACGCAATCGCCACATATTAAACGTATTCTAAATATTGCGTAGACGTTAACATTTAAAATGTATTAAAAAAATTCATTCCAGGCGTAACACGTTAAAAGATACATTAAATCGGACGGAATGTCCTCGCAGTATCGCAGTAAAAATGGGTCACGCAGGTAAGTAATTGGCTCTCGGACGAACTTATCGTTTGTCTCACGCGGTCAAGGTTACGACACGTCCACCAGAAGGCTTCGGCTACCCGTCTCGCAAAACGAAGGAGAAAGAAAGAATGAAGAGCAGAAAGGAGATGGGATGCGAGTACCGTTCGTTATGTTTTGCTGTTCCGTTAGGCGTACAACCAGCCGTGCTTTGGCCGTATTTTAGCCTATCTCGTCTCACGTTGCTGAATAGGACTCGAGACTTGACGCGACGGATGTGTGACGTACAAAAGTAAGCCGGGTACCGAGAATATATCTATCGGATTTACGTGTTATGAAATAAATATTATTCTCGACCCAGATCGAAATGCGATTGCTTGTGACATAATTTTCCTGCGAGCACAAAAGTGACTGAAAATTAGGTCAATGGATTAGAGAAGAAACTGAAGACGAACTTCGCACGTAGATGTATCAAAACGAGAATGTCTGAAGTAAAATTTTTAAGGAAGAACAATAGGAGCGCTCGATCCGAATTACTCTGATCGGATATCACGCAGATAGTAAAACGAAGAAAGCCTTCCACACATCCGTCATGCGCTGATTTTCGTGTAGAAAGTTGTTGCGGACGTAACTGTAAATCCTAAGGGCCGCATTGCACTATCTTGCGCTAGAAAATTGTACGTTACATTAATACGGTACAATCTGTAATTATTCAGAACATGTTACAGTTTATAAAGCGAAATGAGTAAGATGAGAGAGTAAAAGGAGAGCGAATGTGACACGAATTAAAAAAAGAAAATACAAATTCGTCGATTTTCTCAGATTCTCGAAACGATATTCCAGTTTAAATCCCGTTAGTAACGATGCCGTTCTTCATTCACTCGCCACATCTAGAATGCGGGGCTTTCTACGCGCGTTCGAGACCTCACTCGGTGTTTTAACAAGAGAAAGCATCGGTCCACGAAGGAGCCGCTATTCGCATCGTGTTTAACGGCTAGAAAAGCGTAAGCTGCAACTTTAATGGCTCACAAAATACGTGAATGACCAAAAAAAAAAAAAGTCAGCGACCCAGTTTTTCGCAATGCCTAAACTAGAACACACGAAAGAAACGGGTTTAACGAGTGCAAGAAGCATTTTTTGTTCTCTAATCGTTAACAATCCCGACTAATTAGACGCGATAGTTCAGGTCTTTAAATTTAAGAAATCTGAACACAGATGAAATCTGCGCGTATAAGGAAAGTGAGATCTTGTTTACATAAAAATAAGCGCGTTACGCAAATGTACAAATTGACACGTCTCGGCCTCGATGATGCCGAAGCAGGTAGGATTTGGGGAAGCATAATGATCACGTTCGACAACCAAACAAGGGGGAGGGGGAGATACACAGTACCCTATGTTAAACTTTCGCAAATTAGGCATCGGAGCATCTAACTCAAGTGTACCCGATCGCTCGATGATGACCTTGTTCATGGTTAACGCACGTGACTAACATTCGTATCGCGTTTTCGCGTTGGAAACCTAACGGCGCGACAACGTGCCGAGGAAAGTGGGGCGGAAATTATACGGCGATCAGGCGCACGCCTCTCGCGCGCCGTGGACCATCGGGCGTGATGACAATCCGGCCGTAAATCCCTTTATCCGGAAAAACGGCAAGCCGCTGGGGCGTCGAATGCAATGAACGGGCACGTAAATTGGCGGCACGACCTGGCCGATTCCCGCCGCGCCGTGAAAGTCGCCGCCGCGGCCAACTTGAGGAAAAACCGGCCTGCGCTGTGCCCCGCGCGATATCTCCTCGCGGCCGTCCCGCGCGCGAATGTGTTTTCTTTCGCATTATATTACCTCCTGCGTCCCTATTTCGCCACAGTCTGAAATTGCAATGCAATTTTATATAACGGTGACAATCATTACATGTATTGTTACATCCAAATTATGCCCGTGCCGTTATCGCTCAATTCGGAACTGGAAGTAGAGGATATTTGAATCATTGAAGAAAAACAGTCTTCTCAACTCTTCCAAAGAATGTAATCATTTACCTAAATTTCAAGTTCGTCGCACGATCGAATTATTTCGTCAACGTCGATCATCGAGCCATTTTTTTATCGGCCTGCATCCAATCGCGTACGAGCGCGGAGCCTGCGAAATTCCGCGTAAAACTGCAAAAACAATTGCAACACTCACGCGCACTTTCTCGACACCGCGATCGAAGCACACCCGTTTCACGGGCCACGACGACGGCGGCGGCGGCGGCGGTGGCGGCATCCCCTAAAATGCAATCGCACCGAGCATCGATCCCGGGCGGGGGAAGAGGGGGGGAGAGGAGGGAAGGAAGCCGTTCTCGAGAGATACTGACCTTGAGCTTCTCGTAGGTCGAGCCGAGCTCGAGCCGATGCACGAAGGGGTTGAGAATGTCGGTGCCGAGGGAGGCGCCGTCGATGTCGTCGACGTTCGACCGCTCGTTCCTCGCGCTCCCGTTCATCGTGGCGAGGAACGGTAGGGAACACCAAACTCCGACAAACTCGCCCGAGACTCCCCGGGGATGGGGTCCGCGCGGATGTCCCACGACGACCGGACCTTCCCTCGCGGTTAGGAAGAGCGGGACAACACAAGTGTGACACGACCTCGTACTACGACGAGAGGACGACGTATCGCGTTCAGCGCTGGCGCACGTACCACGCACCCCTCCTGCGTGCGAAAGGGTTAACGGTCAACGGTAGACTGCGCGCTACCCGGACACGCGCCACCTCGAGCGCTCCGGCGCCTCCTCCTGCCCGATTACGCGCCAACGAGCGCGGAGTGAACGAGCGAGCGAGCGAGCGCCGCCGTCGTCGGCGCCGAGCGATGCCGACGACCCGATTAGCGCTGCTTGCCCGATGCTGCGCGAGGATTCAGCGCCGAGAGACGAGAGCTCGCACGAACTAGTCCTTTCACGTTCGTTAATCGTTTATCGGGAAATATGACACTGACCGACAAAAACGGGGCGACGGACTGGTCCTCCTCCTCCTCCGAATGTCTCGATAAGCGGTTGCAATTTGAATCCTTCGGCTATCGCTCCATCTGTTTTTCATCTCCCAAGCCTCGCCATATAGTCGCCATAAATCAAACGATACGCCGCATTTTTCTAGATCCTTCTAAAGAATTTCCCAGCGTACGCGGGATTATTATTAATTTTATTCGTCGAAAATAATTAATAGTCTAAATTGTGCGAAATGTACCTGCCAACAACGCGCATCAATTGTTTCCTTCTCGGAAGCCTCCGTTTTTTTGTCTCGGAAAGCTCCGTGGAGCGATTTCCATGAACCTGCGGAGCGCGGACTGCGGAGCGTCAATTTGCTATGTTACTAATTACTGTTACGCAACAGAGGGCGCGACTTAATCGGCACTGCAGTTGCTCGTCGCACCAAAATTTTTGACTACCTTATTGCGATTCAGCGTTTCGCTGGAAATCTTTCTTTCTGTGTCGAACGACGAGAAGATGAGTCCATCCGTGTTGTCCGTGTTGACAGAGTACCACCAGGTGTTGCTCGACAAGTTAATCGCCGATTAAGTTAACCGGGACTTGATTGAAACCACCTAGATTACTTTGGCGATTTTTCAACGACCGCGACTTCGACCAAACGGCGATTAACGAGGTTATCTTATTTGTATTATTATTTCATTAACGATAGACATGTTTATGAGAATCTTTTGTTGTTTGGAATATATATATACATATATGTAGAAAAAGAATGGATTTTCGGAATTAATTATATATATATATATCTATATTATATTTCGAGATTCTGACCGCTTGAAGCAATTCTGCCAGTTGAATTAATCGCCGCGAATCGCCGGAATTAATTAAAGTCGCGCTTTCATCGTCGAAAACTTTGAAATGTCCGATATTCGGAATGATCTCGCGTCGTCACATCTGCCGCTTCGGTGGGTCGAAGTATCGATCTTACCTCTCCGCGAGAGTATTTTACGTATGTACCATACCTGTTCTATCTCGCGCGAACACCGCGCTCCCCTCATTACCGGTCGTCACTGTCGGAATCGGGAATACCGACGAGGGCCCCCGCGCGTTCTATGAAAATCCGTTATCATGCACTACTACGCGCAGTGCGCACGACACGGCGAAAGGCACTAATCGCGGTCGTTATTATTTTATCTTCGCGAGCGAGCCGGAAGTACTTGCGCGAATCTCAAGATCGTTTGTCTACTTTGCGAGGTAATTTTATCGATCAATAGCATTACGAAACTCATGTTGTTCCTGATTGACGGATAGACTGTACCGTGTACGCGGAAGGATGTTGATCGAGATAAGATGATAAGAGTTAACCTCGACCGCGAGCCCTCCATTAACTTAATCAGTGATTTACTTATCTTTTGTATTTCAGTAATTAATCTTTTGTCGTTTATACATGGAAAGAAAGATTGTTTGGAAGGACGAATATATATATATATAGTCGGGAATTTTGCAATAAGCGGTTCTGCCGGTTGAATTAATCGCCGATTAAGTTAATCGGAGTTTGGTTGAAGTCGTTCCAAGGTTAAGAGACGCTTACCGGCGTCCGAACGTCGAGTAAAAGCAATTCTTGAATATTGACATCAAGCGGGATCCCGTGCCTGATAATCAACTGTTAATATTTGCTCTGCGTTAAGCGGTTGGCCGTTTTGTTTACTTATTAAATGTGATTTTTTTCGCAGCTTGTATTCGGCAGCATCCTGGGAATCCGAGTCAAACACACATCTCTATTTGCTTGTTGAAGTCAATTCTTTCTCCCAACTTATCCCCGCAGCATCCCGAGAATCTGGGTGCGATGTGTGGAGGAAGGACGGGAACGGGAAACGGGACGGCCGGCAGTAGAACTCTCGTGCGAAATTGCCGCTTGTTGGAACTATGCCGTCTGACGATCTTCTGTGCGTTTACGTCAGGAACACTTTATTTTACATATTTACACCGGTTTCTTTCTCTTTCTCGAGATATCGTCTTTGGTCTACCCACACTCTCTCTTTCTCTCTCTCTCTCTCTCTCTCTCTCTCTCTCTCTCTCTCTCTCGAGCGCTCTATCTTTCTCTCTTTCTCTGTCTCACGCAAACATACATGCATACACGCTTCTGATACGCGTTTCCTCCTTCGAAACGGGTACGAATGGAAATCATTCCATAAATTAGAAAAGAACATCGTCGACTACCAGTTAAATGCATCTCGCTAACCGAACGGTTTTCCGGAAACGGGACAGCAGCTTGTTGCTCTTGATCGAATCACCCTTTAACCAGTAATCCCAAGCTTATCGCCCCTTATCTATCATATTTTCTCCCTTTTTCATTTTCTTCAGTGCATTCTACCGCATATTGTGCGCCGAAAACTATATAAAGGACAAATTTTCCCGCTCTGTCCTTAACAAGTCCTTAATATAATATTGCGTTAACTTTAGCGCGATCCGATGCGAATATCACTCTCGATATACAATATCTTATGAGAATCCTATGATATATATCGTAGAATTCATTCAGCAATTTCATTGCAGGTGTGTCTGTTTTTGGCGCAAAGGGATCGCCGTTCGGTTAAAGGATTCACCGGTTAAAGGGTCGCGATAAAAACTTCGTTCTCGACTACGATAATTAATTGAGATCATAAAAATAACGAAGCTTAGATTACATTTATGCCCTGTTCTATGCGACGTGTGAGTATACGGTACCGTAAACGGATGCTTGGATCCTTGGATCTTCAGTCGCCGAATGCCTTACTGTATGAATTTAAAAAATTGTCAAATATAACAACGCGCTAAGATCTTTCGTGTGTGTTTCAGGATTAAAAAGGATTATTTAAGAGGACCTGAAAAGACTGCGCGGACTAAAATGTTGAGGGATTTCAAGACCTTTGAGTGCGATCGTGGGAAAACTGAGAATTTCCAAAAAGAGGCGAGCATTCACGGAACGAAGGAGTGACAATAATCGGTAATAAAATTTGTTCTATAAACGTAAAAGTTTAACGGTCTGACGAGTCGAAAAACTTAGGGCGAAGAATCCAAGGATATAAGCATTCAATTTTCAGATCATTGGATCCTTGAATCCTTATATCCTAATATATATGTATCACGTATGTACGTACGTATGCTGTGTGTTCTATGTGTATGTATATGCGCGCACGCGTGTATTGTGTATGGGTATATGTGTTAGGATGTCCCTTACTTGCTTATGTGATTATTCCAAATATTTATATTTTCTTCTTAAATCACTTACATTTGAAATATATGTGTATATTTACACATATACACTACCACTGTTTCTCATTTAATTTTGTTGTCAATTTCAATGTCGATAGTTTAATTCGCCAATGCGATTCTCTCATCACTGCGCAAGAATTTTCTACAAGTAAGGGATACTCTAGTATGTGTATGTACGCAAACACGTGTGTAAACGTATACATGTATATTATGCATGCATACATTTCTGGAAGTGGAACGTTCGCATTATTGAGGTATATCTACGTTCAAGCGTTCGGATATTGTCGGTTCCTCGAGAAGCTAGAAAATACGCTCCACAGCCGGGAGCCAATTGCCGTTTTCTGAATTTTTCTGAACTTTTACGCTTAACGCATTGTACATTCAGATCGCATCACTCTTCGAGGAAATCAATCAGCCTTCGAGCATATAACATTTCTTCCCTCTTTTACTTTGGCGTGTCCTCGAAGAATCGTGCTTTCTGCAATCGTTGTTCCGAGATGTTCGATAAATGAAATGAATAATCCTGAATGTCTCTGAAGTGACGCTAAAACCAAACGAGTCGTGGACGTGAAGAGTAAGAAATTATATTATTGCAGTAATTAATAGAAATCAATTAAAAGAAATATTGATAAGTATTGATAAGTAAAATTTTTAAAATGCTCTTTATATTTTGTTGTTGAACATTTTACGACGTATCAGTTCAATTAATTGATGAAAACTGATTTGTTTATATTTCGTTACTTTTTGTTGTTATTTTTAAGTTACATTCTTATCACATCACTTCAGAGACATCATGGACAGAGAAATCTTATGATGAGATAAAACGTGAAAGGAATGTTCAACGAGCGCAAAGCGATACTTCAATAGCGATATAGGTCGTCGCAGAATTTTTGAGAACGGACCGTTAGAAAGTCAACTCGTGATTAAACTCGTTAACTTGGATTATTATGAAATCCTTGAGCCTTTAAATCCTTGGATTCTTGGACCCCTGAATTTTGAGATCCTTGGACTCTTAGATCTACGGATTTAGAGTCGTAAGCCTCGCACTATAGCCGAGATTTCTCGTACTTAACCGCATTTAATCCATCCACCGGAGTGTACTGTGTGCCTCAAAAAAAGAGGAATCAGTACTTTTGACCACGAAAGTAAGCGTTCTTTCCAACACGTCGTTTCGTAATCCAAATTCTAAATGGTGCGAACCGTGTTAAACATTAAAAATTAAAGGATTTAGGAATTGTATATTCCCCAGCTTCTTAGATTTGCGATTCATTTTCTTGAATTAGTAGACCGGGAACTATTTTTGACTGAAACGTGAAACTATAAGCGGATGCGAATTTTCATAAAGTTGAACCTAGTTGATCCCTTCTGGCTGACATCTCCTATCGAGACACCCGGTACAACTTGGCGAAGACGGCCGAGAACGAGTCGCGGCAGCCGCGCTGGTCCTTCACACGATGATCCGTATCCGAAGTCATATAGTCCAGACCTGCACTTTCTCCGCGACGACGCACCAGCTTGCGTGGTCGTAATACGATGAAATGATATGCAGGTTCTCGACGTACTTGTTGATCAGCTGATCCAGCTCGCCCTCCCGAAAGACGTGATAATATTGGTGATAGGTAATGGAACCGCCGCCGCGATCGGAGGGCAACGATTCCTGGGACGAGGCGTTACTCAGAGTGTCGGTGCTCGCGGTGACTAGACAGCCCGCGGCGTCTCGCCTCTTCGTCTCACTCGACATCTCGTCCAACGAACGGCCGCGTTCCTGCAGTCTTCGACGCTCCACCGAACACCGACGGGCGTTCTCTACATTCGGATTCGATACCAGTGACACCGTGCTGCCGGTGAACAGTCTCGCAGTCGACTCCGCCTGGCTGCCGTCGCTCAGGCTCGTCGCTGTGTTCTCCATCAGAGAGTCGCCCACGTCGCTCGAGTCCATCGATAATCCGCTGTGAGAGGAACGCCATTTCCCGGCCGCCCTCGAGTCCTCCACTGCCTCCTCGAACTCGCCCGTCTTAGACACCATCACGAAGTCCAACGTGTCGTCCGAGTTGCTGCGCAACAACGACGAGGTGTCGGCAGAATGCTCCTGATTAACGTTGGATTTGAGTCCTGCTCCGGATTGGAGATTGAGCGTGCTTTCAGCATTGATAAATTTTTTGGTATCACTTATAAGATTACTACTGGATTCAGGATTGAATCTGGATACAAGATCGGCCTCAGTTTTTAATTTCTCTTCAGATTTACGATTAACTCTAAACGTTTCGTCGTATTTGGATATGAATGTGGTTTTGGGCTCGGCTTCGAGCTGAACTTCGTACTTGGAGTTGCACGGAAATTTACGATCGAATTCGGATTCGAAAACGGTATCGTCGCAGAGAGATTTGGAGGATTTGGGTGTCAATTTGGATTGGACCACATTGGCGAACTTGTCGTATCCACTCCCGTCGTACGCTTCGTTTACGACCCACGACGTCTCTTTGGGTACTTGATTGCACCCGTCCCAGCAGGCTGTAGTGCCCGTATCCAAATTATTTTCCGCAACGTCCGACGACGACGACGTAGTTCCCGACGTCTGGCAGACCTCGAAAAAATCGAACGACGAGTTCTGGCAGTACCGACTGATATCTCGTATAAGATCGCTGCTCGATTCGTTAGCGTAGCCGCCCAAATCTACCGTAGCGGATTTACAATCCTGCTTCAAGTACGCTCGCGTTCGCACGCTCGATTGCGACCAGATGCCGTCATTATTCCGTCGTTGTGCAACCTGCGAGAATGGCGAGAATTGTTCCACTTGGGCATTATGTTGAATCGCCTTCTCCACGGCGTCCTCCAGTGAGCTCGCCACATTAGCAGCGGCCTCCAAAAGCCTCATAGATTGCGAGGAGATGGACTTTCCGCTTTCCAAAAGAATGCGCGACGTGGGGCAGACTGTGTCAGTCCCTGCTAAATTATCTCGAGAAAAGTCGCGCATCACCTCGGTTTCCGCAAGGAGCGGATTTTCATCTTCGAATTCCGCGGACGAGTCGTCGTGCGCGGGATCTAGCGGTGTATTCGAATCCTCGAATGACGCTGTTGTTCCCATACTCACCGACTCGTCGTCACGTATACTACTTTCCGTTTCCTTCGTCCTCTTTGACACATCGTCTCCGCTTGATTTGGAGAGACTCTCGTCCGTCTGTACGTTGTTTCTCTTTTCTTCAGCCTCCTTCCTCGCGATGTACCGCTCGTCCGACGTGACGCTGATCACCGAGCCGACCGACTCCGGCGACGAGACGCCGCTGGAATCGCTGTCCAAGTCGTCGGTCTCCGGATTGAACAGTTCCAGAGATAGCAAACGCGGCAAGATTCTCGTGACTGTCTCCAGACGACCTGAGGCCGCCGTGGAGGCACGCCTAACCAACGGAAACGACGGTCTGGCGCGAGTCGCAAAGCCCGGCTTCGCTATGAGCAGCTCCTTGATCTGATTCAGTCTGGCCTTTCGGCTGTCGTCCTCGCTCGCGATCGGCTCGCGACCGACTGCCTTGCTGGCATCGTTGTAAGTATGCACCAACGACGTGGTGTCCGGCTCCTCATCCGGTTCCGACGTAAGACGGAGTCCTGCTGACGTTGGTGCCTGTAAAGTGTTATCGGACGTTTCCTTGCAGACGATGGTCGGCACACTAGGTTTCGTCGCATCACCGTGATGCGTACTCGTATTCGTATTTGTATTCGTGCTGCCAGTCGATTGTTGTTTCAGCAATGGTGACACGCCGATCACTTTGAATCTGGACGACTGACCACCGTCCAGCGGCTGCTTGACACGCGGCGACGGTGGTGCCGACGTCGTGCCGATCTGCAATGCCGCCGGTCGCGGCGCGGAAGGAACCTCATTGACCGAGGACGTCGCCGAGGGAGGCGGTGACGGGACGGCGACGTCCTGCTTCGGCACGTAAATCACAGACGCGAAGCTGTCTTCGGAATCTACGCTGGTGTCGCTCTGCAGACTGCTGTCCTTGGACGAGTCCGAGCCGTCCTCGCGTGAGAGACGACGTTCGACACCCTCGATGCTACGTTTCACCATTGTCACCGGTTGTACTTTATTGTCCGTTTGCTTCGACTTTGTCGTCGCTTCCGCCGTCGCGGCGGACGTTGATTCGCTCTCGCAGGATTTCCATCCCTGCAGCATCCGAACGAAACCATTCTTGATGGACATGCTAGAGACCTTCTCGATGTTCGTTGTGGAACGCTTGATTTTACTGGTGAGCCCGTTCTTCAGCAATTGGAAGCGCCGACTGGCGCTCACCGGACTGATCGAATCCTTGAGCGCCTCGAATGTTCGCCACTTGCAGATGAGCTCCTCGTTCAGCGACGCCTGCTTCATGATATTCCGTCGCACTCGTTCCTTCTCCTCCAGCCGTTCCGCCGACATCAATTCCTCGTTCATCGAGCTCTGCTTCAACGGTACGTTACGCTTGCGCAACGACTGGTAGGAGAAATCCGGGAGGTCCTTGATCAGATTTTCAATGGCAGTGTCTTCAGGATTCTCCAAACCAATCTCTTCTACGTACGACTTCTGCTTCACCAGTCGCGGCTTTGAGCCGCTCGACGACGACGAGACCGACCGCTCGTCCAAGATCAGCTCGGACGTCGTGTAGAAACCCGGGATGCTGGACCGGGAACGCACCAAATCGAGCCGCTCAATTTCCAGGATATCGCCCAAGCTTTTGGATTTGATGCTTAACGTGTCCGCGGAATGCTTGTTCGTCATCGTTAGCGTATGTGTGGTTTCCACGCGGCGCAGCTCGATCGGCAGCTCGTCCACGTCGGTCGTGTCCTCAGGATCGTAATTCCGCCGGCTTTTGGTGCTACTCTGCCAACTTCCAGGAAACCAGGCACGACCGCCACCTCCGCGTCTACTTCTCGCTAATTTCTGAAAATAATCGTACAACCTTGCTAATCGGCAATAACAATAGGGTAATTAAATAATATACTATAAATATGATCTCGAAATAGCAATTAAATGGGAAAAATTAATTCTTTTTTTCTCCAGATTTTTGTTCACAAAAAAAAAATAGCCAAGTAAAGAAATTTAATAACCTCTTGACATTTAACTAAATAATCTTTGCGATAACTAATATTGTGACAAGAGATAACAGTATCAAAAGAGGAACATTTCCAAATATTAGATACCGAAAACGACCTTTCAGGTCGAGCTTAAAATATTGCATATGTAGATAATCACTCTCTATCTCCATCTCTCTCATTCACTCACTCATCTGATTACCTGTAACGCTCGCCGGAAACAGCTATAACAGGTCTCATTCGGGCTAGAGAGGCTACTGGTGGATGGTGACAAGCTGAATATCGGATCGATCCAATAACTCTTGCTTTTACATTTTCGTTGGCTATTTCTGGAACAAGAAATCATGACAGCTATGACCTACATACGACAGGAAATGCAGAAATTGCGCATAGACGAAACTAAACATGTTACGATTACTCTCAGCACATTGGCGAGATAATTTCCCGAAAACTCACCTCTTTGAGGATGACGGATGTTTCTGTGCAGCGTCATCATCTCGCTTCTCGTTACCGTCTGATGCACCCGAATGCTTCGTCCCATCTGACGATGCGCTCATGCAATGCGATTTGGGCCACGGTATTAAAACATCTTGCGATTCAAACTACGAATATATATATGATATATATAATAACAATATAATTTGTAATCCAGACACTTTTAAAGATACCGATTGTCGAAAGGGGAAATTGAAAAGAGATTAATTTAAAAATTTATTAATAGAAGAATAGAAGAATTTATTAATAGAAAATCTTTCTCTTACCTTCCTATGCTTTTGTTCCATAGCCCAGACGGATATAACGAGCCGACCTCCGATTCTAAGGACCCGCGCCAACTCCTTCAACGCATGTACCCTCCTCTCCGTGGTAGCGAAATGGTGCACCACGGCGATCGACAGCACCGCATCGAAGCTTTCTTCTCGGAATGGTAGAGCCAAATTATCGCAGATTAGAACCTTCGCACAACAAGCAAATGAGCCCGTGAGTAAAATATTCAATGATAAATCATTCGCACGCATTAATTCGAAATCACTTTAATTCTCTCGCGGGGAAAATATAAAAAAGAGAATTGATGAGATATAGAATCAGCTTAGAAATAAACTTCTTGTATAGAATTGATATATATTACGCGCACCTCGTTTTCCTTCTCGCGCGCGATGTCCGTGAAACGCTTGCATCTGTCCACCCCTATCTTGAAGACACTGTGATTTACGCTGAGATATTTTCCGTTGCCGCAACCTAAATGATGCAGACATAACGTTGTTACACGAACGGAGAGATGGTATCACGTTGTAAAGCATGCGAAACGTAAACTCGGTTAACTATGCAACCACTATATACGATGAATACTTCGTCAGAGTTGTGTATAGACAAACATTTGCAACATGGTTAATGAGAGCTTTGTTGAAAGAGAGAGAGAGAGAGAGAGAGAAAAAAGAAACGCGTTTCGCATAAAATACTTCTGACTAACCGATGTCGCAGACGAGGGCACCCGGTTCAAGTTCTTGAAGAAATTGATATACTCGTGGCCAGTGTTTACTTTGCGTGGTCTTCTCAGCGCATTGCTCGTATACTTCGTGGACGTAGGCTTGCTCTAAGGCCACCGAGCGAGCTGCATGCTCTCCGTCGCTCTCAGACATCCCTCTCGCTAAGGTGATTTATCCTCGTCCACATGTGCGCTTACGATGCTGCACAGAAAATATTTGTCTCTTAAAAATCGAACAGTCATTCGAAAAGTTATTCAGATCGCAAGATCGCGAGAAACGAGAAAAAAAATTTAACCGAATTACGGAGATGCAAAAGAATACGAGGAATTTACGCTAAAAAGTGCGAACGAATTATATTTTATTTTTAAATTTTTCTGGATATCGAAACGTCAAATTATTTTGTTGATTTTTAGGACTGTCGCCTGCTGCCTTTCGCGTTGCCTTATGCACGTTTACTTGACACAGTGAAAACGCACATCTTTATTCATAGACCTATCTCGCAGGGCGGCAAGCATCCGCAATAGAATAGCTCCTGCAGTAATCTGAGTATCAACTTGTCGGGCCTCAACTTCTCCGCGCTCTCCGTTTTCTTGACGCGATCCGAGCGGTACCGCAAACGGGGTACCGTGTACATTCGACACCATCGCAAAAAGCCGCCGGTGTCCTCCGTGCGAATGAACGTCACGATCGCCCAGAGCGTGCAGAGATTTCGTGATTTCTTTCTGGTGTGCAGATAGAGCTGGCAAACATCCAGGAACGTCATGAGATCGACGACGCTCCTTTCCATGGAGACCAACACGTTCGAAGATTAGACCGACACGGAGCTTTCGCGCGCGGCGAATTCGATGACCGGGAACACCGAGACACCGATCTGCGGCGTTTCAAAGAGAAGCTCGGAAGTCAAAAGTCGCGACCGAAGACGGACGACCGAACCGATCCTTTAAATAGATCCTTTGGCAAGCGTCACCGAGCGGAAAATCCGCCTGGCGCGAGGCCTGCTCTCCACTCGCGCCACCGCCACCCCCGCATTGTGTGCTGATGGCGAACGCCGTCGGAGGCAGGTGGACCGACTTCAAAGAGCAGCGGCACCCCTTCCCCGTCTCCGCCTTCCAGCGACTCTCCCGCTCGCGCGCCGCGGTACCCTTCGCCACCGCTCTTGTCGCGTGCGAGCGAGCAACGAAAGGGCCGAGTACATGTGTGCGTCGTCGTTCGTTCGCAGGCTTCCGATACGCGGCTGCGCGGTGAATTTATTCGATATCTCCCTTTCGCATAACTGGGTTAGCCTCTCTCGATGCACTAGTTTAACTAATTTAAGGATGCCACCAGGATGCCTCGTGCGCGACGACTAATGTCAACCATCGTCACTCAACGCAAACGAACAGGCCGGGCGGGCGGACGGACGGACGAATAGATGGATGGTTAGACGGGCGGGCGGACGTACGTCGACGTAATATCGACGTGCGCGCTGTTGCTCGCTTCCGAGGGATGCGGCGGTGCAGTGATGCACGCGAGATGCAATTACTAAACTCGCAAAGAATTCTACGGGAGCTCATTCCCGAGAGAGACGCGGAAGCGTCAACTTCCTCGATATCTTTGACGCGTCGACGCGTATTAGGGTGCCTCTCTTTGAACTTTTGGAACTTCAGAGAAAATGAAATTTTCCCGACAGAGAAAAATAAATGAGCAAAATGTAATCGTCTATGTCTAACGCTTCTCACTTTCCAATCAATTTCAACGATTGAAGTATTGTCTGCAGGCTATTATGCGCCTGTGTCCGAGGAGAGAGAGGGAGACTCGTCTACATGCTACTAATGACAACGACTTATAAATAGAATGTGAAATGCATCCCACGCGAGTGCTTACGTCACGAAACGTCGCCTGTCCGTTCAAGGACTAAGGGCCGATCGCATCGAGCATTGGATTGCAAGTTTATTTAATTAGACTTTCCACCGCTTAGCTAAAGAGAAACGAGAAACATATATCGACGCGCCGTCATAGCCGTCTTTTTTTGTTCCAAATTATAGATTTTTCGCTTCCTGAATGTTTTTTTGGGCGCGAAACGATTGTTAGTACGATCGACGTACGTTTAAGTGTCACGGACGCCGAGATTTCCGTAACGTGAGATTGCACACACGACGAAAATCCGCCACCCCCTCGACGAGACGGAGAACCACTATGCCACCGCGGTTAGACTATACACTACGTAACGGTCGGGGATCGTAAGTGTGTTGGTCTCGGCGGCGTGGGTGGTACGTAGAGCAACGGCAATGTGCCAACCGTGAGAGAGGCAGCCATGAATGAAAGTGCCGCATATCGATTTATCTGCGCCGCCCTACATACGAAATATGATAAATAGAGAGTGCCTCTACCGATTTGCACACTGACACTTCGAATCACCACGTCATCCATGCGTATTCATCTCCTTCTCATTTCCAGTCCCCGGTTACGTGTTAATTGAGCGAGCGAGGCGCAGCATCATTATCTCACGTATCTAATACGGGTATAATGAGATTAGATCAGAGTTATTGCAATAGGCGAACACAATGGCGAGGGAGAGTAAAGAAGACATTATGTTTCGTAATGTCAGGTAAACAACCGATAGAATTAATTGTGAGAGCAAAGCAGTTGCATGAAGACCTGTAAGAAATGTTACATATACGCGCAAATAATATAAAAAATTATATAAATCTCACGCATTCGGACTGTCGTTATGTGACAAATCCTAAACATTTTCGGGGCTTAATTACAGAGTGGTATTAATGGGAGCTAATAATTGGATGAATATGTTAAAAAAAAATTCTCGAGTTTTTCGTGACGTTTTTATTAATTTTATGTCGAAATTTTATGTAATCATCGATTTCTGTTGCAGAAATTCCGTGAGATGCGTCAAGATGAGATTCAACAACAATCGGATATGGAATTTCGCATCGTGTGTAATCGATGCGAACAACCGTGGATTATCGACTCTCCGTCTGTAACACAGCACCAAACGCGTCACCGTTCAAAACGATTCGATGTGGCGCCATTATTCATTCATGCGAGCTGCCTCTACGTCAATGACTGAGCATCCGTTTTGAGCTACCGTGCCGATTTGACGATCGTTACCGATGCAAATAGAGCGATTTTGAGGAATTTGGATACCGAAGGACTTTAAAAATTCGGAGGACTCGAATGCCAATGAGTCGGGAACCACCGCGATCGGAGCAATCAACGTCAACGACAGACGCAAGTTATCGACTATTTTATACTCGATATTGATAAGACCGTATCAACCTTATCGCGCAAAAACGACCGCATACCTTTGTATTCTCGTGAATAGGTAAAATCAATTCCTTCGCGAGAGACTGCCTACGCGAATACGTTCGGGCCGGCGACGGCCGCCATATCGCTGATCGCGCGAGAACGTTTCCCCCGCGGGCGAGACCGACGGCGAGGACGTGAATCGACGCCACGCGTGTCTACACGGTTCTACTGTAAAAAAAAATAAAAAACATCTGAGACTCACCTGGGTCATGAGAGAGGCGGAATCTTCATGCTCGCGATGAGATACGCTGCTGTGGCGGCAAGAGGGTGCAGCAGCGCGGTGGCAGCGACGACGGCGGCGGTGTCGGCGGCGGGGTCGGGGTCGGAGTCGGCGGCGGCAGCGGTGGTAGCGTCGGCTGGTACTGGTGCTGGTGCTGGTGCTGCTCGCGCGAAATCGGCGTCGCGCGAATGTTCGCGTCTCATCGCGCCGACGAACGGATTCCTCTCACATCGCCTCGCGCCGTTGAGTATCACCCTTTTTTTTTCCTTTTTTTCTTCTTTTAATTCGCCCGTTCGTTCGCGCTCGCTCGGGTTTTTCACACGGGATGTTCGCGCGACGGAAGGGTGTGTTAGCGCGCACGATGGACGCGCGTTTCGCGAAGAATCGAGCCGACCGACCGACCCTCCGACAATGGCTGCGGTTCCGCTGGGGGTTGAAGGGAGCACGCGCGAGGCAACGCGACGCGACGCGACGCGACGCGGGCGTCGCTGTGACGCATTACCAGCGTAAGAGGGAGGAAAGGGCGGAAGAGAGAGTGGGTGTAATGAGATACGTTTCTCTCCTGCCAGCTGCGGGTGGATGGGTGAGCGCGTAGGTAGATGCGCGAGAAACGTGTGGCTTGCGGTATCTATAGCGAAACTTATAATAGAGAACGTCTCCGTAGAGAACGTCTCCACGTTTTGCACATTTGTATAGTATCCTTGCGCGTCCTCGCGTGACGCGTTACAGACGTCAAAGGAAGTTGGAAGCGACGAATATATAAAGAGATATGTTTGACGCTCGTGTGGCGTCAGATCTCGTTGCTTCTTATCGAAAACTATCTCTTTAACGTAAATGCGATATTGATCGTTTTCGAAGTTGCGTCTAAAATGAAATTTTTTACGAATCAAAGTCTTTAGTTGAACAGAGAGTATCAGCTCTTGGTCGTCAGATGTAGCAAACTACATATATACGCGTACAAGTAATCCAGTGCGGATTACATAAAGTCAAGGGTGAATGTAAAGTAACACTGATGCGGTATAGATACGATACGAAAAAACAAAGCGCAAATATGAAATACGGAGTCATTTCAAATAATATGGGCGAATAAAGTTTATAAAATTCTTTATTTCCTATTTTTTCTTATATTATATATTATGTTAATATAGAACGTAACACGCGCGCAAGCGCGCATATAAAACGCCGATAGAAATTAAAGTAATACGTTAGACGTACGATCAATTAAATGAATTTTGCCTAACTTTAAAGACCTGATTCAACGATGAATACGGCGAGTAGCGAAACACGTCGTCTATATTCAGATTACATCGCAGTATCACTACGCCCGACGGGTTCACTTTGACCTTGATCTTGGTCTGTGGCGTCAGCACTCCATAATCCACGTCCTCGTACAAATCCTGAAAAGTACAACGATCGCGATACTTCCGAATTCTTTTCCTAAAAATATTTTCTGCCGGTGTCAAACCACTACGAACCTCCACTCGGTATCCTCCGGGGTACTGTAGACCCAGTTCCTTCAGCGTGACCGACACGTCCGACGGCGTGCCGTCCGTTCGTCTGTTGACGAATGCGATCGCGTACGAGTAGTAGTTTTGGTAAACCGGAGTGATGGGCCTTGCCCAAATTTCAATGCCCTTGTGCTGCAATCGTAAGTTATCAATGGATCACATCGCGTGAAACACACATTCCGATGATTTCAGCCGAAACCGCCACTAATATATGTAACTGAATCTTAGAACATATATTAATATATATTTATATATATTAATATATTAATATATATTTATATATATTAATATATTAATATATATTAATATGTATATATATTAATATATTTATATTTTACATATATCTGTATGTATGTTCTAAGAACTGAATACAACTCGTTAAATCTTGCATTTCAACTCGTGACAATATCGACCAATACATCACACTAATGTACTCAAGGCACTGAACACGTTTTGACTTTTAATTCACACTCACTTTGTATATCCGTCGACCTTGAATGCCCAGCGGATCTTGATCCACAGCAATAATCTTTTTGTTCTGCAGGATAGCTTTGTACTCTGGCCTAATCGTCCTGAGATCGACGGACATGAGCAACGGCGCCGCTAGTATAGCCCAGATCGCCATTTGCGTCTTGCTCTGCTCGTAACTCAGACCGAAGTTGCCGATGATCAACATGTCCGGATCGTTCCAGTGCCCGGGACCGGCGTTGGGCACAATTGCGTCCTGATTGTTACCGTAATAATCGATGATGCTCTCTACGCTGGCCCAGGAATCCTGGATGTCGTCGAAGTTGCGCCAGAGATTGCAGTTCTCCGCAATCGCGGTGTAATTCGGCTGAAAATTAGATAAAACGTCAGTGGCTGTCCCTGGAAAGAAATAGATCGGAGAAAATGCGTCGAGCGTCGAGATGCTTACCTTCATACCCGCATAGATCTGGTAGACAGGCCAGCTGCAAGAGTATATCATGGGCTTTCCAGTCTGATTCAGGTGGAATCCAAACTCGGGATAGCCTTTCGCAAATAAGGTATCATTTCAATATTTATTGATTTAATTAAGAGAAAGAACTCATTGACTATTTATAAGATATACCTCTGTCCATGTCAATGGGATGTGAATAACATCCATCTAACTTCACGTAATCCACATCCCAGGAAGCGAATGTGGCAGCGTCTATATCCAAGTAGCCCAATATACCTGGGTATCCGGCGCAGGTGTAATTACCGTAGTCCTCGTAGATACCAAACTTGAGACCCTTTGAGTGCACCTAACAAACAAAGCGATGTCATGAGTCATTGTACGGCAGTCATAAAAGAACATGATGAGTCTAGAGAAGAGCAGTATGAGTCAAGTGCAGAACAATGACATTGTGTGACTGACAAGCATTGAAACAAAGAAATAAGACATTTCTACAGCAATTGACAGTAAATTACATAATCTGACAGGCTTTTCATGCCATATGGGAATCGCTCTCTATCCGGTACTAGCTGCCCATTTGTATCCCTTTCCTTCTCCAGCCAACAGTCATCCACATTAATGTAATCGTACCCCACTGCAGCATACCCTTCTGCCACCACTATGTCTGTCATGGTCCGGAAGAGACGATCACTGTCGAATCACAGAAAATCAACCACTATATAATTCCCTCTACTCACTTACACCGAATACTTTATCCATATATTACACACCAGGCTGTTGGTGCTCACCTTATACAATTGTCCGGATCATTCTTGCAGTCGGTGTTGCACCTGAATCTCTCCCAAGCCAGCCATCCCATCGGTGGTGTTCTGGCCAGGCCATTCTCCAGCGCCGGGACCAGAGTGGCCAGCGACAGGAGAGCACAAAGGGACCACAGCAGGTTGCGCAGCATTCTGTAGAAAAGGTAGCAAAGCTGCTCTCGGTCAGTGAGTAGGACAGAATGACCAGGAAGGCTACCAGGTTGGCAGCATAGTCCGGGGGCACGAAGCGGAGCAGGATTCTCGCGAGAGGACGGTCGGCGGAGAGGTCATCAGGGGAAGCCCACTGGCCGAAGGAGGAACGACGCGACGCGAGCTGGACGCGGTGTTGTGACGAGGCGCGCCTACCGTACTGATCTGATATAAGAGGTAGGCTCGCTCGCGCGCTCGCTCCCTGCCGCCACCGCCACCGCCATCGCCGTCGCCGCGAGTACTTTCACCCAATGCCCCATTTCATTTTTACGCGCGATCACCGTCGCCGACTCCGCGTCGTGCCGCGCCTGCCTCCACCGATCCCGCCGCGTTCGCCGAACGAACGAACAACGTCGTACGTAGACCACCGGCCCGTTGGCGTTATGCGGGCATAATCGCGCCGAGTTTCCTACGCGAGCGGAGCGGATGTGCCGCCTGCCGCCGTGTGTGGCAAGGAGGTTAGGGGACACGCGCGCGCGCGCGACAGGTTAGATCATTTCACTTCTGCTCTTCGGCCTTGTGAAATCTCCGAAATCGCGCGAGCTTTTTCTTTTCCCCTTTTTTTTTTCTTGTGAAAGAATTCGTACCTCGAAATCGAGCCAGACGAGCGCTAGCTTGAACTTTTGGATTTCAAGCTTCCTTCTTGACTTTTCGTAGTTTTTGTCTCGTTAATTGGTTAGTTATCGAAATGAGTGTTGAAGGAAATTTTTATATTTTAATGGATGTTATCAATATCTCTAATAAGTACCTTTTATTAGATTTTAGACAGCTGATCCAAATACTCTGATCTGTTTTTAATAAATCTCGTTCGGTCTGTGAATTCTTTCGCACTAAATAACGACTTCTATCTTATGCTAACGAATTACGAATTTGAATAGATTAGATAAAAATGCCACATTCCAAACGTAATTGCTTTCGGAAAATTTTAAAGGCTATGCAGCTTTGCAACGCAAATTATAACTTTTTAGTAATTTTTCTTGAAAGCAAACGTTTTCGTAGATAATGTCGTAGCCTTAGATAAAAAAAAAACAGATTGAGATATTCACGTGTTCTATTCTGCTTTAATGATTTCAGGGAATAACGAGAGAATTATTTACCTTCCGGAGCGCTTTATTTCTTTTTTGTTATACCAAAAATTTGCTACAATTTCAAATTATTTTACGATCGCGCCGTCTCGACAAGAGCGTAGCCAGCCGTTCTCCAGAGAACTACAAGTGCGAAGTGTCAGGCGTTTTCCCGAAGGCTATTGTGGAAGATGCTAAACAAATGATTGTTATATGCGTCCTTCGTATTTCAAATCGACGCCTCAAGGCTCCACCAGTCTAGGCGTGTGTGAGCGTTGTCGGAAGTCAAGGTTTGTAAAGAGACGTCGAGGAGGCTACCGTACGGAAAAGTATAGGCTTAATCCTCCATACCGCTTCATACCGCGACTCTCGTTGACGCTCTGATTTATACTACAGATCTGGCCGACGCTAGGCTTCGCTCCTCGTCACCGATAAAAATGAAAGCATCGTAGCCTGCCCGGTGGAAGGGCGGTGACGGCGCGTTAAGAGAGCGAGAGGAGACAAAGCGAGAAAACACACGGCGAGATCGGTCGGAGCGATTCGACAGAGGGAGAGAGACGACGGCGGGCAATGGTAATATCGCGAGTGGGAGAGACGAGTGGTGAACTCGCAATCGTGCTGACGTACAGGATGCCTCAAAAGTCCTCGGAGCTTATACACTTCACTTGATCCTGACACAATGCTATTAGCTGCCGCTACGAGGGAACCCTATTATTAGCGCTTCTGTTACCAAGTATTTTTACTACTCTAAAGCTTTCTCTCCTCTTCTCTGTCTTTCAACGCCATATTAATATATGTTATTATTATTATTGCGATATCACGAGTGCGTGTTGCTACGTGAACTAACGTGTAACAGATTATTTCCGCATATAGCGCGGGCGGCATGCCGCGACGCGAGCCGAGAAAGTAGCCAAATAGATGCGAACCGGTTCGCAATCCTCCTAGTCGTCACTCCACGCCGTGGAAAAAAAAAAGAAAAGAAAAGAGGGGCCTTAGAAAGATAGAGATTGCGGGGATCGCCCTCGTTGAAAAAGGATAACGCACGGCGATCGTCGCGATATACTTAAGTAGCGCTTTATTTATACCAACATCTCTATATCGCGAACGGAGATCTCGATCGCACGTTCGTAATCTTTCGCGCACTTGATCGTTGAACGTCGAGTGTGGGTCACCGGAGTGATACGAGAACCGTTTGTTACGGATTGCAGCAATAGATTGTGTGTGGTTTACAGCTTGAAACGTAGATTGCGCGTTATTAGCGATTCGAGAGCCGTACCGGAAATGACCGTTCCGAGCACAATCACTACCGGCAAAAAAAAAAAACGCGCGAGATACCGGAGATGATTAAGAAATAATTAAGTTCATTTACGTTCTTTGATTTTCTGGCACGCCTCAAGAAATTAGCATGGAGTTTATCGGGGAAATCAGAAAAATGACTTGCAATATCTTTTTTTATCGCACAATAGAGATCCTTGAATTAAATTAGATCCAGATCTTTCGAGATTTGTAAATTGCATATCGAACGAAAGAATTTTATTTCATTTTCAGAATATAAAATCATATCGTATCTTATAATATCTTATCATATAATATTATATCTTATTTCATAATAATGAGATATAATGCATAGAACTTATACTTTTCTTTCCTGTCGTATCTGAGGCGATCGTAATCGAGTGGAAATTTGTTACATCACAGATAATTGTGATACGATAAACAACAAAATCGAAAACATTTTACACTTAAATAACAAATCGTCCCTCGTCTTAATCGTCACAAATTAAACGTCTCCGTTCTAAATCGGATAAAAAATGATTGCGGTCGAATCCTCCTCATGAAAACACGCGCCTGTACACCCACCTCCCTCGCATTTCTTTACGAAGAAAGACATAAACGAGCGCAGCTTCTCGCCTTCTAATTTCCCCCTCCTCCCTTCGCCTCGGAATGGAGAGTTTGATTTCTTGCACGCTCGCGTCTCTCTCCGCCAGGCTAATTCTGCTCTCTATCTCAATGGGAAAAGAGTGAGAAAAAATGGAGAAGAGAGAGAGAGAAAAACTATATCGACCGTAATGACATCGGATTAGCGTCGCGTCCTAATCGGAGGGCCGTATTATTAGAGTATGTGTCAGGGCGGTGGGTCGAGGCCAATGAAATATTCCCATCGGCTGTCGCATTCTAAACTACCGTAACCCTGGCACGATCCACATCCACGCTCCATTCGTCTCGCGGAATTGTCGACCGGCACAGCATCGCTCGCATTCACAATTTGCATCTCCCTTCCCCTCTTCTCTCCCCCCCCCTCCCCTCTCCTCTCGATACCGTTTATAGCGTTGAAGGAGAAATCGAAACAAAATTCAAATGATGAGGATGAATTCAATCGGAGAGATACATCTTAGCCTTCTTCTTTTTTTAGGACGTTTCTACGGAAGGATGTTTGACTCTTAAAGTGCCTCTAATTGTAAGAAACGCGATGCCTCTTTTAATCGCAGACAATAGAAATCTGTATCTGCGGTGAATTAAACGGTGCACGCGAGCGTGCGGATAGCACTTGCGACTTGAGCCGGGCGATTGTCTTTACTGTCTTGCGATCAATGTTCTCGCGTAATGTATGGATGAAAAGAATAAAAAAAAAAAAAATAACGTACCTTTTGTCTGCCACGTGCCACGCGCTGGAGTGTTATTTTATTGCAGCACGCTCCAATATATATGTCCTATATATACGAACGACTTGTGGATGTGCCCATTCTATAAATATGTGTGAACGCGTTTGTATGAGAGTTCCGATTGTGCATAACAATCCACGTTTTCCCTCCTCTCCCCGGTGCGTTATCGTATACTGCCTATTCGATAGGCTCTCCGTATCTCTCGTCGATAAAGTTTACAATTGGATTACCTGATGCTTCTCTAAACGACTTCGGTGGTAAACAAGCCGCAGTAAACAACGAATTATCACCGTTTTGATCCAAAGATACACGTCAGTGTGAGAGCGGGGTGTTGCGCAAAATGCGCGTTTTCCCAAAAATGCTTCGGGCGAGGCAACGCATCTTTCGGATATCAATAGACCAGAGATCCCACGCGTCTCGCGTTAAGCTCTCGGCGTTCAACTTGGCACAATTTCAGCACAGTTGCACGCAATTTGCATCGCGTCGCGTTTTATTTTCGACGTCTCCAGCGCCGAAGCGCGACGTCGCTTTCGCATCCTTAAATGGCGATCGCTGAAACAGGAAGGAAAAAAAAAGGAATTACGGGTGGGATTATCCAAAATAGGACTTGACGAAAAATTCATCTTCTGAGAAAGGGAAATTAATTTCGTGTTATTTCGGATGGATAGAACTAACTTTATTTGGTGGAATTCCTTAGATAACATTGTGTTGTTCTGAAGCGCGCATTAACCGACGTTGGTTAAATAACAATTTTCTTGCTTTAAAAACGCTCGCTCCTGTCATTGACACTGTACATTTTTCAAGAAGAGACTGGAATCTCGAGGCGCGAAAAGATAAGAAAGTTAAATAACAAATGATATCTCCCTTAATCATAAAAATCAATTTATCAGGTATGCTCATTGACAGAGATGTATCTTTTGATTAACTATAAAAAGATTAGAAATATATCTCGCTATGATGAGATACATTGGCTATCGTTAAGAAGTAAAGGAAAATAAATAGCAGCCGTTTATAGTTTAATTACAAAAGTAAAATAAAATATATATATACGTATTTATGTTTACATACAAAAAAGTACGAGATGTTTTAGCTCTAACGACTGGAAGAAAGGATTGGCAAGCAGTTGTGCCGAATTTTTCAATTTACTTTCCAAGAAGAATTTTGCGGGTGGCGCCAATGCTTTGGCCTGCCTGGGTCGCACCCTTGTTGGAACCTGCTTGAAGACCGATCATCCCCTCACCAGCTCGCAATTGTTCCTCCGTAAAGTCGCGTTTGCATTCGTCTGCTGGCTTCGGTCCCAGGTAAGGTCCTTTCCATTCGGGATGCTTGTACGTCTAAATAAACGGAGATATCGATATTTTTAATCATCGACAATAATTTACAGTCAAATTTACGGTCGAAATTATTGTTAAATTTTTATAAAAATTAATGACGATTATAAGGATGAGAACTCGTACCGTCCGGCCGAGCGCGAACAGTGTCGTTATTACTTGGGCCATATCTTTCTTCTCCCACAAGTCCACGGTCTGGAAAACGTCGACGTCATCCACCCCGTAGTCCTTTAGCGCCTTTTGAAACCTGCAACGTGTTCAATGTAGTTACCGCATAATTTTATAATCGATACAAATGTCTCGCCAGTCGTTACTCACATATTGATGTTCTCCATCATCTTGAACTGTCCGCCACTATTGTTGATCTTTGGTACGGATCCAGGAGAAAGTTTGTTCATCAGATGGCACAGGACCTGACCATCCTTGAGCACATCGTCGAAAGCCTCACCGGGAGGAAACTTCTTGCCAAGAATCGATTCGATCCATTCCTGTGCCTCCTTCTCCTGCTCGGGGTTGCGTTTTGCCGCAATCTGTGCAAAATAATGCGCAAGTCTCAGAATTCTGGCGTGCTATTGTTTAGAAAGACTTAAAGGAATATTGAAATTCGCGTAGATCTCGAATCTTCTTCGACAGAATCCCGCGATACTTCAGGTACCCCAGAATAATTTCAAAGAATACACCTTTTTCGAAAAAAAAAAAAAAAATGCTTTCTTGTACATATATTTGATTATCTTTTTTCTGTTCAAAAATTAAGAAAGCGAACAACTCAGAAAAATAGATCACTGTATGATGCACGTGACGGAAACGGATTACACCACACGACTGAAATATATGTATGTATATATTATACCTTAGCGCGCACTTGACGTTCTAGAGCCATCCTTATGATATTTTTGAAAAGACTGAAGTGCCGCGGCTTCTGGACGTGGCTTTTTATACATTCCGGAGGAGTACGGAACCACCGTGGGCCAAGTCGGGGGAGAAATCTGTCCAACAACGTAAGAGGGTTGTATACGGGGTGTCCTGTGAGAAACCTTCCGGCGGAAAGAAATTTTTATCCAGCCAAAAGCGGAGTCGAAGATCCTTCGTTATTGTGTTCGTGTGGATTAAATGTATGTCTTCAAGACTTTCTCAATGTGCTATCTTCTTCGTTAGCTCGATAATAAACGAGATACCATTGGAGATACTTTTTTCCTATCCACATCGTCGACGCGACACCCCGTATAGGCGACGCAAGCGTGCGTGATTCCACACGTTTCGGTATTCTAATATTAGCGGCTTATTCAGTTAAACGAGAAATAGGTTTTCCGAAATCGCACAGACGCAGCTGCTGTGAAAATTGGACAGCTTCGTAATGATTATAACATCCGGCAAATAAGCCGAAACAAAATTCGCATGAATGTTTCACTGTTGGCTATCTTTTATTAAAACAATCCAATGTGATAGAGCAGGTCTCAGATGCGCCGATTGCGCGTCTCTAATGTCTATTTAAATGGCAACGGGAAGAGAATTATATTTTGATCTTTTCATTAAGTTTCACAATCAGTTGTCTGATAGAACAATTAACTGTTTAAGATTTCTTTTATTTCTTAATTTGATATAACATATATGACATTGCATATATCCTAATATTACAACTTGAATAAAAAAAAAAAAACCGATGGGAAACGAATGAATACGAGGAACAAATAAAAAGGAGGACAGATTTTTCATATTGTATCATATCATTGTAAACATGAATCTGAATCAGAATGATTTGAATGTATCCATATTGGGAGACAGAAATGTCAGAACAAGGATCGTCTGATTTGTTCGAATAAAACAGCGCGCGTTGTTCTCAACTCTGATTACATTGCATATTCCAGCACATGGCTCATCGGTACAGGGCGTAGGTAACGTGTCGAGGTCCTGACACAGAAGGAAAAAAAAATACGGTCGCCCTCGTGGAAAGTGGGACGTGCTACTTTTAAATAGTTCTCTGTCATATGGCTCGGGTTATTATTGCGCGATCCAGATTTCGTGGCAGATGCTCGCCTCTCGCGCGAACGCGAGATAGAGTTGGAGAAAATACGGAAAATTATGGACGTCTCGAGGACGAGGCTCTAAAAGTTCATCGCTAATATAGGCACATTAAGGATTAATACGCGCAAGAGAGAATAGCTTGAGCTAGAGAATTCAAAGAATATCAAAGTTCGTGTCCACAAGAACTTACGAAGCAACCGGCAAAAATTAAAATTGCTGTATACATAACATGAAAGTGATACGTTTTTTTTTTTATAAGTTACAGACTGTGCTGTAACTCCGGAACAGAAAGTAACGCATATACAATAGCTTCCAGTTACAGAACGACGGTAAGATTTTGCGTGGTTCCATTACGTTGCGTAATTTGGGCCTCGCGTGTCGATTCAAAGGGGATCATTTATTGGCCGGATGGTGGACCGATGAATCACGTTTAAATCAAAGGGGATCATTTATTGGCCGGATAGTGGACCGATGAATCACGTTTAAATTTAAATTTTCTGCGCGCTTCCACTATAGCTACAATATCGTCGGCTCCGTGTCGAAGGTGCGTGGGCGTTTTTTTCTGAGATCGCGCGATGATGAGGAGCTCCGTATTCACTATACGTTACCCTAAATACGACTACTTGCTTGTCCGATATTAATCGGAAGGTTTACATCGAACACAATACTGTGCTTATGACTAATATTTATAATTTTTTGATAAAAATCCTATATATTTTATAAATATGCTTTAAATTGAACTTTGAAAAGAAATGAAAGATCAAGAAAGCTTAACGAGATCATTGTCGATTTCATAACAATGACCTCTTCGTAAGTCTCTTTAATTTTCTCGTCGTTTGGAGTAAGTACGTTGAAGAGAACGCATCTTGAAAAACTTTTTTCCCGATGATGGAACCTCCACCTCCTGCTGCGCAAAGTAAAAAATAAAAAAAAAAGATCAATGAAATGCTTCTATAACTTGACTATCTTAGCTCGATATTCCGAGTAACGACAAATGAATGAGAGGATGAATGTATAAGATTATACATCAAAAAACTTGTTCATTCATATTTGTACTCTCACTTTCACTTATTTTAATAGTTTTTAACTCTCCCATGTGCAAAAAAAAAACCGTTATTATATGCTATTATCCTTGATTCAGGTTTTACTTTTAGCATTTCTTCTTTGATTTTTTTGTATTATATTTATATTTAATAGCGCATATATACCTCGTTCTGACTCTGCCTCTTCGTCGAAGATGCACGATTCATCGAGAGTACACGCGTTTGCGACAATGGTTTATCTTCTTCGCTATTGTTTAAACTCACGGTAGAAACCTAACAAAGCGAGAAAAAAAAAAAGAAATCAACATATTAATGAAATCTTCGTAAGCTTGAAAAGATTTTATATGTTGAATTTTTCTTGTTTGTTACCTTAACCCTCGTGCTTTCCCGTTTTATAACTTCTTTTTCCTTCTGAAGAGCTGTTGCCTTTATAACTTCTTTTTCCCTCTGAAGAGCTGTTGCCTTTAGTTGCTGTTGAAGCTCGATGTGGGCATATTCGCTGGTGGTCTTAGACCTTTCCAGAATCTTTTGCATTTCGTCGTTTTGATTTTGCGCGAGCTGCAAGTCTTTCTGCACGTTCGAAAGCTTACTTTCGAGATTCTTGGAATAATCCATTTCGTTAGTCAATTTTTTCTCTAATCTGTTTACGTCATTAACGAAACTTGACTCCCTTCGCTTTATTGCGTTTAACGTCGTCTCTAAATTATGAATCTAGAAAATATAATATTCTTGTACTAGTAAAGATTAATATTATATTTGTCAAAATTAACGAACCACTTGTACACATAACTTACCATTTCCGTTTTTGTACGTAATTCTTTCTCCTGCATATCTTGCTTCTCCGTTAATATTTCGCATTTAGTACGCGTCTCGTTGTATCTCGCTATTATCATATCGATTTGATTTCTGTCATAAGAAAAACAAATTACTTAAATCATAATAAGTCTATAACGATAAGGCATAATCTGAAAGATATTTTTATTTTCGAAATATTCAACAAATCATATTAATTTAGTTGGATACTCACTTGTACGTAGGGATTTCATTTTGAAGTTTTGAGTTAAGTGCATCCTTTTGTGCTATCAAATTCCTAATATTGACCTTGTCTTGTTCTAACATGTTCAGTTGTGATTGTAAATTTTCTAATTTTGATTCCAGTCGCCGTTGTTCCTGAAGCAAACACATTAGAATTAGAACCGTATGGATTAAGAAAAATAAAAAAAAAACGAAAGAAAAAGAGATATTTTAGAATGTCTCTTTAAAATACTTCAATAAGTAATTTCTTTTCTTCGGCATGCGCGCTTGCTAATTCATTTTTCTGCAAATGGAATTCGCGCTCGGCGTTTTCCGCTTGTTTTTGCATTTTGTTTTGCTCCGTCAGCGCTTCTTGCAGTCTAAAAAAAAAAGTTATTCAGTTAATGCTATCATACAATTTATTGCGTTTGGAGCGATGACTTACTTCTCTTCTTGAAGTAGCAATTTGTTTTCTAGTTGTCCGACCGATTTCGCGATGTCGCATTTCTCTTTCTCGACCGTCTGAAATCGCGACTGTAAATTTTCGTATTCCAATAGCAACTGCTGCTGTTCCTAAATTAGAAAACCAGTCAAAATAAATCGTGGCAACAAATTATGGGATCTCTTTGAAAAATGCCTGAGTCAAACAGACTTTGACGAGCGTCAGCTTTTCCGCAGCATGTGCGTTCGCCAATTCATTTCTCTGCAACTGCAGCTCGTATTCCGAGTTTTCCAACTGTTTCCGCAATTTATTCTGCTCCTCCATCGCCTCTTGTAATCTAATTCGAGAAAAATAATTTTGATAAAATCGTCATCTATTCAGATCTGATGAGCTCGGAATAATCAAAATTACCTTTCCTCTTGAAGTAGCGATTTATTTTTCAATTGTGTGACAGAACTCTCCAGATCTATAATTACAGAATTAAAATTATTGTAACAACATTAACAAATCTAGAATTAAGATTCAAACATTTTCGATATATGTAAGAGCGTGCCTTTCGATTTCGTATCGTTCAGCTGCAATTTCTGAATAGCTTCTTGTTGTTTCAGGATTATGTTCTCGTATATGGTGGACAAACTAGCGCGGTGCTGTTGAAAGTTGGCGAGGCTCTCTCTGATGTAATTCAAATATTCCGTGACATTCTCGATGTACACCCAAGTGGCGTTCAGCCTGTTGTTGCCAAAAAAAGAAAGTCGCCGAATATATAAGAGAGATTCGTCGCGATAAAAAAAGGAAGAAGAAAGAAGCCATACTTTGTCTGAATTTCCTCCTTGTTGCGTGCGTCCATCTCCAAGGAGGCAGACAAGGAGGCCTGCGCTTCCTGGCTCTCCTTCAATTTCCGCTTCAGACTTTGAATCACGCGTTCCGCATCGTTCTGGACTTGTTGTTTGCCTGCATCTTGCGTGCTCGAACCTTTGGCTGTCTGCTATACTCTCGCAAAGCGTTCAAGTTTACTTTCCTTGCTTAGGGCAACTTCGATCAAACTTGAATTGTAACTTAAGCGGCGATTAATTCAATCGGAAGAAAATTCAAAACAGAATTTCGAGCTACAGAATTTATTATCTCTTCAAGAAAAATTTAATTTTTCTTTCCGTGTTGAACAAAAAAATTAAGATTTCTATTCATGTTTACGACAAATGTACTGCGAATGTCATTCAATATTATTAATCGCCAATTAACTTAATCGGAGTTTGATAGAAATTTTCATTAGAATTAAATTGGACTGGGCAAAAAAATTAAACTGTTTGCAACAATTTTTATACCTCTTCCGTGGGCTGTAATGGAACCTCGTTCCCCGTTTGATTCATCCATTGTTCGATCATCGTATCGATGAACCTGCTGCTGTTTTGCGTGCGAGCTTTCTCTGCAAGTTTTCGCGTGATGATTACGGCACATGAAAATTAGTTGAAAGAGAAAGACAAAAAACTTTTTTTACCTTCTTGCATATTTTTCTTTTGATATTTATTATTAGTGATTATTATACAAGCTCGACCGTCGAGTTCTATTGCGTCTCGCTGAATAAGGCGGTGGCGATTTTCAATTGTTTATCACTCGCTGCGGCTAAATAGCAATTTAATGTGATTGGTTGTATTTAAAGGTAAGAGCCAGTTACATTCGATTGCTGCTTTGCCACACAGTGAGCAATTATATGTACATACCACTGTGAACAATTGAAAATCGCCTCGCCTCGCTTTATTTAGCGAGAGGCGAGATATCTTTTCGCTGATAATTTTAATTCCTCCTTTTCACGATAATTTTAATTCTTTGTTTTTCAACGATACATGATTGCTGTAATTACAGCTGTTTTGCTAAAAATTCCGGTTAAATATCCGGTTTCTAGGATACAATAATACCGCACAAAACAGACGTGCGATGCAAATTGTAAATTATTCTTAGAAAATTCAAAATTAAAACAGCGTGATTAGTGACATCTCGCGTGCCGCGCGTAGGCATACTGCAGCGTTCTCTGTCGGTCTACCGGTGGAAGCGTTTCGCGTCCAGCGACTCCGCGGATCGGACGGATCGGTGTCCAACAATCTTTTAGGTTATATTTATCTGTGTGAGATAGAATGCGTTAAAACAACACTTCGAGGCGAATATTTCCAACGAAAACGAAAACGCTCGCGCCATTCCTAGTGCTGTCTTAAAAATGCAAAAAGAAAAATAACGAGTTTTAACGAGAATGAAGACAGCGATACAATTTTCGTAGAAATTTAGTGTTTTCGTGATGCTACATTTTGGGAAATTCTGAGAATCTCACGCTTCCTTTTGGTATTGCTACTGCACAACAAAGTCTGCTAGCAGCCCAAAGCGAAATTTATTGTAAAGGAGGATTAACCATGTCGGGACTATTCGAGCAGATTAAGCTGCTCTACGATCAGGCGCTGTACTGCAACGTGATCTCCCTGACGAACCTGGTGCTCTCTCTCAGCGAGCACAATGCCGACCTGCTGCCTGGCTACAGCAAGTTTCACGTGTACGTTTATTACGCGGACGCTCACTTTCATCTGGGCAAGTATCGCAGGGCGGAGACTCTCTACAAGAAGGCTCTGCAGTTTCGCAAGTGTCTGCTGAAGTCGAAAGGCACGGGGAAACCCTTGTTGGACGGACAGAAGGATCTGCCGTCGGATGTCAACATCAAGTATCAGATCCACTTGTGCCTAGTGAAGTCCAAGAATCTGCAAGAAGCTTTGCAAGTGCTGCAGAGCATCCCCGGCAAGCAGCGCACCGCCAAGGTAAACATGGCGCTGGCCAAGATGTTCCACGAGCAGGGAATGGAGCGGTCCGCCATCACCACGTACAAGGAGGTGTTGAAAGAATGCCCGCTGGCCTTGGAAGCAGCCGAGGGCCTTCTCTCCTTGGGGGTGAAGGGTGTGGAAGTCAACTCCCTGATCGTCGGCTCCATCTCTAACTCGATGAATTTGGAGTGGCTCAACACGTGGATCAAGGCTCACGCTCACATTCATAATAGGGAGTACACTCACGCTGTGACCACTCTGAGGTCGTTAGACAATGTTGTTTTGCTCAGGGATAATTTCAATCTGTTGACTATCATGGGCGAGTGTTACTACTATGCCGGCGATGACAAGAATGCCCTGCTATGCCTAAGGCGAGCTCGCGTTATCGAACCGGATATAACAAAAGGGTAAGTTTATCATTTAGAGATTTGTCAGGGTATACATCTCACACGCAGGAGTACATATCGTTCGTTACTTCTCTGCAGGGTGGACATGTATGCCGCAGTTCTATACAAGATGCATCACATCAAAGAATTGGAACGTCTGATACCGGCGATAACCGCTAACAACGAATGTACCGGCGAAATTTACGTGGCCATGGCGTATTCCCTGTTTGCCGCTAGAAAATTCAGCAGGGCAAACACGCTCACTGCTCAGGCATTGAATCTGAATCCCAATGACATAGAGGCCACCATATTACGGGGCAATCTCCTTATCGAGCAAAAGAAGTATCAGGACGCGTTGTTCTTTTTTAGACACGCCGTGCAATTGAAACCGTATAGATACGAGCCGCATAAAGGGTTAGTGGATTGTCTTGTCGGGATGCACAGATTGCGAGAGGCTCTGAATATCGCCAGTAGCTCTTGCAAACAACTTGGACATACAACAAGAGTTCTAACAGTGAGTTAAAAAGTTGAAAAGAAAAAGTATTTGATGTAAATATGATGAACATATAACGATGCATTTTTACGTTTGCAGTTATACGCATCCGTCTTGATGAAAGATCCCGTGTCAGTAAGCAAGGCAAAGAACCTTCTTGAAAAAGCGTTGTCTCAAGATGAGGTCTATCTAACCGCAGTGTATCTACTCGCGGAAATATACGAACAGGAAATGAATTTAGAAGCGGCCATTGAACTACTCGAGAGGCAGGTGGAGATTCACTCTACCTGCAAGCTCCATCAGACGTTGGGAGACTTATGGGCAAGAGTGCACAACGAGGAGAAGGCTCTAGATCATTATGCCATAGCCTTGAAGTACATATTCTGTTTTTATAATTGTTAATTTACATTATAAATCTAGATAAAAATCTAACCTTACCTATATTTTTAATTTTCAGCTTAGATCCAAACAACAGGAGGGCTATAGAGGGAATGCACAGATTAGACAATTCTTCTAGTAAATTAGATTCCGCTTATTATATGACCGTTGGTGAGGAACAGGCCGATACGACCTACGATGTCGGTGACGGTCTACCGGATACAGATAACGATGAGGCACCCGAGGAGAGCGAGACTGAAGCCATTTGGTCGGATATGGACTTGGAAGCCAATAGCCAGTAATTCTGGCCATAGAAACGAATAGACCGTGGAGATTGCTCGAAGTTTTGACTTCTAAACTAAGTCCATTGCAGCCGACTTCTTGAAAAAGAATCTTGGGAGGAATAATTCGTACGAATGAAATGAGACTGAGATTGTTCGTGATTAATATTATTTGTGAGTAATACATCGTAGTAGAATTTAATTTTTTTTATAATAAATTCAGTGATTGTACCGTCATGGAGCTCTGTTGCCTACTTTAAAAAATATAAAGCAAATGTTAAATTTTTATTAATTTCTATTACGAAAATATTTTTATAAAATGGAGAACTCTAATATCAGGAGGATTTAAGGCAAAACAACATGTGTATCTGTCGTGTATTGTATGGAATATACGGCGGACTTACAACTTAAATTTAGAAAAACGAAGCGCAAACTATTCGATAATAAAATATATATAAATCGTAGGAAGGCGTAATAATCCCTAAATCGATGTAAAATAATATCACATCATTTGCAGAATAGGAAAGCTTATCACTGGCTCGCGATTTGCCCAACATGCCTTTCCGTATCTTTTACACCTGATATGTCGGTATTGTCAAGGATCCAAGCATAAAGCCTCAATTATCGGAAATATACTCGTGTCTATGTAACAATACTACATTCGTCAACAATATCCGTATATATATATGTATATATATACATAAAATTATTATTAGATAAAGAGTGCCATTTAAAATTAAATATATATATATATATATATAATATTGTGATATATATATATATATATATATACATTTGACAATACACATATTATCGTAACAATATTTTTAGCGACAAAGAAAACGTCGCATGACATATAAAAGAATTGATAACAATTATTCACAAGATTTCTCTCACGATTCTGATAAATATATCGTGAGAAAGGTATCAATATTCGATGCAACAATTAAACTTCATATGTGCAATGTAACAATTGAAATCTATACGATTTCCTATACCCGATGGCTGTTTGCGAAATTGCTTATCGTGGTTTTCTTATATAACTACGCATCTACATGAATGTAGAATTTATCGGTCAAAGCCAAGAAATACCCTCGGGATTAATTTACGCGTGTGACATATCTGTAAAATATTTTCTCGTACAACTTTACATTCCAAATAGAAGATACCGATTAATTTAATTGATAAAATCAATCTCGCGCGAATTTATCGTTCAGTCGATTAATTAAACATTCGTTTTATATTATTACTTCTTCAGAATTTTCTTCATTTGTTTCGTTTGATGCTGCATACTGTATTGAGCGTTCTCAGCCTTCGTAATCAGGGAGTCCAGCTTATTCAAGTGGGATCCCATTTTCTGGTTGAGATCGATCTTCTTCGGCTGAATGCCGCTGTTCGTGGGCTGGTTCGCGGTATTCGTGACGGTCTCATCCGACGTCTCCACCGTCATCACCTCGTCGACCATAGATTCCGACTTCTCCTGAATTTCCTGCTTTTCCGCGTCAGGATTCGGCTCCTCGGGCTTGTGGCGCGGCGTTCCGCCGCGAGAGTGTACCTTCCCTTTGAGCAACGTTCCCAGACTGCCGCAAACTGTCTGCGGAATTTCTTTACTTCATACAGAAGTCCTTCTCCTTTCTCTCTCTTTATCTCTCGCGATGAAAAATGAAGAAAACGCGCAATATCAATTTAAAAATATTGTAATGCGATTTATCTGTAATTTGTCAGCGTGGAGTTTACGAATCTCATGACGAATAATTCATTTAGTCGCGGGGCCGCGGTAGAGAAGGAGGTGCAGGAGGAAAGCGTTATCAATTTGCGAGCGGGTAAGGACATAAAGTGGTCCGTCGTATCGGTCGTAAAAATTCCGCGCTATCGTTATGACAAAATAATAATTAATTCGAGCAACATGCGAAATGAGCGCGCGCGGGCCCGCACGGCAATTAATTATCCCAAGTCACCTTGAATCTGTTGAGCTTCTTCTGCGTGGTGCTCAGAATGCTGTTCAGCTCGTCCAGGCCGCCGCCGATGCGTCCGGCCGCCTCGTCCACGTAATCCAAGTCCTAGAGATAAGAGCATCGTCGTCGTGAGGTAAATCGTATCGCGGACACGCGTGGACGGTGGTCGGCGCTAATGAACCCCGCGATCAGCTCCGCGACGTCAGCGATTTATTCCCGACGGTCTTACTCGCCGCACGTGGACGCGCAATCCGATTCTGCTGCGTAACGTCTATCGCGAACGCGATATCGCCGTAGGTGCGTTAGCCGTTCATAAACATGTGAAAAAGAGACGCGGATGAATGAAGAGAAAAAGAGAAGAAAAATTATCGTTAAGGCCGGAGGTACAAAACTGCCAAGTACTCCTCGCTCTTGATGTTTTACAGCGAAAAAAAGAAATTTATAATTCTCGTGATCGATGAAACGCGTATAATCGGGTAGAGCTTGTTCGCCAACGGGCGTGTCCAATTAAATAAAATTCAGATTCACTATTTTTGGCATATTTCCAACAGACCACCCTGCCTGACTCCAAATTCTTAGCGCGGGCGAGGCGCAACACGATTATTACCTGTAATGCCCCATCGTCGTCGTCGTCGTCGTCGCAACGACGAGTCTCGCTCTGCGCCGCTTGCGACTGCCTCCACTCCTCCTCGGTGGGCCTCGGCAACCCCAGCAATTCTGCCCTCTCGCAGGCGTGCTGATAGTCCTCGGACATCACGCTAGGTCCCAGCTATATGCTATACGACGAAGGACCGCTATACCCGGAAAACGTCGGGCGTCGCGACGAGCGATCGTTCGCGAGTACTCCCGGACGCGAAATTCCGTGGAAAGCGTTGCGCCCTTGGCGCAAGGAATGCATCACTCAAAGAATCCATATTGGCGCGGAAACTGCGCAAGCTCGACCAAAGGCGGGCAGAATTACGGATGATGTGCTTCGCGAAGCGAAGTCGCGGCACCCTCCTCGGAAACGGTTGCGGACTTCGATCGGGGCTAATCCCGATCAAATATTAATTTTCAGGAGGCTGGGCTGCAATAAGAGAGATCGATTCGGTCTCGAAAACTGGAACGTTAAATAAAGGAAATTAGATTACATGAAACTCGATAAAAGAGCGCTTCCAATAAAACCTAAATTTTTATCAAGAGCTTTTTATTACGAGAGCTTGTAATGATATAAGTGGCATCGGATCGGAAGTTTTAGTGGTAGGTATAACTGTGTATGGAAAAGCGATCGATTACTCGTAGGAGAAAAGAATAAAATGAGGCATTAGATCGCGAGATAAGTACGCTATACGAGTGGAAGTCGAGTTCCCAGGACGGGCTCCATATCGTCATGTTCATAATTAATTTCAATCTCGCCGCGTGCACCTGGACCACACAGCGCCGCACAAGCCGTCCTCACCCACGTGCACGTCATAAAGACATACACGCGCACCTTATATAAGCTACGCGACAGCTTGATCGGTTTGCATTGTTGTCGGAGCAAAGTCTGCGTCGTCTCGCGAGTGAGTTATGCCACCGGCAATGTCATCGGGGATCGCGATACGGGAGATTGGGTTCATTTTGATCCTACTCGTGTCATTCGCGCAGGTGAGACGGGAGTGTTCCGATCTTGTTGCAAAAGAAAATTGGGAAATTGAAAGGAGAAAAAGAGAAAGAGAGAGAGAAGTGAAGAAGGAAAATAGCCGAATTTTAATATCTTCTGAATTTATTACTTTTTAATTTATTTCGGTACGCTTTAAAATTGAAATTTATTTAAACGTAAATTTAAAATTTTAAATAACTTTTGTAATAAAATATATATTGATAATATATATATATTTTTAATATTTATATAATTTATATTAAAATATATATCGTATATAATTTTAGTATTTCCATAAATTAAAAAATCGTTATTTTTTTTGTTTGATTGCAAACGAGTAACTGGGAAATATTGACATATCGCACTCTCTCAAACGTCATTGCGTTCTTAATATTTAAAGTAGATTTATCTTTAGTATTACGAACATTTATGGCTCGTAGTAAAATTGTATACGTTACCCGATGAGAGAGATCGTATTCACTTATTTCTTGAAAGATTTAGTGGGTTATCGTTTATTAAATTAGAGATGCCAACTGCCAGCAATAATTAATCGACTCCGATGTGAATAACAGTATTACATCCCAATATCGCCGGTGTAATCGAACAATAACAATGAGAATGATGTCCGATAAGGATCGTTAAATTTTTTGCGACCCTTGCAATAACAAAGCGAAGAAAATAAAAGAAATAAGAAATTGCACAGGTGAACATGAAATTTAAATAATTAACTGATAACGTTACCAGTCGATCTCATGCACCGATGGCGATTTAGTTTTCGATCGAAACGAACGCTCACCGTGTTATCAATTTGGATTTTGAGCAGATTTTCAATCTTGTCAAATTTTCTTTCGCAAATTGAGTACTTCTCTGTCGCGATGACGTTCATAATTATAACAATAAGGCAAAGTAAAATTATTTGTTGCAGATTAATTGTTGAATTTTGATGTACCTATTTACAAAAAATATATATGTTAAAGTGAGAAGTTGATCTCTGTCAGCTGTTCCAGGACAGTTGTTTCATTTCCTAATTTCTCTAGGCGGTCGACTATGAACTCCACAGACACGACACGATATCAGCGAACTGGAACGGCAACGTAATTTTGACGAGCCGCGATTATCTCGAGCAACTGAATTTTGTGACGCGGAAAGCGAGTTACACATTACAAGAAGCCACGGAGCACTTGCTGCATTTCGGTGCACTCCTGCGAGCTCGAATTCTCGACACCTTCGGCAGCCTCCTGTACGACTATTACGACGACTTCAATATAGCGGAAGTGGAGGCATTGCGCAAGGTGTATCGGAAGATCCTCGAGCGACAGTACGACGTGTTCGACCTAGTCCCCGGTATCCTGAGGAAACCGGATACGAGACCGTCGAGGATATGCGCCGAGATCTACGATCGTGTCACGGAATCCTGTCTGAGGAGTAGCGCGAGCGTGTGCCGCAGAATCAGGAAGCATCACGATCTCCCGCATCTCGACGATCGCCACACGCCCGCGTTAAATGCCACATACCGCATGTATCGCCTGTCCAAGGTATCGAAGCAGTACCCCAGAGGATTCTCACTGGCGACGTTATTGAGGCTCCTGCAGCGGCAAGTGCTGACAATCACGCCCAATCTGCTTTCCGGACTTTTCTACAACGTGAGATACGATAGCTACGACGACGACGTTCGTCTCGCCGAGAGGGAACTCATACGACACTTTCGCGAAATCTCGATGACCAACGAAATCTCGGTGCTTTCGACAGAGGAGCTGAGGAATTTCCACACTATGAATTCCTTTCTTAAGTACTACGTCAGCACGTATGCCGAGAAATTTGCAGACGATGATCTGAAGAAGTACGCGCTTCTGATTGCGAGGAGTATCACCGACGACGTCGGCATAATCGATGAGAATATTTATTTGCTCGGCAACGTCTACGAGAACGGGATGATTCACGTCAAATATCTCTTCGATCTCGTGCTGCCGGATGATGTACTCGAAAAAGACGTCGTCGAGGCTAAGAAGTACCTAGTGACGAAATTAAATAAATTTAAGGTGGTGGAAAAATATCTCAGAGTGCAGAGGTATCAGCAGGTCACTCCCGCTCAGCTGACGATGGAGATCACCAGACAGCTGATAGACATCGACTTCGCCAAGAGCATCGCGACGTCTCTGCGGATGCACGCGAGCTTCTGGCGCAGGAGCCGCATGATCGAGAGCCTCGAGGAGCTGCTGGAACTGTTCGACACCTACGAAAATCTGCGACAAGTGCCGCGCTATCGGCACATGATGCAGAAGATCGACAAAATCAAGGAGAATTTACGAGATATGAAGAACGTCCGCATTGAGATTCTCTGCAACGCTCCGCGAGCTTGCTTGCGAATGGGTTTGCAATTGGTTTTATATTGTAAACTCATAAGTTCCTCAATCAAGGACTCCATCAAAGACTTCCTTCATATGAGCGACGTGTGCGTGAATCTCGTATATATGATAGAGGAATCACAGAACTCCATGAAGATTCCGTTCAGTGTATCGAAAAATGTCAGTACGCTATTTCAGACTACGGGCATGGTCGAAGTTACGCCTACGCACAGTACAATCGAATTCGGCAATCACAGCCTGAGTGAATCCGAAGAGACTGCAGAGTCTGAAGTATCGAACGAAACTAAAGAAGTTACAACGAGGACATCCTCGGAAGAAAATTCGGAATTTACGAGCACGATGGCAATGACTACGCCGAGGACTACGATCGAGCACATGACGACAACTCGTCAAGAAGAGTCGACAACTGCGGCCACGATGAGTATCACAGCAGCTGAGACAACGACACCATCGTCCACAACAATTACGACGTTACCCACAACGACTACGACGTTGCCTACTACAGAATTTTCTGCGACTACGTTGCCTGCGACAACTACAACATTATTTACGACTACAACAACGTTGTCAACTACAACTACATCGCCTGCGACGACCACTACAATTTTACCCACAACTACCACTGCATCACCCACAACGACCACTACAATTTTACCCACAACTACCACTGCATCACCCACAACGACCACTACAATTTTACCCACAACTACCACTGCATCACCCACAACGACCACCACAACATTGCCTACAACCACCAGTACAATGTTGCCTACAACATCTACCACAACGTCGTCTCCGGCTACTACGACATCGCTCGTGTTGACGGCGGAGCAGCCGACCGTCGTCGTGAAAATAGAACGTACGAAAGTGAGAAAAGTTCACGTACCGTACTCCAAAGACGAAGTTACAAAGCCCTCCACAGTATCTATTACAACACCTGCCGCGAGATCCTGTGAGTCCATTGAATGCATTAGTAAGCATAGTTCGGAGGGAACTGGCGAAAGTGGTGAAACGACGACTCTCCTCTCGACAACGCCGATTTCCAGTCTCGAAACTGCTCGAGCAACGTCTTCTAAGCCAACGATCCATCAAAACTTTGTCAGCGAGTCTACGGCTTCTTCGACGACGGAGATGAGCGAAGCGCCGGTTACGAAAGGTAAAATAGCATTATACATTTACATAGCTTTTTTTATGATATGGAATAAATGTTGATCATATACTCATTAACTTTGAAGAAAATTATGATATTTCTGAAGTTGATCTAATAATAGCCGAAAAAAATACTCATCATTATTATAAACATTTATTCATTTTAAATATATTGCAAATAAAGACTTTGACGCGATCCTAAACACGCGTAGTTTGTATATAAACAAATTTCCAAGATTAACATTGTGAAACGCAACACACAGGCGATAAGGAGGACTGCATAAAATCCTGCTTAAAAGACTGCAAAGAAGGCGTCAAGAACGAGAGCGTCGAAGGGGAAGGAGGATCGGAAAGGTCCTGCGAGATAAGCTGCGACTCCGTGACGGAAGATTGCAACGGGGCGGACAGTAAGCCCCCCAGTAAGGATTCTTCGGAGGTGAGCTCTTCGGAATGCGGAACGGACGTCGACAGGAGTTGCGAATGCGCTACCAAGGAAGAGAGGAACGACGAGTGCGTGACGCTGTGCCCTTCGGCCGCTGCGGAAAGTTCGTCATGCGGGAGTGACTGCGCGACGTCGACGGAGGTGTCGACGATGCCGACGATCGGCATCACGTTCGAACGCAACCGAACACGCATCATGTGCGAGATCCGCGATCCCCATCATCACCGTCAGTTGAAACGATTGGCGAAGATGCGGGCGATCAGCACTGCCGCTGCCACCGTCGTGACGTCGCGTCATCAAGGCCGTATTATGAGTAAAAAGATGTACAATCTAGACACTAAAATGCCTTATTTCAAGAGCAGGACGCGATACTCGCGCAAGAGACCATCTCTCGACGGCAGGTTGAGCGGGACGAATAAAAGTCAGAGACAACGGGAGCAGATCAAGTCGAGGAAACAGTTGGCGAGAAAACTCAGCGGAAAAATGAGCCGAAAGACAGCGGTGCATCGTACGAGAGGAAGCACATCGTTTCAAATCAAGAGGATATCCGAGAAGGGCGCCAAATCGATTAGCGCGTAAAGTCTAAGACCGGAAAATCGGAGTCTATCGATTTAAAATTACGTCGTTTTAGCGGCCGATAATGTCATTATAGCTGTTATTACGTTATTACGGCCATCATTTCGTTGTGCTGCGTTTAACGTATTTTCCGTCCACTTAATCGGGTCAGAGGCGAAAAATATCGTGGAACGTAACGGGAGAAAGCTAATTATATCGGAGACAAGAGCGTTTATCGAATTCGGCTAAACGATTACTCGGTCCGGAGGTTTTAATAGCCGTCTATATTTAATCGGTGGACCGTCGCGCGAGACTCGTATATGTTATAAATTATTTCTTCGATGCTTTCTGAAAGGCCGCCGTTGACGTCGCAGCATTGATCAATTAAAGTCACGTTAATGAGGTCTTTTATCAACGTTTCGTTCGACGAATTTATATCTCAGGCGGCCGAGATATTTTTCGAACATTTCAAATTGTTAGAGATTTTTTTTTCAATAAATTTTGTAAAATCTTAATAATTGATAAAACTATAGAGAGATAAAGCGTATATATTATTGAAAACAATCGTATTTTGATATTGTATCGTGCTAATTTTCTTCAGTCTATTTATATATAAGTCTGTTCACTAGATTAAGGACAATTGATAAACAAAAATTTATGAGAATCAAAAATAGAAATTATGGGGAATTCGATTCCCCATAATGGGTACAGATAGATACATTCTTTTATTTGCGCACTTGGAGGCTCTTGTTGTTGCCCGATAAAGAAGGCTCACCTTCCCTTTTTAGCCGAGCCAAGCGCTCGAACAAACACTCGTCGTACATTCTCGTTTCATGCCCAGCAAGTAGCGACGAGGCTGTGAGTTAAACGCCATAAACGGATAAGCGGAGCAAACGATAGAACACAATGAGAAGTAAATTTGACATGGCCAGTACCCGGCGCGTAATCTGTCTTATTAAACGGTCCTGCTCGCACGGTGAGCGATTACATTTGAATTTACTTTACGCCCGAAATAAGCGCCGTGTCGCGCTATCGAGCCAATTAATTCTCCATCCCCAGGATACCTTTATGACCACGGCGAATCCGCTTCATTTCGCCGATAGTTATTCCGCCACCACCGCGAGAGAGTGACCTTTTTCTTTCTTTTTTTCCTCCGATGGCGAGATTGAAAAAAAATTCGTGTGCTCTCTTCTAACGCGATTTCGCAGGTGTACTGCATGCGATTATCCGCGATGGAGCTTCGGACGCTTTTATCCGCGCGTCGGTGAGGCAAACTCGCGAATCGTTTCCACAGCAAACGCAAATATATACATATGAACGTATTTCGCCTACGCGGCTCTCGGCCGCGTTCGCGTATTCCAAGGCGCTATTAATCGTCGATATTAATCGAATGTCATTCACGCTCGTAAATCTCGTCGAAAAGCGGGCACGATTTTCATGAGGAGAAAGATGCGTGTGATGGGATAATTATACCGCCGATATATCATTTCCCTATAAATCTAGACAAATAAATCCTAGTCCGCGGAGATGAGTTTGCGCGAGAGCTCTCGCGCCAAGTTATTTTAAAGAAGCCACTCCTTGTCGAAAATCAGATGTTCCCTGCCAGAAGAAATCAGGCTGCGTTCTTAAAATATTTTAGCGCTACTACTTTTCTACGGTCTTCAAGGTGATCGTCGGTCTTTCTCGCCACCCCTCTCGTCGTCAACCTTGCGGTATCGCGAGTATCGATCCGCGATTACGCTCGAAATTCTGAGAACCTCGGAAAACGCGGCACGTGTACGCAAAGGAGTCTGGAAGAATTGCCGGCAATAATCGGTAGACACGTGCCAGATCTGATACTCGATGAAATAACGTACGCTCTGTAGATAGAGCGTGACTGTCCGACACCCCGTGGAGTGTGTTTACAAAAAGCGCGAGCGCACATGTAAACACGCTCGAGTTATGCCGTTGTTTGCGAGCTAAATAGAAATCGAACCGAATGAAAATCGTAGGAGTGTGAAAAAGAGGATTTTCTCGTATCGTCGAGTACGATGTTTTCTCTCTTTCCTTTTTTTTTCCAATCCATTAGTAAGCACATCGCGAGTTTGCTCGGCAAACGGATCGCACGCCGCGTTTCACGTTCATCGACGCAGGTTTTTTTGCCGAGGTGAATTTTTTCTCGTTATTTACGGCGACGTTTCGCCGCACGTCGCTGACATTTGCGGTCGCGGGCCGCACGTGGTCAGAAGTGTGACTTTAACCAGTTTAAGCCGGCCGATTCCTAAAACGTACGGAAATCCCGTCCCGCATTTAGCGGAGCGCGCGGGTGTACGCGCGCGAGCGGCCTCCTTTTTTTTTATGAATTTGTGTGGCTCTCACGTGCTCGTCTACAAACCGCCTTTCGCAAGATTACCTATATATGCACGCGCGCGACACGCGTGTTTGCAGCGCTCGTTAAACCGCCGCGGCTGACACGTCGGCCGTCTATACGGCCGGCTCATGTGACCGGCAATTTGTATCGACGTACAAATTTGCGATTTGCACAGGCGGCCGCGGGATACGTCATCGCGAGATTCCAAAAAGGTAAACGGATGCGACACTGTCGCGCACGCGAGGAGGAGAAGCGTATCGCGATCACGCGCGCCGTTATCACGCGGGAGGATCCTCCGTGTGCGTTACGTATGCGCGCGTGTGTGAGAGAATAACGATTGTAGAACTTTAATTCGAGTATACGTACGTCCTTCGTTAACGAAGCACCTAGGTGTCGAGACGGCTACCATAGACGGGCGTCCTTTTCACCTCGCGAGCTCGACGCTCCGTCGCGATTAGTTTTTTGTCAAAGGGCAGAAGCCTGCCGTCGTCGCGTCGTCATCGTTAAGGACGACGGGAGAAGCGGGGGCGGAGGAAAGAGTCCAGAGCGCGCGTTGGAGGTTTCCACTGATGCCGTTGCTAGGTTGCGGTTAGGCATCCCATATACGGGCGAGACAGAGAGAGAGAGAGAGAAAAGGAGCGACAGGCAAAACGAGAAACTCCGAGACAAAGAAGGAAAGGAAGATGGGGAAAGAGCGTGAGAGGGAGCGAGAGGACCCCGCGCCGCGCGCGTTTCGGCCAGTCTCGGCGGCCGGTCGCGCGGCGATCGGGCGTGCTCGCGTCCGCCGTGGCGGCGGCGATTCGGTTCGGCTCGCGGTACGGCGCGACGCGGCGGCTCGCCTCGGAGTATAGTCGGAGTATTACGCGCTCACTTCAGTCCGTTACGGTGCGTCGCGCGGCGTGTTACGGTGGGCAGAGGGGCGCGCGTTTTCTACGTTAAAGGGCAGCGCGTACACACGCGGGGGGACGCGTCTCGTCTGTTGTGGCGTCGCTGCGGAAGTGCGGAGGGCGCATACGGGCGTAGAAACGTAAAAGACTCCCCTTTGTCAAACGCGCTTTCTCTCTCTCTCTCTCTCTCTCTCCCTCTCCCTTTCTTTCTCTGCCGGGTCCCTCTGAGCGGGTCGAAGCACGCGTCCCTGACATGCGGCCGGCGAGCGTCAGGACGAGCCATTGTCCGTGCCGTTTGACACTCGGGGCAACGGCCAGCAGCAGCCGCGCAGACGACTCTCCCCGCGGTCACGCCGAGCGAGCGAGCGAGCTGAACTCATCGGCCTGAACTTACCTGCAGCGGATCGCGACGCAGGAGGAGGAGGCTGCCGAATCGGGGATATTCTTACGGTGAGTAACCTATCTTTTTTGTCGCGTCAGTCTCTTAACCCTTTACGCTCGACGGAATGGAGCTGGCTCAGCTGGCTGACTGTTCTTCTAAGAAGGAGTCCTCTCGCGCGAATTGTCATTATGCATGCGCGATTCCAGTTAAATTCTAGCGTTTAAATTTGCCGTACCAACGTTTCTCTTAATTTGCACAACGATACTTTTATTTAATTTTGTTGCAGTAATGTATGTTTCCTTGTCGCGCGCGGAAACAGAAATTATTTTTCTCAGAATCCGTAGACGCACGTTAAATCCAACAGCGAATTTTGGAGCACGTACGTTTCGCGTTGCGATATTGCTTTCGAAACGCGGTTACGGAGGCGCGAATTTCCTCGTCCACGCCTAAGCTATGCAAATGGGAATCGCGATGTCATTAGGCGTTACAGCTCATTGGCGCGGTTTCCCCCGGCGAGTAATACTGCCGCATATCCCATAAAGGCCACCGATAGAGGCACGTCTCGCTGCAACACCGCGAGCTTTCTGTTTAGGAAATTATTAATTCAAATGTACGACTGTTTTGAACGAAATGCTATTCTGAAATGTCAGTTTCGTGACATAGATAGGTAATACTGCGTATCGGAATACGTTAACATAAAAAAAAGAATAGATAATTTAAAAATAGATAATCATAATTTTCACGATTTAATCTGCTCTATAAAATTCGTTTATGTAACTACTTGACTTGTGTACTTGATAATCGATAAAAGATACGTATCGTTGATATAGAAACGGTGACGAAAAAAACGGGACACAAAGAGTACAAAGGGTTGAAATATGCGTTCATCAACACCTCTTGGCTTATTCCGCATACATTATATTTCTATCCACAGCGACTTTGCGTAATCTGTCGAGAATTAACATTCGAAACGCTCGCGGTTCCATTGCAGCGCGCCAGGCCAGGCACGCTCGGCGCAACGAACCGATCGACGTTTCTCCATGGCCGTTCCTTTTTCTTTTTTTCTTTTTCCTCTCGTGACGCGAAAATAAAAGGCGGATGGTTCCGTTGGTTGAGAGCCGGCGGTACCGTTTGGCGTCGGGCATCATCGCGTAACGTCATTATTTTCGACGGTTCACGTCAAGCGCGGGCGGAAATATTTCAAAATAGCGCGTGATAGACGCGTGTATATGCTAATAAAAAAAAAAAAATCGGAGATCGAAATTCACAGTCGCGCGCACGCATGGACGAGAAATCAATCGGGCGAACGAGAGAGATACATTCGGTGAAATTCCCTTCACATTTTACGCACCGCGATACAAAACTCGCGACTGGGCCGTATAGCGACGACCGTCGATAAATCCCACACGTACGTAGACCGCCGCGAACAGGATCAAGATCGCAGCCCGGAGACGGCGCGACGCGTCGGCGAGCAGTTTAGAAAGTTTGGATTTATGCTAACTTACGTAATATATTTCGTTCGGGATCGTAGTCGCGGACCGTAGACGACCTTTGCCTCTCCGCGCGCCAACGTCGTGCCGCGTTTCAGCCGCTTTCGATATCGGTTTCTGCCCCGCGGAATTTTCGCGGTTTATTTTGGTACCGAATTATATGGCCGTGTGCAAGAGTGTATACATGTTTCGTGTTTCGACTGTGTATCGCGATCGAAAATTTACGGGGCGCACCGTAATCGCGAGTAAACCGCTGAAGAATATTTTTACACGCGTAGAAAAATCAACGCGATGGGTTTTTCTCACATATCTTTCGTATGAATATTTCACGAAGAGATACATATTCACCTGGCATACGGCGGTTTGTGAAATTGTTGAGTGAAAAATCCGCACGGAATGTAAATGTTAATCGTAATTTCTAGCTAGAAATTACGCAAGCGATCCCCAGGTAATCCCAATCCAAAGATCCAAGTAATCCCAATGTGCATCATAAATACTTCCTTATTATCGCGATTGAAAGAAAGATGCAGGTTAGTTGTTAAACATTTTTTTAAGAGAGCCACAACATATTTATCGCTTCCAATGATATTATTACTGCCGTGTTACTCAGCTATTTCCCTGTCTGATCGTCTTTATGTATTATTTCCAGTAAAAATGATTAATTCGCTCGCGAGTCCGCTCGCATACATACATACATGCATACATATTTATATACGCGATACGCGTACTTATTAACTTGTACAAATCGATGTCTCGCGGATATGCGAATCGCAGTATTCTCTACAAGTCAAATGAGGTTTAATGACTTTGCGGCATGTATATACGACATTTACATTTAAGGAAGGTGCACGATGATTCACACGGTGCTTTACATGGTGTTCACCGTGGTTGTAGCCGACTGATGTCATCGTCAACGATGCAATGTTTTTTTGCGTCAAACAGTAAAAACAATAATGCCGTTACTCTCGATTATAAAAAGAATGACTTCTCTTTCTCTCTTTCTCTCCCCTCGTTTCGTCGTATCGTATATGTATGTGGGACGCGCGAAACGGAATGAAAGCAAACAGCTCGCGAATCCCTGCTTACCGACAACAATAAGCGGCGCGATCGGTTTGGTCGGCCGCTATAATTATAGATATTAAAGAAAGCACGGGATCTCATTCAGAATTCCTTCCCCGCCGGTCGATTGACGTCAGGAGTCTCTAAAAAGTTTGCATTGCGCCGGGCATGACCAAAAGTGACTGGCAGGTACGCCGCTCCGTACCGAGCGAAATTAGGCGGCTGGCGAATCACGATGGAACAGTACCCGTTGCTCCGTTATTTTTGTTGCAGACGATCTTTTAATAGAAATGCACCGTCGATCTCTGTATATGCGTGAAAATTGAATTCGCTATTTCGCTTCGTTTCTCGATGTTCGTATACCTAAATATCGCGCGAAACGAAATATTCATACAAAGGACGTAGGTATAAAAGTTTTCAAGAGTTTTCTCGATAAACAATTAGAAAAACTATCGGCTTCATGGATCTGTGAGATCAAGGATCTTAATAGGAAGCCAGTTCTGCGGAACGAGGAATCAAGGCTCTTCGGGAGCCAAGGATCTGCAAATGCGCGCGAATCTGTTCTTTCTCTTTTCTAATGCAACGAAAATAGAAACCTGATAAATTTACTGTTATGTCGTATATAATTATGGCGCACAAGTAAGAAAGTCGAGAGCTCCTGTAGTGAAAGTAACGTGCAGCTCTAATAGATTACCCCGTAACGCGTATATACATGCCAACTGCGCGACGCATTTTACTTCGCGCGTCGTACGTTCGAAACACCTCGATAGATATCGCGTTCTAATCACATTTCGTACGGGAAACGATACGAAAAATTTCTCCATCGTATGGTATCTTCACATGGGTTTATTGTAATCTAGTTCCCCAGATTCGCAAGTTAGTTACTGCACTATCAAGCCGAGCGCATTAATTATCTTCCTGACGTTTGACACACGCCGCGCCGGCTTATCTTTGCTTTCCATAGGAAAACGAGGGGAAGCAGACACTGGAAAAGTACCGTTACAACATTTCCTCGCGATTATCTCGGAAAGTTCGCGCGATTCCCCCGCCGGGTCCCCCGCTGACTGATGCAGTTAGTGTTAATGCCTGATAAGAATCTGACCCGGTCAACAGTGATTCTCATTCGCCTTAACCCAGTTCGCACAGGCCTGCAGATGGGTGCAGACCGATCTGTGCCATGATTACGGCCGCAAATCGTGCTGGTAACGATAACGATAACCGGCGCAATGCCAGCGCCAGCATGTCATTGTTGCTGCAACGTTAAACGGAATTGCTTGGGCTTCACCATATTCGCCGTTATTGCAATATAGTGGGAATCGCGAGAGGTATAACGGGGCGTTCTTCGATAATTTGAGAATATATACGTCGAGTTATCGTGATTCGAGCATACCCACTTCAATCGTAAATTTATTTTATATTGACGTTTGATATACACGTTTAATAGCATTCCATTCAAGTGGTCATTAACATATCTTACGACGGAACATATATAAACGGACGATGTATCTTATTGACTAAAAATACCGCGCGATTCTACGGTATGTCATAATTTATCGGAATCATCTGTTATTTTTGTTAAACGCATTCTAGGGAGAATTTAAGAGGACCGTGTGTATTTCGATAATTGCATTCGTGCGGTTGAGCTGCGCGATTTCTAATTAAACAGCTTATCATAGAAAGAAATGACAATGCGGGGTCGAGAGGTCGCGTTAGACGCGCAACGAGAGTTATGTGCAGTGTACGTTGATATGATAAGCCGTATACTTTTCCTTACGATCGCCGCAAAATAGCCGTTAAATATTGGATTAAGTAACTTTCCTTCGGGTGAACACGAGATGGACGCGAGGCACGATCGGCCGATAGCGTTAATCGCCGCGAGAAACGAGAACGGAGGTATGCGCGACGATCGACTCGCGACGTGACAAAAGTCCGAGAATAACGAATTCATTTGGAATTCGACGAATATACGAAGTAGGCCCGACTGTAACATATTTAGCTCGGTCCTTTCCGGTTACTTCTTTTGTAACGCGCCGGATTCCTCGAATTACTGCGCTCCGTATCTTCCAGCCTTTATCAACAAGTTTGTTAAGATGGAGTATATCGCGCGGGTTATACATATACGTGCATGAGGAGCGGACGATATACCGGAACGTGGAATAACGCGAGGCGTGAACACGATGACGCGTGCCTGTGTAAATTCAGCAACACGCCCAGGTATCCGTGAGTCCTACATAAGATAAATTCCCAGCAATTCGCTGAACTATGTATATTTGCCTTCTTGCGTTTATACGGCGTACATACGGCGAGATATAAAATCGACGACAGGCAGTGATGCATCTGCAATCGTTAACGTCATCGATATACACCGCAATACCGTCGTGGTAACTGTCGAAGAACAGCACCTAATACAAATATGCATTACACTCGTGCAGGAGAGCAGCCGATTCGGATGAAGAATTTATGAGGGGAAAGTACATCAATCGGATGTTAATCCGGCTATTAAGCACAGTCCGCCGGAC